GTCTTGGGAGACTCTTGGCCGGGCAAAGAAAGCGAGTCAACGCGTGCTTGGGGAGATTTGCCCAGGACGAAGTATTCTTGGAAGCGGCGGGATTCGTCAGCCCAGAACTGGAGACCCACGTCGGAAGCGGAACAGGTCTTGGCTGGCGGAAGGGAGAACGCGCGCAATAGGGATAATTGCACGGTTTTAAAGGGGAGAGAGGCAAATATATATAGGAGAAAGCATTGGTAGACAACTAAATACAATGTGCCTGAAGTTTGAATATGTACCTTGTAAGCAGTAATATCCCGGTCATGTATGGTAATTCACGGCCGAGATCGCCAGCCCTGCAAGGCGCCAAGGCCAAAATTGAGATCAGCGTGGTTATTGGGTCAGTGGCGCTCCTCTTTTGGTGGAGTTGTCTCGCTAACTGAGATTCGGGGTTTTACGAGTCTGGATCGTGCTTTACATGCGCTAGGCGTATGCAGGGCCCATTTTAGGACATCGTACTCTATACATATACGACAACGGGAATCAATTGGGAATTGTAACGCAATAAACACATGCACCATATCAAAACCAAAGACCGGAAGAAACAACAGGTCCCAGGCGCGTTGCAAACTGGGGAATCCAATGCTAACATTGTGAAACATGCGTATTTGCGGGGGAAGTTGGAGAACAAAAGCAAACAAAAACTATAATCAAATGCACAATGCGCATCCCGCGCGAAGCCAAAATTGGGTGTCAAATTGGCCGGTGAGCTGTTATGGACGACCCAGCTGGGGCCCAACGCTGCCCAGCTAGACGCCCGTCGGCATTCCCTCAACTTCATCACTCAAGCCACGCCAGTTGTCCGCCTGCAACTCGGAGTATTTGACACGCTCCTGGCTCCAGTCTTGGTGCAGCCGGCTGATATGGTACTGGCTCTGTTGGAAATGGACGAGTTCATCGCGAATGCATTCCTTGATGAAGACGCTCCGCGCATGCTGCTGCACAATGGATTCTTTGTCCTAAGAGACATGGAGAGTTAGCATCACTGCAGATAATATTGAAACAAGCAGTCCCACCTTGAATATAGAATCCTCCACCTTCTCAATTTCTCCTGGTTTCGCGGTACCTGCGGGTCGGGCGCGAAGGTCCTGCAGCTTACGCTCGTTGGTTTCGATGCGTCGTTCTAGCTGCGGGATGTTGTTCCGTGCATATCGATCCCGCCGATCGAACATCTCGCGTACACTGACCAAGCAGTCGCGCTGACGCTTCAGGTCTTCCAAGACCCCCTCAGTCCACCCTCTTGCTTCGTCCTCAAGCAGACTCTGGCTAGCTGAGAGATGCCGAGCCGTAGCTGTGATACCTTCATTGAGGGCTGGAATGTCATTGGTGTCGACTGCATACGTGTCTTTTGTGACTTCGGTCAAGGACTGCAGCGCGAGAGAGAAACGGAGATGATCGGCAGCCAAGCCATCGTTTCGCTTGCTCAGACGCTCGAGCAAAGTGCAAAGATTAATATAAATTTCGGCGGACCGCTTAACGCCGTTACGGACCGTCTCAAACGTCTCGTCGAGAGTCGGAGGCAATGAATCTTCAAGGTCTGGTGGAAGGGTACGGCCAACAAACTCGTCTTGGACAGAGATCGTGGCCTGCTTGCGCCATACCGAAAGTTCCTATTCTTGCGATTAACATAAGTCTCCTCCATTGAACATTAGAAATCTCACCGTCGGAACCGTCAAAAACATAACAACCAGTTGCTCCTGGCCAAGAACGGGGTGGCGCACGAGAGCGTTGGTAAATCGAACAAGACCATGGCGGCGCTTATCAAGGAAGGAATTTGAATCCGCTGAGAGGTGAGTGCCATTGACTTCAAAAGGTGAGTAAGCAATTAGGTGCGCTTAAACCAGCGTTAGACGTACCTGAAACCCGCTTGGGTGGAAGAAGAGGCAATTGCCTGAATGGGAATCGTTTCTGGAGGCAATCCAGTAGCCAAACAAAGTCGCTATAACGCCGAATAACTGTGCTGCCTCTCCGAGCAGACTTGACCTCATAGTTGCGGTGCTGGAACATGAACAACCCTTCTTTCTCAGGGAGTAGTGTCACTGTAACAGTCTCCTCTACTTGGGGGTTTGTTGAACGGCTAAGACCGAGGGACCGACGTCGAGGCGCTATCTCGTGGGGGTCATCTTCTAGGGGACCAAACCCCCCGAGCGCCGGACGCTCAGCGCCTCCAAATCCACCCTGCTGATTAGGGCCTGTACTGCTAAGGTTGTTTCCCCATCCTGACCCTGAACTACCGGGAGGCGGTACCTCAGTTTGACCATTCGCAGGGCCCCTCTCAAGTGTGTCGCCCTGATAAGCCTCTTCGACAGCCTTGTTGGACCAGGTGTTAGTCGTAGATCTCACGCTTCCGTAACCGTTCACTGCCCGTTGTTCAGCGTCCAATGTCTCGTGGTTGTGGCCTCGGTGTAATTGTGGACTACCCCACGGGTCTGCTTCCAAACCGCCCAAAGACTCTCGTCGTGCGGGTCGCGAATGGGTTGAGCCGGGTGTTGGCACTGGGGGAGCTTGGGAGGGAGGTGTCACAGGTCGGTGAGGTTGGTCCGAGGATGCATCGCCGGCAGTTCGTAGTCGATCGAGATAACCAGTCTTGGGTTGGGGTAATTCTGCATGCGCAAACTGGGTCAGTTGCCACTATGGGAAAACTACAGGAAGGGATATGAAAATTAACTCACTCTTGCGACGGTCGTCGACCGCATCGAAGGATAGTTCTTCGCCTTCCTGCGCTAGACCGACCAGGGCCAATAGGACGTTAAACTCGGCACGACCAAGCCCACCAAAGCTTTCATGATCCCCGGACGAAACAAGATTTAAAATTTTGCTCTGATCAGTCGCAGTAAGCCCACTGCTCGAAAGGATCTCCCGAACGGAGGTCAGCCCGATCCCAGAGCCAACCCTGTCCCCGCTGTTCAGAATCAGATCGAATGCGTCGACATAGCTCTCGGGAACATCGGTGGCAGGAAGTAACGTTCGGACTAGGTTGCGTCGCGCAGTCCTCTTCGCGGAATTGTTCTGAATCTTCCACGGAGAGGAGCTGTCGTCGCCGTCGTCATCTGCGAACAGAGACGAAGACCCGCCCGTAGCCGGTTCGTCGGCGAAGAGCGAGGACTTGGATCTCTGGGAAGCATTACCCGCAGAGGGATCCTCTGGTGACGTGCCGAATAAGGACATCAGGGAAGATGTTTGCGCCGAGGAGCTGTCGGGGTCAGGTGTGGAGGTGATTGCAATGACGATGTCGACGATCAAGCGGAGCTCGGGGGCTGGTGGCACGAACGTTTACAGGGATCTCCACCTCAGATTCCGACACGTCGCGCTGAACGCAATGAAATTGCAAAGAAGGAAGAGCAGAAGACGCTCTACAATTTGCCCAAGTGCTAACAACGTAGGAGTTGAGGAGGAGCGAGTCTGGAGATAACGGGTCTATGTCACCGGTACCTCGGCCAATGGGGTTACATCACCAAGCACTCCGTACCAAGTACATCTTATCACCATCAATAATTGTCCTAACTAGGGGAGAATGTTCACTAACATGAGGCTGTTCATGAATTGCCTGGTGTGTGTAGAATTCCCCTGTTTGTTCTCTGCTTCCTAGTCCATTGCCCCTCGTCTTTTAGCTGGAGTCTACACCGCTTATACCTATCGATTAGGCAGCTCTTATAGACAGACCATCTACTTCAACATTCTATTGTCTACTAAGTCGTTCAATCTCATTCAGTATGGTATTATTTACAATCTATAATAGATAAATAGTCCTTCACACTCCGATGGACGCCAAGCATCCATCGATGGAGCTGTTGCCGTGAGCATATATATAACGAGTGACACAGCAAATGTTTTAACACTATTGGACAGACCTTTTTTAGACCGTTTTTAGACACTCATTTTAGACCGCATTTTGGAACCCCTATCGTAAACCGAAGAGTAAGTCTATATCATCTTACTTTCTAAACGTTTTTGCTTTAGTGAGTGCTTTTTATAGAAGATAAGATTCAACTATCACGGCGTGGCGTCTGGGGTGCGCACGCGTACAATTGTGCATACTAAGTAGTATATATATCGATCCTAGGCATGTCAGCCGTCAGGCTGACATAGTGGTCTTTTTAGCCTAGTTAATATACGTGTATTGACCTAGGTGCAAGTCTTCACACACCCTACGAGGCCTATTGTCTTCCTCTACGCCCTTTTGTTCATTTTTACTAAGGAAATACACTATGAAATACACATACTAAGCCTTCCCTAATTAGGCTTAGACAGGTAGAGAGGAGGTCCGAATATCAACAAGAAGGGGGTCCTTTTAACATTGCCCTTTAAAAATCACTAATGTTGGTTCTTACGGATAAACTTAAGATCTCGATACCTACATACATATATAGCCACAATGGCTTGTATGAAGTGTCACTAGTCCCGATCACATGTTTGGCTTTTACTGCCTTAACTCTACAGATTGGAAAGTGGATGGTTGAAATAAGCATCGAAATTTGGTGCCTGGGGCAGTTATCTCTGTCGCAGGTTGTATCATTTCTCAGGCTCCTATAGATACCTACTTGTATCTTCCTCTCGATAACTAGACACTATATAGGCCCCGGTCCATCCTGTGTACGACAGCCTGACGAACTCCGTCGCGATACAAAGCCCACCACTACTATCTATCTAGGCCCACAGAGCCATGAAAGACGTCACTATGCAAACCCCGCGGAGTGACTCGTCTCTTATCTACAGTCGGGTAAGTTCTCCGACATTGGAGATCCGATGCAATATCCACATTCTCCAGACCAGTGCACATTGTATACAGAGGTTCCCCGCTCAGGACTTTGTCGGGATGGCCTCCCGACAGTACGTATCCTTCATGCAAGAGCTACTGACACCCGGAATATTTAACTATCTCCAATGGGCCATAAGCTTCATTTCCTTGTTTCGACTCAGAAAAGCAACCTTGGGAAAAATTGAAAAGGACCCTCAGTTGCAACTACACCATGAGACCTACCACTTTGACGCGAGCAGTGAGGCTCAACTGCCACAAGCCTGTTATTCTCAATGGGATTTCACGAAGATGTTTGACCATGCTCAGTCCTCCCAAATTTGAGAACGAAAAGATGGTGCGTGTATACAAGCCTTTTACTCAACCCTCGCTAATACTTCAACCAGTTGAATTACGCCAAAGGTTCCCCGGAAAGAGCAGAGTTGACCAAGACCATCCAAAAACTCAAGGGAGAATTTCCTTTCGAAATTCCCATTACTATCAATGGATCCGAGGTATACTACACAGCAATAATAGGCATGCATGCTAAGAAAAATCGAAACTAACGATTGCATGGTTAGATCGAAACGAAAGAGTCGCGGTCTCAACTGAATCCTTCCAAGCATAGCGAAATTGTCGCAATCTACGCATCTGCCACCCCAGAACAAGTCAATGCATCCATTGACGCAGCCCTCAAGGCCAAGCCTGCTTGGGAAGCCACTCCGTTCGAAGACCGAGCTGCCATTTTCTTCCGCGCATGCGAGCTGATCACCGGAAAATATCGCTCAGAAATTGTCGCGGCAACCATGCTAGGCCAAGGAAAGAACATTTGGCAAGCGGAGATTGATGCTCCCGCAGAGACAGCAGACTTCTTCCGTCATTACATCCAAGAAGCATGGGCTTTGTATTCCCAGCAACCCAGAGTCCACCTTCCTGGGAACTGGAACAAGATGGAATACCGTCCACTCGAAGGGTTCACATACGCCATCGCACCTTTCAATTTTACTGCGCTTGGTGCTACTCTCATTGGACCGGCTGCATTGCTCGGAAATGTCGTTATCTGGAAGCCTTCAGACTCAGCTCTCCATGCTAGCTGGCTACTCCACAAGATCCTGATCGAAGCTGGTCTTCCTAAGGATGTTGTTCAGTTCCTACCTGGTGACGCCGAGCAGGTCACCAACACTATCCTTAAGAGACCTGAGTTCGGGGCTCTGACATTCATTGGTGCAACTGCCACATTCAAGGGAATCCAGAAGAAGATTGGCGATGGTATTGGTGCTGGCATCTACAATTCCTACCCGCGAGTGGTAGGCGAGACAGGTGGCAAGAACTGGGGCATCGTTCATTCCTCCGCAGACGTGAGAAGCGCTGCACTGAACACCATTCGTGCAGCCTTTGAGTACCAGGGCCAGAAGTGCTCTGCAAATTCGCGTGTGTATGTCGCGGAGTCTGTCTGGCCGGAGTTCAGGAAGGTCCTGGCAGAGGAGACTGCGGCGCTCAAGGTTGGAGATGTGGAAGACTACGGAAACTTCGTTAACCCGGTCATCCACGAGAGATCATTTGACAAGCTCAACCACTTCATTGAGACCGCGAAGAAGGACTCCGAGTTGCAGCTTATCGTTGGCGGAAAGGCTTCCAAGGAGGAGGGCTATTATGTGCACCCGACAATCTACCAGACTTCCAACCCCCGCCATCAGATTATGTCCGAAGAGCTGTTCGGACCTATTCTTGGAGTCTATGTTTTCCCCGACGCCGAATGGGAGCAGACACTGAAGTTGCTAGACACAACCTCTCGCTATGCGTTGACGGGCAGTATCTTCGCGAAGGATCCATACGTGAGCCGCCAGGCTTCCACCGTCTTGAAGCATGCTGCCGGTATGCTTTACCTTAACACCAAGTGCACTGGCTCGACTGTTGCACAGCAGCCATTTGGTGGTAGCCGAGACTCAGGCACGAACGATAAGACTGGCACCATGGCACATTTGCAGCGATTTGTTAGCGCTCGCACAATTAAGGAGGAGTTTGTTCCGCTTGAAAAGGTCACATATCCCTCAAATGAGGTGTGAAGAGTATAGGGTGATATAGTATAGCTCAAAGATTTTGTTAAAATAGTTTGTTAAAATTTGCTTGTTCCTTTCTCACCACCAGTGCGGTATAGCTGGATCCCAAATTTGCTAAGACACAGCCATAAGCGCCGGGATGGTATCGGATTGAATAAAGCTGAAGTTTATTATATAAGATAGAAAGTACGGCATTCTACACAAGTCTGTAAGCGTCGAGAGACATACATGTTATCAGAATATGGACAGTCTTTAAACCGGGGTTGCCTTTGTGAAAGGAAACACCGAACCCAACAATCAAACCAATATACTATATAATAAAGCAATTATTCACTGATTTCACAGTCAAGATAACTTGCTGGCTACGTGAACTACTTAGCAGAGATCGGAAAGCAGCTCACTCCATGCAGGTTCGTATTTCCGAGGACTTTAGAGAGGAAAGGTTCAATTGGTGGAACAGACATGCCGATGCACAGTGTTAATGTGTCACAGCATCGAAATGGGGACCCTTGTCAATCTACCGGGCTATCTTGACTTTACCCATGCAATCCTATACAAATAAGGTGATCGATGTAACCCTGGACACGCTATGGCGAAAGTAGCATACGGGAGATACCTTAATCTCCACATGATAGTAATAAGCCCCTTCGAGGGGCAGATGTGTTGGCATTGCGGGATAGGATCCCTGGTTCGGGAACCCCTCATGTCGGAGGACAGCCCCGACAGTAGGTCGGCTGACTATCGGGAACGGATATTTGAATGAGCATGAACTGATAAAAAGCCGAAAGGGCAAGGAAAATATTATGATAAATAACACCAGGCAAACCCAACTCGAATTCTACAGACGTGGTGCTGTTTGTCATTTCCCTCGGATTGAGGACAGCTGTGGCAACCTTCTTCTATTTCTCATTCTCCTCATTTATCAAGTCAATATGCTATCGCGAACTACCGGTATAGTATGGCCTCGGCTCCCACAGGGACACAAGACACCGGTTATAGCCTGTCGACGATTCCGTTCAACCAAGTCTAGCTTCCACGATGCAGCTATCGGTTCAACGATTAAGTCACCGCTGGAGGTTTCATCTATGGCTAGACTTCCAACGAGGTTTCTGCTGCGATCTCTGCTCCTTACTTCCTTGATGACATCGAAATTGTTCCTCCGACCCGCACTAGCCCTGATTAGCGTCCTCTCAACATCGAAAGCGACATTGTTGAACCCAGACAAAAACTTCCCTTTGAACAAGCTTCTTCGATGGACAGTATACAATCATTTCTGTGCTGGTACAAATAGCAAAGAAGTCTCAAAGACAGTGGCGGATGTCAAGAAAATTGGATATCAAGGTGTCATCTTGGGATATTCCAAAGAGATTGTGCTGGATCACAATGAAAAACTTGTTGTGGATGAGTCTGGCTCGGCAAAATACAGCGACCGGTGCTATGAGATGGTGGAGGAATGGAAAAATGGTACATTGGAAACACTGCGCATGGTTGGGCCAGGTGACTTCCTTGCTGTAAAGTATGACTCTTCAATATTATGTAAAGCGCAGCGACTAATTCATTTCTATTAGATTAACTGGTGCCGGTCCTATCGCCGTTGATGCGATGGCGGCACGTCAACCAATGCCGGAGGCTATGGCCAAAGCTGTGGACGAGATCTGCATTGCGACTGAGAAACAGGGCTCTCGTCTTTGGCTAGATGCCGAGCAGCAAGTATTACAGAAAGGTCTTGACAACTGGGCTCTTGAGACAATGCGGGAACACAATAAAGCAGAAAACCCTATCGTTTACAATACTATCCAGGCCTATCTTAAAGGGTCAAATGCAAACCTCGACCGCCATCTTACCCTGGCTGCCGAAGAGGGTTGGACGCTGGGTATCAAGCTAGTTCGAGGAGCGTATATTGAGCATGAAACACGTTCTCTCATTCATGACACCCAGAAAGATACGGACCAGTCATACGATCTCATTGCAGACACACTGCTGTGCCGAAGAATGCCTGCCGATAACGATACCCTTCCATTCCCAAAGGCTGCTCTCTTCCTTGCCACCCACAATGCTGCCAGTGCAGCGAAGGCTATTTCTACATACCAGGAACGCCTACTCGCTAACAAGCCGACAATAACGTTGGAATGTGGGCAGATTCAAGGAATGGCCGATGAGCTCAGCTGTCAGTTGGTGCAGAACTACGAACGCGCCCTTGAACAGTCATCTGCGGCAAACTTGACTGTCCCCAAGGCTTTCAAATGTATGACATGGGGCTCTGTCGCCGAGTGTATGGGATATTTGCATCGTCGAGCAATTGAGAATCGTGGTGCAGTAGAGCGAACACAACATATGGTGACTGCTTTGCGGCGTGAGCTGTGGCGAAGGATTATCGGATAAACTCCGGATATAGTGGAAGTACCTAGATGTACCCCAACGGATACAGTCAGCCATATTATGCCCTGAGCTCCTGTAATATGCACGAAGCCAAGTTGATCGAAGAAAAATCAGTTAGGGTCGCACTAATCATGTGACTGATATCTTCGATAAGAAAAGTCGGAAGGACTTCCCGACTGATAAGCCTAACTCGCATCACTTTGTACTTTTGACCCCGCACTACATCACGCATTTCATATCGGAGAGAGAGACCCGGAATATACTGTATTCATCCTCTGTACATTCGGTGATATAATCCGACATGCCTGGGACACCGAGCCAAGCCAAGGCGAAGAAGTGCCAGAGAGCGTGAGTAATATGTTCCCTAATTGACCCAGAACAAACTACTAAACTTCTCCAAGCTGCGAGCGATGTCGGTCGATGAAAGTCAAGTGCTCAGGCTCGAGTCCTTGTACTAGGTGTGCCCGTAAGAAGAAGCACTGCCACTTTCCAGTGGAGGAGGTGCGGGTCTCGGTGTCGGAACGGTACGTAGTAGAAATTTGCCGGCCTTTCTATGCTGACGCATTGCAGATACTTGCGAGAGCTCGAAGAGCAGATCTCCAGAAGCGGAACATCCGTACGGCATGCAAACCTAGAAGTTAATGCCTTGGGTGATGCCCTATTTACTGGTGATGACAATGTCGATGTTCCCTCCACTCCCCGGGCATTGCTAGAAAACCGAGAAGATACTCGATGGAGAACTAACCCAAATGGTATGCCAAGAGAACAAGCTTGATCGAATAACCTTTAGTACTAATCGTCATTTACTTTAGCATTGGGTGCCGCTCTACACACTCCAGAGACCCCTCACAGGGAACATGAAGACCCTGAAGCTGAGCATGATATTCAAGGATCCCGATTTTCACGTAACCCGCTAGTCGACAGAGATCCATCCTTTGCACAGACACCAGATGGCCGTTTCTGTGAGTGTGCATTCTATTGTGTCGTCTGATTCCTTGCTAATGCGGATTTGAAGGGTATATGGGGCCGACATCGTCATGGTCCTTTTGTCGTCGAGTCCTCGCTCTCATAGGACGAAAGGTTCCCGAGTCAAACTTCCAGTCTGATCCTTTCCATATTGATGGAACTGCGTTCAGGTTGCATTGGCGGCCATTCCCCCCAGACGAAGTACCCGATGTCACCAACCTGCCTCCGTTGGACTACGCCCTCTTTTTGTTTAACACAGTCAAATTCTATTTCGGATTTCTGTCTTTTATGATTGACGAACCAGCTTATCTACGAGAGCTACATGAATTTTATAAAGACCCAGCAGCCAAGGCTGCCTCTGCTAGGCCTTGGTATTGTCAATACCTACTTGTGCTGGCCTTTGGAAAGGCATTCCTGACGCAGAAAAACTCTTCCGGAACGCCACCTGGTCATCAATATGCTTCACGGGCTATGGCTCTCTTACCAGATCTGTCAGGCATAGACGAAGATCCACTGGCCTGCATCCAGGCACTTAGTCTGGGTGCAGTATATCTTCAATCAATAGATATGAGAAGAGCAGCTTTTCAACACGTGAGTAACCAAACCACTCAGCTCAATTATTTATCTGATCATGGAATTAGATTGGACAAGCCTTGCGTGGTTGCATTATCGAGGGTATACACAGGCATGTACCAGAGGAAATATGTGGGCCAGAACTCTCTCAAAGGTGCAGAACAATCTTCTGGGTGGTTTATATGTTAGATCGAGAATTCTCTGCCCTAATTGGTGCCCCGAGCTCTATTCGTGATGAAGACATTACAGTGAAATTACCAGCAGAGATGGATGATTCAGTGGAACATATCAACTTGACGTTACATGTTCGACTTTCGCGTCTTATGGCTCGAATCTTGACAAGTAAGTTTTGTGAATCCATACCAAAGGAGTCTAATACTGACTTGGAATTTAGCTGTCTACGGAGTAGGCAACGAATATGATGATACTCTCGTTCGGAGTACACAGTCCATTCTTCACAGCATGGCAGAACTGTCGCATGATCTCACGGCATTCTTAAATACCCAATTCCACGGATTAATAAGCCGTGCTTCAAAGATGGCAATACGACTAATGCTAGCGCATCATCATGTGAGTTCTTCCAACAGTACTTGAGCGGATCAAAGCTCATACTAGTAGTGTGTGGTCCTTACAACTCGACCCTTGGTGATGTGCGCATTGCACATGCACATAGAGCGAACAGAAAGACAAACATCCCAAATTATTTCTTTAGCACCGCCTGTTGCGTCTCTTTTACAATGCTGCGCCGAATCCGCTCAAACGCTTCTACAAACGCTCCGTACACTGGCAGATGACGACTTGATGGGTATGCTGCACCCAGTACACATCCACAAAGAGAGATTTGCTAACGGTCGTAGATGCATTCTTACCATTCCAAATTGAAGATGCCTCATCTTCTGCGTTTGTTTTATATTTGATCCGCGCGATTGCTCCATCGCTTATATCTAACGACTCGTGGTGCGACAATTTGGAATGCGTACTAGATAAACTCATTGCGAAGGGCAATCTAGCTGCGCCACTCCGACGACTAGAATTGAGACAGCTGGAGCAAATATTGGCACCTTTGACACCACGGTTGACTAACCACTCCTTGCCTGCAGCTAGTCTGGGTGACGGCAGTGACAATAATGAAGAGACTTATACGTTCGACCAAGATGAGTTCGAGTGGGATATGCTTGCGCTCAATTCCTCGGTCAGCCTTCCACCACGAGAGTTGCTTGATCTTGCGGACCAGTTGGATGTGGACGGTATTATGCAATCGGTTGGGGTCTAATGCCATCTACTCTGAAACTGTTGTTAAATTATTTATCGATGGAGCGAGCTTTCTTTTTTGCCAAAATTACGATTTACATGTCAAAAACAAACAATTTCAAAAATTCCAAATAGCCCATCACATACGAGCATATAAATCATTTCAAATCAAATTTCCAAGACAAGCTTTCCATGATGTTCAAAATGTCTGTTACCCATCCAAGTTCCATATCATGCATTGTTGGCACATGACCATGAACCGCTACCCGAGCCTTCGTTGATTGACCTTCCAGATACATACAACCCCATCCCACACTGTGTACGACAAAAATCAGTTAAATGGTTCCACAAAATCCGATCAAATTATCAACCTACCATCGCAAATGCAATACCAATGATAACGATATTGCACACAGTCAATATGCCCTTTGAAGGAGTCGAGAAGTATTTCCCTCGGTTCATGTGAAGCCAAAAGGTGGCAGGAAGCCCGTCTTATCAACCCTGTCAGTAGCTGATTATGAAGCCTCTGATATAGAAGAGAAAACTTACAGCTGAAAACACTTCCGAAGAGAGAACTCTGTAGAATACATGTCAGCTAGGGCACCAGGAAGCAAATCAAGGGACGAATCATACAATGAGACTTAAGAGATCATTGAAAACCGGAATAGACTCGGCAATGACCCAAGCAACAACCCAAACTGCCAGTCCAATCCCAATCCATGACCCGATAGATAGGAAGCTACGTTGATGCATATGATCCGAACCCCGAAAGACTCGAACATAGATATACTTGGAAGCAACATGCCCAGAGATAACACCAGCAATAATAACGGTGGGAATAGCGAGGCCATAACAGATTTTCTTCATCAGTGGGCCCGCAGATGATAGAGCCGGGGATTTGACGTCGGGGCCTGCAAACCGGTAGATGACCAGCGCGCTAACGAGATACATGACGGTATCGACAACCTGGAGCATCGCGAGTGACTTTGGGAAGGTTTTTGGATTTTCTGTCTCTGAGACAAAGCCGAAAAATGTGACATGCGCGACTGTAACATATGTTAGTAATAAAGGAGTATACTTGAGTATAGGCGACATACCAAAGGCGAAGATAATATTTGTCACTGCCAGAAACCCTTTGTAAAAGCTGACCTCTCGAACGGTCTCGGTTTGGATAGGTCCGTTGGCCTCCACACCAATAGAGATCATGGTAACCAGAGTTGCAATGAATATACTTACAAAAGCTATGAGTGATTGAATTAGAGTAGTCTTTAGCATATGATAAACAAGGAAGTAAGACTTACAGGCAACTGACATCCAATAGACCTTCACCATAGTTCGTGGAAGAGCGCCAAGGAAGCAGACAATTAGTCCGACGACGCCAAAGACAGTCGTACAAGTCCCATGGTTTGTAAGAGTATTCATGAGAATAGTAAAGGTCAAGAGATGGCTCGACATAAGAAATATTAGTAGAAGCAACTGGCCAATACCGAGGACTTCACGCCCAATTCGACCCATCAGGATTTCGCCTGCATCGCCCATGCTATGAACGTGCGGGTGCCGTATCTTGAATTGACCTATCACATAACCTGTATACCATGATAGGCCAGACATAAAAAGAAGGACAATGGCCGCTCTATACATTCAAAGTTAGAGTGGGTCTTCCGCTCAATGGGGCATACCTACGGTGCCATCCCTAGTGTGGCCACTGCAGAGGGCAGAGACAATATCCCCAGAGAGATGTTCTCGGCAATCATCACTGTGAAGCATATCAGACTGAAGTTATAAATTTCGATAGCTTGGGTAATCTCACGCATTCCACAGTGCCTGTTAATATGGTCTTAGTGAGATACAGGCCTTCAATATTCCAGACTGCTAGGGCACTTACCACCACTTCATTGTTCGATATTTCACCTCTGCCATCTCTTCATTTCCGAAAGGATCATTAGTAATGTCTCGGTATTTGTCTTCCTTTTTCATATCGTCGTGGAGATTCGGATCGGCTGCCCCAGCCTCTGCATCGACCGAATCCCACTCAGGTTGACGCGATGTGTCCATTGTATTTCCACGCTGATATTGAATTCAATTGTGGGATTAAAGGTAACCTAGCATATAATATTTCGAGAAAGGTTCGAGAAAAAGTCCGAATGATATCAATCAAGGGGTTAAAGACGCGATATCACTTAGGAATGCAGCGAAATGCCACGGTAAATGTAGCGACCAAAGCCTCTACAGGATATGTCATTCATAGCCATTTATCACAAGATACAGTCCATTTATGATACTTAATAAGAGCAAGATAGTCCACTTTCTCCGCAAGATACCCCAGGTTGATTCCGTCGGCGTATGTCCCCTCTTTCATAGATACAAGTGTCGGATGGTAGCTCCGGCACTTGACAGCATGTAGCATGGTAGAGTGACAATGAAAGTAGTATCATGTTGATCAACCATGATATTTCAATTGGTAGTTTTCTTGTTGAGTCCACTATCGAGATATAATTGATACCATCACAACAGGCTACATATATAGTGTACGAAGCAACGACTTACCAAGCGAACAACCTGGAATTAAGATCTTATTTATACAACGTTATCATTTTACCAGTCAATCGGATATAGGGAGTTAGATGATGGCACGGTAGAGCTTCCCAGCTGTGGTCTAAGGTGGCTTCGGACAAGCGCCCGGAATAAACAACGTTGAATTAAAAGGTCTGATAGGTGTTATCGGTGCGTGTTCTCGGGTTCCATTTATATCATTCCCTTCATTACGTCGCATGGAATTATCATTGCCAAAGGATGGGGAAGATAGACCTCATTAAATCTCTCCATTGGCGAGTGCCTTTAGCAGTGTACGTTCCTCTCTTCTTCCCCTTTCTTCTCAACTCATTTGCCTGAAATAGCTATGATTAGCATATGGATTGCTGGCTTTCCTCTTTCCGGTGGTCGGGATCTTCCTGGTAACGCGAAACAGGCAGACGGCACTATTTTCTGTTCATGACTGGACTGTTTTCCTGTGCTCCTTTACTTAATTTCTGCAATTGAGATAGATGGTAGCTTTTGCTTCAATTTTATGTGCATTTAAACACTCACATATATTAACTTGTCTTTCCAATTTTAATCCGAAAAACGTGTTCCTGAAACTATATTATGCAAATTTCCCACGCAAGTTCCCTACTTGTTATTCGTGAGCCCGAAAAGGCATCCAATGTACAGCATACTTGATTTCCGAAATTTCCTGCGACCGAGTCTCTCCAACTTTATTCAATTCAATTGAAAAGCGTCTTTCAACAAAGCAGCTTCCTGCGCGATGTGCTGCTTCATGAATCCGGTAGCTACACTAGCTGTAGCCTCCCGCCCCACAAAGCGCAACCGACGACCCCGGTGTTTCTCGGTTGTATCGAAGATAGTCTCTAGTCGAGTCCTAGCAAACGCCCAGGGACCATCATTGAGAGACTCCTCTTGGCACCAGACTATATCCGAAGCGTTGGTATATTCGGCCAGATTATCCTTTACTTGCTGCCAAGGGAAAGGATGAAGCTGCTCAATGCGTGTAATGGCGGTGTCTGTGATCTTGTGGGTTTCGCGGTACCCCTCCAGAGTCACGTAGACCTGACCAGAGCAGTAGATTACTCGTTTGATATCAGCGGGCTTGGCGATCGCTTTTCCGTGGGCTGGGTCGGCAATCATTGGCTTGAAGCTGGAGTCTCCGATGAAGTCTTCGATGTTTGATCTTGCCATGGGGTGGCGAAGGAGTGATTTCGAGAAGAAGATCACAAGGGCTGTAAAAAATTCTGGTGAGCAATATTTCTTTTGATCTTGGGGGATTTCAGATAATACTTACGTTTTCTGAACTCGCGATGAATTTGTCTTCGAAGAACATGGAACAGGTTGGCAGGAGTGGTCATATACACAATTTGCATGTTGGCATCCTGATGCTGTCTCTCCAGCTTTTCCGGTAAGGGGAAGAAACGGGCGTCTTCATTGCACAACTGCAGGAATCGCTCCATGCGAGCCGAGGAGTGCTCAGAGCCTTGTCCATCAAACCCATGAGGCAGTGATAATACCAAGCCAGATCTGAGCAGCCATTTGTTCTCAGCAGATGAAATATACTGATCAATCACGCACTGAGCGTTGTTTGCGAAATCACCAAACTGGGCTTCCCACATTACCAACGCATTTGGATGCATAGTGGAATAGCCGTAATCGAATCCCATGACACCATATTCACTCAGCGATGAGTTCCCAATCGTAAATCGGGCTTGGTCGGGGCTGAGTAAGTCGAGAGGAGTGAGTTTTGACCCTGTTTTTTGGTCGTGCAGCACTGCATGGCGCTGAGAAAAGGTGCCACGCTCAACATCTTGGCCAGAAACACGAACATGGTGGCCTTCTAGACACAGACTGCCCATTGCAAGAGCTTCTGCCGTAGCCCAGTCAATTTCCTTGCCTTGTGTCAAAGTTTCCTGTCGCCTTTGAAGGATTCTACTAAGACTTTTGTGCACCGTGAATGGTTCCCCGGGGACACCCATCTTGTTTGCGAGGGTGCTAACAACATCGGCAGTGATTGCTGTCGGCTTGGGAGGGTAGACTTCTCGAGAGGTCTCTTCTGGACGCTTCATATCTTCCCATGGGGCAGTGATATACTCTCGATCAAGACGCTGGGCATCCTTACTGTTCGCAAGGCTCTCGCTCATCTTGCTCCACACATCACCTTTCATCTTTTCAATCTCTTCCCGAGTAACAATTCCTTCCTTGAGGAGCTTTTTCGTATAGAGCTCCAAGTGGGTAGTCTTGTTCAGGATTTTCTCATACATCAACGGCTGTGTGAAGGAAGGCTGATCCATCTCGTTATGACCATTCTTCCGGTAGCAGATCATATCGATGAAACAGTCCTTACCAAACTTGGCACGATACTCAGCTGCCAACTTTGAAACAAACACGACAGCTTCGACATCATCTGCGTTGACATGAAAAACAGGCGCGTTGATGCTTTTGGCAATGTCAGATACATAAAACGACGTACGCGCAGACTCGGGCTCTGTAGTGAAACCGACTTGATTGTTGATGATCAGATGAATGGTTCCACCAGTCTCATACGACTTCAAGCCAGAGAGCCCTAGCGTCTCATAAATTACACCTTGTCCAGAGAATGAGGCATCGGTGTGGCTGTTGAAGACCATGGTCGATTTCCGATCCTCGCCATTCTGTTGCTGTACAGCTCGCGCCATTCCTTGGGCAAGGGGATTCTGAGCTTCCAAATGAGATGGATTTGGCAGGATGGAGATATTGACTTTTTTTCCGGAAGGTGTCTCCCGCTCGTAATTCATTCCCAGGTGGTACTTGACATCTCCTGAGATGCCATTTGGGGCTGTCGATTCGCCCAAAAATTCGCTATACATCAGTTCATTGGGCTTGCGGGTGAGATTGCTCAAGATATTGAGTTTTCCACGGTGACAACACGGGAAGATGATATTCTTTACTCCATGATCGGCGCTGGCGTCTATAATTGCTTTAACAGCGGGGAGTTGACTCTCGACGCCCTCAAGCCCGAACCGTTTCGCTGTCGGGAACTTGGCTGCAAGGAATTTCTCAAAATACGTCGACCAGATTAACCGGTCGAGAACTCTCTTTTTCTCTTCGGTCGAGAATCGATATGGCTCAGGACATTCAATGGCCAGACGAACCCATTCACGTGCTTCTCGGGAAGGGAGGTACGAATACTCAGCTCCGATCGAGCCGCAGTAAACAGTTTCGCATGCTTTAATAACTTCGCGAAGAGTCATACACTGCCCTTCCTTTGCGACAAAGTGAGGAAGGAGCTCAGGACCAAGTGCAAACCCCCGATCTAGATCTGACTCAGTGAAGCCATAGAAGTTTAGCTGAAGCTCTGGTGGTGGCATAGGTCGCTTTCCTGGGAGATCCAAAGGATTTGTCTTTGCATGAAAATGCCCATAGTCCTGAAAGGCACGAATCAATCGTTGTAGTTTTGCTTGGACATCATTCGATGGCGATGGCGTGAATGGTGCCTGGGCCGCGATATTCAAGCCTGGAAGCATCGATGATCGCCCCGAGCCCCGTCCGAAAATCGCTTCTTCTGATGGGTAGAAGATATGATCTGGTGGCTGTTTCCCGTTTTCAATTGCATCGAAGTATGTTTTCCATGAAGCATCGACTGAAGAAGGATCTTCACACCATGCTACATACATGTCGTCCAGATATTCCGTGGAATTTCCCTGGAGGAAGCTGTCTGTATGTAGCTGAGGCTTCCTAGTTAGCTTCATTTTTGGGCTATGGTAGAAAATGAGACACAAGGTACTTACACATTGTCGGCGAACTCGAGCATAATGTTGCTGGTGTGGCTTCAGAATGTAGCCATGGAATACCTGCCTTGAGTGACCTGCACATAGGCAGTTGGCACTCCGTTGGAGAGAAGCTCTCAATGAAATCATGATAGAAAATCGATTTTGAATCATGTGCTCCTATACATTGGAACAACTTCTGAAACTGGGACAAGTGTAAAATCGTAGTGGCGATTTCTAGCAGAGTACAAAATGCTGTGTGCTTCAACTTTTATTGATTCGACGAGTCTGAAACAGAACGGCGGACCCGGTTCTCCGCAACGCAAGCCCACTCATATTTCATGGAGTTATTGTTCGGTGTAATTCAGTTTCGCCATATAACCGCCAAAGTAGCCGAACAAAGTCGGAGGGTGGTTCCGACATGTTAAGAATGCGTAGTAACTTACATTAATCTACCACTAACTTGTAGTGATTTATCTTCCTACAGTGTTTATCGTCTAGTTAAATAACGTTGTATGATTACAAGAACGTAAAAAAAAGCCTGTTTATCATAATTGAACTAACGAGACCATAGACCACACAATGAAAGAACGGGTGAATCTCAGTGGTGAAATTATTATCCAAATAAACTACTGTCCATCTACAACGAAAGTAGCATAGTCTCCGGGTCCTCCAAGTACTTCTTGATCAGAGTCAAGAATGTGACCGCTTCCCTCCCATCAACAAGGCGGTGATCGTAAGTCAGAGCAATGTACATCATCTGATGTAGGCAATATTATTAGACGAAAACAACTAATGAAAAGACTTTGAATAATACTCACCGGTCGGACTTCAACCTGTCCATTGATAGCCACAGGTCGATCCTGAATACCGTAGGTTCCCAACACAGCCGTCTGAGGGGCATTGATAATAGGAGTTCCAAACAGTGATCCCCAAAGCCCACTGTTACTGATCGTGAAGCTACCACCGGTCATATCGCCCATAGTAAGCTTTCCATCTCGAGCCTATATAAAGCCAAATGGTAGTATCACGTTAATCGACAGAATAGAGAATGTGTATAATAGATACCTTCTTAACCAGCTCTGCAATCCCCTTCTCAATCTCCAAAATACTCATAGACTCAATGTTCCGCAGAACAGGTGTAACGAGGCCCTTCGGGATAGCCGCTGCAACACTGAGATCCACATAGCCACGGTACACAATCGTATCCTCGCCTTCAATTGATGCGTTGATAGCTGGGATTTCTTTGAGTGCTAGTGCGGAGGCGCGTGCCATTGGGCCCATGTAACCCAATTTTACACCGTGTTTTTCCAACGCTGCATCCTTATTCTTCTTTCTGAAACTTATTAATCGTGACATGTCAACCTCGTTGAATGCCGTTAGGAAGGCGGCTGTGTTCTGGGATTCTTTGAGGCGTTGGGCAGTGCGTTGTCGGATTCGGGTCATTTTGACCTAAAAAGAAATTGATGTCAGTTGTTAATTCTGGGAAGGTTACCCCCAGAAACTTGCATTCTCCTCTACGCGACTCGGTCTGAATCCCCAGGCTTGGGGCTGTCCAGCAGCTGGTGGCGTAATTGGAGTAGTCGCTGGTGCTTGTTTTGGGCTCTCTTCGTGCTTGGATGGCTTTTCGCCTTCATGAGCAGGCGCTGGCCCTGTGCTTGTAGGCTGTTGCTCTGATTTAGGCCTATCCTGGACCCTCAAAGCTGGCTCTTTGCTCTTCTCGGATTTGGTTGTAACTTGTTCGCCAGCTTCAATCTCCGCAATTTCTTGGTCGACAGTGACGACATCTCCTTCGCCCACAAGGAATTGCTTAATAACTCCTGATTGTGGTGCGTTCACCGAAACATCAATCTTATCCGTCTCAATTGTGGCGAGCTCTTCATCCAGCTCGACGAAGTCGCCAACCAGCTTGTTGAACTGGTTTAGGGTTCCTTCTGTGATTGACTCTGCCATCGGGGGGACGCGCACAACGATTCTGGAGTCATATTGGCGCGAGGAAGCGCTGAAGAGACGGGGTAATAATTCAACGCTACTTGGGTAGCAAGCTTTAAGACCGTTGAATACGAACGAGCGAGTAGATGGAACATGGACCCGACTCCTTTGAACACATCTCTGTCTGCTTATATACCGCAGGCCGGCGCGTGAAGACCAACGTAGTGCCATTTTGAAATATTTGGATACACACGAAAACTCATATTATATTGGAGTATATTGGAGCACTATAAATGTCTTCTGTTTGATCCGGCGATAAAAAAAAGTCGGGACCTTATTCCAGGTTGCGGCTATTCGGCTTCTCGTCAAGTTCCCGAACATGCAACTCGTACTCTATACAGCTGAAACAGATTGACAATCGATCCTCATTATTAGAAATAACTTATGTTCGATGGTGTCATTATACAACAGCAATGAAGTCCACTTGGATATCCACCCCCGCAGGCAACTTCGACACCTCCACCATAGAACGAGCAGGCCGATGCGGGAATGCGGCATCATACACGGATGCAAACTCGGGCATGACATCGGCATCTTTGACGTATACCTGTTTAAATGTTAACGCCTGAGCGGATAACAGGTTTCGCTAAGGTCTTGTCTCACCACTACTTTGACAACTCGTTCTAACCCGGTCCCAGATGCTTTCAGGATAGCTTCGGTATTCTGTATGATAGCTTGTGTCTGTTCTGCCATAGTTCCTTTAATCAAGTTGCCTTCGGCATCAGCTGGTATCTGGCCGGACAGCCAGACTTGGCCGGCGGCTTTAATTGCTTGGGACTATCGGAGTCATTAGTTGCCAGTTACCGGGTCTGTTCCTTCTGTCCACTCAGGGGTGCATACATAATGGGCAAAGGCTATATTATTTGTTAGTTTTATGTACTGGTAGATCCAATGCCAAAACTTACGTGCGTATGCTTCGTTTGTTTGCACGCTCGTCACCAAGGTCTTAGGCCCGTTAGATGAGAACCCGCGAGTTCTCAAGGGGAAATTTGGTGACATAGCGGACACCGAGGCCCTCGCTAGTCTTAAAGCGAGACTTGTACCTTGTTTAAACATGATTGAAAAGATGCAATTGAAGATGAGGATACAATTGATTACCCCTCGTCCCCTCCAAGGCTTATCTTGAGATCTCGGCAACGGGCCCGAAAATCGGATGTCGCTCCCGACATTTTTTTCTGTTCGGACTTTTTGTAATCATAAGTTATCTCAATTATATCAACTAAGTTATAGCAACGTTGGGATAAAAGCTTCTAGAGAACAGTCTTATTTTTTATCGAAAATGACTAGTTTCAAAACAATTGGACGCCTGTCCAGCAAGTGTGTCAACCTCAGTGACTTAATCCATATGACCAACTACTAACTTCATCCCAAGCCGTGGAAATCCACAACCATCTTTGCTTCTCGCCCTGGATCCCATTCACTGAACCAATTGCGGTTGGCCTCCTCTGCAGCCGTGGCATCAGAGAGTGAAATTGTTGCAGCACAAAAAAACTACAAAATCGTGCAAGACACAGGCAATTTCGATGAAATCCAAGCAGCCCGTCCAGACTTCAACCACTCTGCAGCAATTGAAGTAACCAAGTCGCCTAATCCAAACTGGAAGCATGGGGACGGGGCCCCAAACAGCCTAGCCCAAAAACATCATGTAATCGATCCCTACGCCACAGATCGACCAATGATCAACAACTACCGCCTACTCGTCTCTGGAATTGTCCCACGACCAGTCGGGTTCTTGAGTACAGTGAACTCAAAAGGGTGAAAAGAACCTCTCTCCATTCAGTTACTTCCAAGTCATCGACCATGACCCACCCATGTTCATCGTGGGCTTCTCATCTCGACCAGGCCGTGTCAAAGATACATATCGCAACCTAAAAGAAACAGGCGAATGTGTAATAAACACCATCTCCGAAAACATGATTGAAGCAGTCAATGCCACATCCATTGACGCTCCATATGACGTCTCAGAATGGGACGTGTCAGGTCTACACGAGGCGCCCTCTAGCACGGTGAAACCGGCCCGTGTCGCGGAATCGGTGTTCAATATTGAAGGCAAGGTTATGGATATCAAGGAGTTCACGGATCATCAGAAGCCGGGCATGAGTCTGGCTGCGACGGTATTGATCAAGGCTACTCGGTTCTGGGTTAAGGATGGAACTTCCGATGCCGACTTTAGTCATATTGATCTGGAGAAGTTGCGGCCTATTGGCCAGCTTGGGGTATGTCTTATGGTCGGATTTCGTCGACTTTTGAGCATCCGCGGAAGCGGTGGAGTGAGGAAGTTTCGAAGAGTGATACTTTGTCTAGATTGGATGCTAGGAAGTGTGTGGACAGTTAAATCTGCCGTGTTTGCATAGATTGTATGCTAGCGTTCTATCCACTCAGCAAAAACTAGGTTATACAAATAGACTGTTTGCGAGAAGAAGGATGAGACATGAATCATGTTGTTGTCGCCTGATTTGACAGACTTTTAGATACACTCTACGCCTTGTTTTTTGAAGCCTTGGTGGGTATTTCAAAGTCAATTCGAACAGATAATTTTAATTGTATAGATTGGTTGAGATATTAGTATCTCATATAGCCCGCAGGTGTTTTCTCATTCTCTGGTATTATCGGGGCAACTGGTATGTAGAGCCCAAAAAGGAACGCTAGTCAGAATTAGAAGAAAACGAAGTTTGGGGTATTTCTAGTAATTCAGTGAGCTACTCTTTTTATTTCTAAACTTCTTATCGAAACCAGAGGGAGCAATGTTCCCATAATAATTTCCACTTGAACCGTTTAATTGCGATCATGGCCAATCACAGCACTGATAGGCACCGAGACGTGCCTGAACAAAACGAAGATCGCTGCAAAGTACATCCATAGATCCATAGACTCAAATCATAGACTGAAGTTAATCTTTACTTACACTAAACGATTTAGAAATTTAATCAAAGTCGAGAGGGGGCAAAGAATGTAACCCCATATTTCCAAAAACAGCAAGCCACCCCCTTTTCAACGCCAATGCACGCACTGCGCACAAAACAGCCATAAGAACCGATGCGCCTCTACAACTTGCGCCCTAATTTCACCCTGTGGCCCTCTGAAACAAAGGGTTGTTTATCCAACTCCTTCCCCACACTCCCTTGAACTCTTTCCTTCCCCTTCACCCTTCACCCTTCACCCTGCACTCGTCACTCGTCACTCGTTACTCATTGGTCCTCGACCACCACACTCTTTTAACAAAATGACTACACTCCTCTCCCTCCTCCGCCGAGAGTGCAATGGCGACGACACAGTCTCCAGCTGCACAAAGCCAACCAGCCGAGCGCTGACAGTCGGCGTCCCAGCCGCGATAACAGGAGTGTAAGCTTATCAACAACCACACCTCCACCAGCTACCAACCACATACTAATCCCACCACAGCCTCCTCCTCACCGCAATAACCGTCCTCATCGTCCTCTACTACAAACGCCAGCGCAGAGATGATCGCGAAGACCTAGAAGACCGCAACCGCTCCTCTGGCTTCTACGGTCGCTACGCGCAGCAGCGATTCGGCGGACAGGGCCAAGCACAGGGGCAAGGGCATGGCTTTGGTCAGGGACAAGCACAGCGTGGTGCGCCAACCAGCTCGCGCCGCAGTTCTGGGGAGTCGTTCTTTGATTACAAGCAGGAGGATTATGGGCGGTATCATATGGCTTCGTTTCAGGAGCCTGAGGTGCCAAAGCCAACTGCTACTACGAGGGTTGTTGCATAGGTTTTATAGACTGGATTTGGGTTCTTTAATGTGAGTTTGGATTAATGCTTGTGGCTGTGGTATGATTGTTGACTTGTTTGCTTAGGTTCCTGCGGGTCGGGAGCTAGGGAGTTCGTGTTCTTGTTGCTGGGCTTTCTTTCATGGGCGTACTGTAGCCACACTGGCTGTCTTTTTTTTTCTATGTATTATTATGACTTTGAGTGATCTAGGCCATAATACAAGAGTCGCTCGTCTGATGGAAATACGATATCCTGAAATTGAGGTAGTTTACATATTGGCATGGATTCAAAACTACACCGGAAGTATTGTGTGCTCTAAAATGTGTAGATTGGACGTTTATCTTGAAGTCGTTTTCATATATAATACATATGGTCGTTGCCATCACTCGACATTCTCAATGATCTGGTTGATAGATACTGGCTCGTTGCTCTCCGCAGTCGGCTCGATCATAGGCTGGACATGGAAGTACCCCATCTGATACAGAACATGTTGCCAGTCCGGTCCTGCCGTGGCTTGGACTTGGTAATAGGGCGTGTCGTTGGCGAACCACCTCTCCTTGCGCGTGGAGGCTTTATCGCCTCCTTCGAGGGCTGCGCGGCTGGCTCGTGTGGTTCGTGATCGCTTCTCGCCGTGTTGTTGTTGCACTGTGAGCTCGTACAGCTTCTGGCGGTATTGGTGTAGGCGCCCGTCAAAGACCATGATTCCTCGGATGTATGGAGCAAGATCTTCTGTGATGGCTGCAAGTCCATTCTCAAAGGATGGGGCGTGTCGAGCGGTTGGGGTAGGCATGGAATAATTGGCGCGCATGATGGGTTCGAAAATGCGCTGGAATTGGGGTAGGGTAGATGGTGGGGTTTGTTGGGGGTTTGCAGAGCGGACGATCTTGCTCAAGATTCGATTCGCGTATGATGATTCCAGGTCTGTGTTGGTGGTTGAACGGAAGGTTTGGCTTAGCAAGGCGTCGAATGTGGTGCTGACAGCTTCACTGAGCGACGAATGTTCGATTCGCAGGTCAGATTGGAGGAGTGGGTATGCGTCGAGGTAGTTAGATCGGTGACCTTCGGGAAGAGGTGGTGCGGAGATATCAATGCCATCCTGGTTGATGTTAGCGGGTGTGTCTGCGAAGGTGTGAATCCCACTTACGTTGTTCATGTCAATCGAGCAGCTAGAGCAAAGGATATCCAGTGAACTTCTCATATCGTAGTAATCGGCTTCACGGCACAGCATTTGAAGTTGCGCTGTCTTAGAACTCGACTGAAATTGATTAGGTGGCATAAGTTCAACTTTACTTCTGCCACCCATGTCTTCGGATTCTTGAAGTCCCAAACCCCACCAGTGAAAGGTGTTTCGGTTTATTTCTGCTTCCTTCTCCAATGCATCTCGACTTAGAAGTAAATCGCGGTTGAACCATCCCATAAACCGTTCGTAAGTATTCAAGCTGAGAACACGAACTCGGTCCCCGTTATAGTCAACGTTGGATGCGGGTGGCCATGCAGGGAGAAGCCAATCCAGGCCTGCCTTTTCACTGCCAACACCCATCTGACACCAGAAATTCAGGTCCATCAAAGACCTTCGAAGATCCATTCCACTGCCCTGGTAAAGGCGGGTGACGGCCTCTCGCTTGAGAATGTGCCCCTCGCTGGCGGCAATTAGAAGCAAGTAATCAACACTGAAATCCTGAGGAGCCTTTTGGTAGCGTAGTATGGCGTGCAGCGACATATCCTGGGTAGGAATCAAGCTCTCATCATTGCAGGTGATGATAATTGGTCGTCGCGATTGGGCAATGAGAGTAAGGACTCCGGTCCAGAATTGTCGGTCTTCTTCGAAGAGCAGATCCGCTTCTTCGAGCAGGATTAACGATTGTTTCTGTTGCCGTGGGCGTTTGGGATCTGCCTCCTGTTTCGGGCTTGGTTCGGGTTGGGTATCAGGTTGTTTGTGTTTCGATGGGCCTTTGAAAAAGCTCATCAATTTGTTCTGCTTCCCGTCATCCTTGGCGCTTTCTGCCAGATTTTCAGATTCGTTGAGGAGATGGACCAGATGATTTTGTGTCATGTCCCCCACTCGCTCTAACATATCACGGGCACTTCGACGGCTTCCAGGATTGATCTCAAAGACCTCGAAACCAAGCTCTTTTGCAACAGCATAGACGGAAGCAGTTTTACCGCAACCGGCAGGTCCACTGAGAAGAATTGCGTTGGTCATTTGGATTTTCTCGGCTGCGGCCATGTCACCCGATCTAACCACTGTCCGCTGTGCTGAGGTAGCTACGCCTCCAGATAGCTCATCGTCTGAGCCAGATAGATTGTCCATCTCTGAGGCTTCTTCCTCGCTCGACACGATGAATCCATCAAGTTTATCGGCTTTTTGTCGGTTCTTTCGCTTTTTGTCGCGTTTGTTCTTAGATTTGGTGGTGTCTTTCGGTGGCTTTCCTGTGTCTACCGCCGTGATGGTGAGATGGCGTAGCCAATCACGAAGCATCTGTGGTTCACGGCCGAGCTGGAGGACTTCCTCTGCCGCTTTAGGGGCGTACTTATGTGTCCAAAGCTGCGTCTCGTATTTTGCACAATCGAATGCCGAGACTGAAGAGAGTAAGGAGGTCCCAATTTTGGCGAGAGGTGGACTGGAAGCGTTCCAAGGGAAACGAGGGTTTGGCGAGGACCAAGACATCTGCTTTTCCATTGCCGTATGCAGGATCTGATTGCTTGCAACATGTCGAATGGGATGTCGAAGAGAGACAATGGCGTCTTGCGGGTGTTCGAGTTGCCTTGCGGTCCTTCTTGCCTCGGCAGTCCCAGTGAGCAACACGTTTTCCTCGTCTCTGATTGAAATTGCGGCAATCTTCGATTTCTTTCGATCGTTCGCAGTCTGCCACGCTGTGCCCATCAGATTCGTCGGCGGGCAAACATCTCTAACGTGCACAAAATCTTGCGGGGGCCATAAAGGATCGAGTAGTTCAGGAAATTTGGACACACGGCGAGCAAACGTAGAGAAGGAAGGCATCGAACCGGCTACTCGTCGCTTGTTTTCTGTAGTCCCAGATGCTGTTTGATCTGACTGTGTTCTGGAACTTCCATCTTCAGGTTCTTGTTTCGACTCGGCCACGTTCTGGGCATCGGTCTTTTGTGCCAGCTTCTTTGTGAAGAATGGATGGGTGGGTTTCGAGGATTTTATCGTTGCTGGCTTGCGTGTCGGCAAAGTAGGTTTGGCAACGGGGACCGGAGGACGATGAACTGAGTTTCCACTTAGGATGCTATCGATAACTTCTCCAGTTTTGATCTCTGGATCAACCCTATACTTAATGATTACTAGTTTTGTGCGGTCTTTTGGTGGCCTTCCTCGCTTTCCCGTCGCCCTTTTCTTCGTCTCTCGAGGAGGACTCGAGGGAGGCGATGAAAGGAACTTCCCCTTCGAATTAAGTTTGAGGGTCTTCTGCCTCGTCGATGACCTTCCGATTCGCTCTTCTGCTTTGTTATGTTCCGTAGACGTCGAAACTGGGGGAGCATCTGCAGAAATCCGGGCCTCTGCCAGCGGAGGTTGAGTCTGAGATGTAGGCAATTTGTCCAGAGAAGTCTCGGCGGGTGTTATTATAGGAATAGGAGGGCCATTGCCGAGCCATGCCGAAAGACCTGCATTGGAGGTGGCCGTGGGTTCTGCAGGTTGGCTTTTGTCGGTTTTTCGTCTCTTCCTCCGACTCTCGTTGGGATCTTCCTCGATACTGGTAGAGGACTCGGTGGCGAGTTGTGAAGAATTGTTTTTGCGTTCCGTAAAGTTCTGCGGCCCCTGGTCACACGCTGAGCTCTGGTTGCTTATAGGTGTGGCCTCGTTCGTATGGGTATTCGTCGAAGAAGGCAGGTCATTGGAAGGTGTAGATTTGACGGATAGTCCAAATTCTAGATTGTGTAAGTTGGATTGAGTTTGTATCCACAGAGCGCATGCTGACCTTGTCGGAAAAAGGGGTGTAGGACTTGCTGTTCGTCGGATCCCATAGCCATTGGTAGATTGGATACAATGGTGTCCATGGGAGTGCTTAGGCGATCATAAGGGGAAAGTCGAGCAATGAGAAATATCCCGGGATCAGCATTGAAGGGACGGACAGTAGACGGCAATGAGACAATTTCGAGTAGAGACCAACCTCACTTGCTCCTCTATAGCTTCAAACACGTCCCGACGCGAAAGGCGCGTTAATGGCTTATGTCATGCTGATTACTTGACGGTTCCACGCTAACCCGGTATAGCCTAGAAGTGGATTTGCCGGCCCGACGTAAGCCCGAAAATTTTTCAGATTTCCCGTTTGGATGGCTCTGCATGCAAAAGGTCACACGCTTTGAAGGGACAGAAAACCGCTTGGTTCTCGAGATTCAGTCATGGACCTGCAATCTCCCTCTGTTCTGGCGCAATTGCCTCGCCCCCTTCACGCCTCCACCGGCAAAACACGTATTAGCGATGTCTTCAGTCTCGCCGATGCGAAAAAGCGCAAGCGCTACGAAGTCGCAGTTGCGGTGGATGGTGAGGCTGTGAACATCTACAATGTACGGTTTCCCAAAGCTGAGTCTTTCGAACGCAAACTGACTCAAACTTATCAGGTTCAAACGCCAAAGCTCGTAACTTCCTACGCCGTCCCGCCGCAATCTACATTTTCTTGTCGCCCATGCTCCGTTCGCCGCAAGCTGTCGAAAAAGTCGGCAGTTCGGAGACAAACCTATACCGCCGTTACTAAGCCCGAGCACCAGATCAAGTGTTTCGTGGAGGAGATCGGCAGCAGTGGCTCAAGTGCCCCGGTCATTTCTTCCTCGACTACCACTGTGACTGATTCGACCAGCCCCACCACCTTCGTCGGCATTGTTCCCTCCAGCGCCAACGATGAAGCAGAGACGGATCCCTTTGACATTTTGGCTGTTCACGAAGATGGCCGTGTGCGTAGACTGTCTTCTGATTTGAAGACCCAACGGTGGAGCATTCAGCACAGCGAGATTGCCAAGGTCTGCTCTACTCACAATGTCCAATCCAGCTTCTTGGTGGAGTTTGAAGATGCAAAGAAGGCTTTGTTCAAGAGACGACAGGACCTTGCTTCGATGGCATTGGGTGATTTGACAGCCTCTGGTGTTAATGAGCCATCCATCTTGCTGGTGGTATCGCAGCCAAAGAACACCGACAGGGTTTCCTTGAAGGATATCATTGTGCAGATGTTCTCCGTTCCCGCGGATTCAAAGTCACAGTCGCATGAGAGTCAACGGTTGAGACACCTTCAAACTTTCCACATCCCGGATTTGAGCGGCTTGGAAACTGCCAACTGCAGTGCGATGCAATGGAGCTTCCACTCTGGCTCAGCGGGCTTGAACCTTTCCTTTGAGAAGGGTTTCATCAACGTCGATCTCTCCCAGTATTCGCCTTCCGTTACTTCACAATTCGTGCTTGATGAGCACTTCTCCTCGGTGATGCGCATTTCGCCGCAGTTTGTGATTGGTGCGAGCAAGTCTCTGGTGGCAGTCTATGACACCCAGTACAACTCTGTTCAGCGCAGCATTCCTGCCGATGATATTTCCTCGAGCACCGGATCAACTGGAGAGGCCTCTACAAACTTCATCAGCTACTTCGCCAAGCTTGGAATTGCAGTGGCGACCAAGGGCAACACCCTCATTGCTTTTGACCTGAGCTCGCTCCCTAGTGCGCCCAGCTCTTCCCTGAAGCGAACAAGAGACAGCCTCCTCATTGATGCCATTGGCAAAGGTATTGGGTCATCTGCTGCCCAGTGGGATGTGGCCTCTAAGAAACACCGGTCTGACAACATGGCCTCCCTTCGGCTCACATCCTCTGAGCAAGTTGAGAAATGGACGAAGCTTACACAGACTCTCGAGAAGGCGGCTAAGACGAAGAACATCGACTTGTTCGATAACGCTGTTTTGACATATTTCAGCACTTCTGATGCTTCAACAAAGCTCCCTGTTCGCGGACAGTATGTCAACCCAGAAGCAACTCTTTTCTTGCTGTCCAAGATTTTCGCTGTGGAAGAGTCTACCTCAAAAGATACCGTGTCAGCGTCTCCGTCATCTCAACTCCGGGTTGCCATTTGGCCCCCCACTACTTGCGAGTGGCTCATTCAGTTGGGTCACTTGTCATTCGATAACGTTGAGATTGCACTGCGTCGGGCCTGCAAGCCGCAAGTGCTGCAGAAGTTCCCCACTGGTTCTTTCATTCAGGCTCTGCTTGATTCCGATCCATCCCTGAAGCAGGTCAACCAAGTTCTGGAGGGTCCCATTCTGATCTCCTCAGACGAATTGGCGTATGCACTCAAAGTCTTCTTGAACCAGGCACGTTCGCACTCTGGGGCTCTTGAGGAGACGGCTCGTGCAATTTCCAACGGCGATGTCGCTACTCCCACTCAGGAGCTCACAAAACATCTCGGGTCCGAAACGGCAAACCTGAAGGACATTTTTACTGGTCTGAACACCTCCCTCCAGAAGATTCATGCTCAACCTCTTCCGGTTGTTGTGACTTCCCTTCGCTCGAACCTCTCGCGGACAGAGCTCTTCTCTATGGTCCACCATCTCCGTCTTTCTCTCGCTACCGGAGGCTACACCTCTCGCTTCACCGAAAATCCTCCCACCCCCATTACGCCTCACCAGATTACGCCCGCTCTTTCCCTCGATGTCATCGTCGACCTTCTCACTGCTTCCGTGGACGCCGTTGGTCCATCCGGTTGGATCTCCGCTGTCCCGGCAGCTGGCGAGTTCGAGGAATCAGACTCTGTCACAGCGGCTGCCAGCCGTGAGATGGAACTGATTGCGGACATGAAGTCTGAGGTCTCCGCTGCCCTCGCAGGTGTAGAGGAAGCAACCTATCTCAAGGGAATCATGTGCGAATACCTCCGGTTCGCAGACCAGGTTGTTACCCCAGCCGCTACCTCAGAGGATGCCCTGGCCAAGATGGATGCCGAGGCCACTGGTCCTTCTCACCTTGTCCGCTACGAGAAGCTCAATGGTGCCGACCTGATGATCTTCACTCGTCCCGGTGAAGGTGAAGATGGATTCGATGGTGATGGCGGTGGCAAGATGCTACCCCTGTCGCTCAAAACTACTTCCGGTGACGTCTCCCGCACTAAGATGAAGAAGTCTACAGGCGAGATCAAGAGCCGCACCAGCCGTGAGATTGGATACTTGCGTCGCAAGGCGGTCGGCAAGTACTCTTTCGAGCGACTCATTATCTAAGACTTTCATTTCATGTTTTATACTGTAACATTCATTATTGAGACAAAATATCCTGGAGTTAGACATGATCAATACATACTTTGGGTTACTTCCAAAAGTCTATACCGCCTCCAATTCATACACCGCAATGTTATGTCGCTGTCGTGGCACTAACGAAGTATATATCGTACTAGATTAGTAGATTGGTCTCACCGCTCGTTGCTCCGTGTCTTATCCTGTTCTATCACGCATTAGGCAGCTATAAGTATCCAGGGCACTGTCAGCTTATCTATCTATATCTCTAGATAGATGGCTATAGGAGGATTCGCGCGACCATCGTGCATACATGTTATACCCGTGGACATGTTAAATTACAGAATGGAAAGGTTAATCAGGCAAATCTGAAATGACGTCAAAAGGATGCCCAGCAAACCGCTAAACGAAACGAGGGGCCATATTCTATCTGCAATAGCCTCGACCCTTGAGTGCGCCCCAATAGCCGCACTATTTGGCATTGAATCGCCCTTGCGCAAAGAAGGTAACACATTGGATAACTGCTCATCGTGTAACTTGAAGATATTGGAGGCTCCAGGTCCAAAACTATCTTTTGGTTCTCTGTCTTTCCATTCGCTAGCAGAATATATATCTTGCGCTGTTGACGCTGTATACACTTGAACACAGATTAAAAACGAAACAACAGGATCAGATGTCACTCTTATTGTAAAGTACCACTTTGATCGGCTCAATTACATCAAATCCAATTGAATTGTGCCCTTGCAGAAAAATCGGTCAAGAGATTATTGGGTTATTATCGAGACTAAGTGGGACCACAACATTAGGCTTCGAAATGACTCAATAGTGCCGGGCAATCCGAGCCTTAAGAATGTTTAAAAATGCCTAGAGATGAGTGGAAAATGGTGTAGGGTCGAAAAAAAATACAAGATTGATGCATCTGAAAACTTAAGTATAGATTGCAAAGCGGGCGGAGTCGGTAACTCAGGTAAACACGACAACAAACAAGGAGCTTGAGTGGGGATGAACTGCGCGGACCACATCTCCGCACCGTTCTCTTTTGCAACTCCATTCTTTTTTAGCTCCGATTGTCTCAATGTACTAACTAGGTATGTTTTGTTTAGAGGCGCGAACCTTTGGAAGACGCGTATCATAACAAAGCAAAATGAGCCAACCATGGCTCGACAGTCTATCCGACGACTGGCCGTCGATGCCAGCCTCGCCGACAAGTCCTGCACCAGCTCAGCCTCTGCCCTCGTCACCAAGGGCCAGTTTGCAGGTCACACCAAGTCGCATTCCTGTGCCTGCGCGGCGTTCCGAACAACAATCACCGGCGGACGGGAAGAAAAAGGTTACCCGGCCCTGTCATTTCCATAGAAAAGAGCCTCCGACCCCGAAGACTCCCCGAACTCCCAAAACACCGAAACCGCGATCGCCTGCCCCAGACAAATCCAAGCCCAGCACGCCCAGGACGAAGGAAAGCCCTAGGCGCGCCTCCCGTGCGGTTCGCAAATCGTCTGCGATGGACCATCGATCCCCGCTACGATCAGTCTCGAATGTCTCGAACGCCTCGAAATCGTCGGAAGTCCAGAGCAACAGCACCGTCCAGATAAAAACGAAGAAAGGGAAAGACACGCAAGAGGGCACACCGGAATGGCGCAGGCGCTTACTGCGGGGGGAAATCGAGGCGGGTGAACAACGAGATTTGTTCGCGCCGATGGGACTCGAAAGTGTTTTCAAGCCGCCGCCACAGAGTTCATTGACGCAGCAAGACTCTATCCCATTTTCGAGGCAGGACGACCAATTGTGGGATTTCACCGACAACACTTCCCGACAAGGCAGGGACGAGGATGATAACCGCGACCAAGAGTCTGAGCCCGAATCAGAGCGCGTCGATAGCGAGGACGAGGGGCCCAATGACAATGACACGGCGTCAGGGACAGTAAACCGCGCGCCTTGGGGAGCGGATGCGACACAGGACGCGACTCAGGACCCAGAAGGGTTCTCACAAGGGAATACACAATTACGGACAGCAAGTGGGCTGGAGGACCTTCGTAACGAAGGCATAACACCCATTACATTCACTCGAAACAATACTGTCGACGGCACTAAGACGTCTGAAGTCATCAAATCTGCGCTCAAGCAAGTCACCAACAAGTTGGAGAGCCTGTCTATCGACAACGACAGCCGCCCAGACTCCCCAGCAAGCGATAGCTTCCTCTTCTACAACCACAGTGAACCTCGTCCTGACGCGTCATCCCGCGAAGACAGTTTGCTGGACGTGACAAGCCACTCTCTTCCTCAGGATCTGTCGATGGGAACAGTCGACTTCAACCGTCGTGGAAACCGCTCTTTCCCTCGCCGATTCTCTCCCTCGCCCTTCCCTTCACATCGCCTCTCCCCCGCAACACTCGCCAACTCCAAAATCCGCAGTTCTCCTCTCTTCAATCCTCACAGGACTGGTTCTCCCGCTCTACCACGTCCTTCTTCATCTCACGTTCGACCATCCACAGCTGGGGACACGGAAGCCAGAGAGGACAAGATGCCATCTTCAGGAAGTCCGTTGAAGTTGTTCGGTAACCATGACACATTCACCAATAACAGGCTTCTTCGGCGCATGAGTCAATTTGAGGAAAGCTTTAGCGATACCTCTGAAGGAGAAGAGCCTCCGTCCCCCTCTGAGGAAGCACGAAGGAAGGGTGAAAACCGCAGCTTTTTGACTACGAGGCACGAACCATTAGGCGAGATTTCCCCCAGACGTAATGAACGTCACGAATCTCGGAATAATGGACATCGGATAAGTCAATTTGGGGGTGGCGAGTTGGACAAGTTTGATTTCTCAGATGCTAGCCCCTACGAACACAAACTGGTCTATGATGAGGCCGCAGGATTTGGATCCCGACCTACATCACGCAAGCGATCATCAACTCGACAATATCTTCGTGGTCCCTCCGCACAGCATAGTTTATACCATTACAGCAGATCAGTGAGTTCGGGATTCACCCGAAAGCCGTCTGCCTGGGTTCGACAAGATTTCTTTGATGACATCCGGCCAGCGACTCGGCCTGGGAACAAGGAAAACATGCCTCCTGATGTCAAACGAGTGCCCAAAGCTCCAGACATGGATCCAACGCCTAAGCGGCGCCGAACAATTATGCGAAAGAACAGTGCCGAACCCAACCACGAGAATGGGGACTCGCCCCCCAAGTATGGCGACAGCATGTCGCTTTTGCAGAGAAGCCTCATGCAACAAGGCGTACAGCTCGGAAATGGAGACTACCTTGCTCCACCCGGCTTTTCCCAATCCATGCAGCGGCCGCGGACACCGACTCCAAGCCAAATCCGAACTGCTGGCGAACCGAGTGTCATGGCGCATAGAAAGTTCTCCGAGTCAAATTTCGATAACACTGACTATTCTGACTCGTTCTCACTCGATGGTGATGTTCCACTTGTTAAGATTACTGGTACCAGTGATACTTCACGAAAGGGGTCAATCACCACCCAGGACTATCTAAACGAAGCCACTAAGATCATGGACTTGATCAGAGCAAAAGGACGGGGCGCGGCAGGTCTGACCAGCGTCCAAGAGTCCGACGTGGAAAGCGAAGGCGACGAGCTTGACCTGAGCTACGAAGATGAATCCACTCGCGAAGCATTCTCTCGTCCGCCAAGCCGTGATGGAACAGATCTTCGCAAAATCAGGGAGCCGAAAGAATTGAATCCGCTGATTTTGAGCCACCTGAAAAAGTACCAGGAGCAAGATGACCGGGAATTTGATGGTGAAATGTCCCTCCAAGGCCGACCAGAAAGTCGGAATGACCTTGATTCACCCAACTCACAGAACATCCGCATCCAAGGACCAAGGAAGCGCAAAACTAGTGGCATGGCGGATGACACGGCGGAAAACATTGCTCAGGACCTGATGACTATCAATACCCAAATGTCCGGCTTCAGCGTCAGCTCCGTACCAACAGGCTCTTCACAAAATTCCCAAGTGAAGGGCATGTTGGCTTCTGATCTCGTATCCCACCTCATCCCAAATCAAGTCAACGGCTTCAAATACGACCGTCACAGGAATCAATGGGTGAAGGATGAAGTCGAAGAACCTCAACCTCCTGCTGCCGAACCCGAGGAAGGTGATGATCCTTTCAGAGATATTCCGGACTTGAGTGTAGATGAACTACAAGAGATGATGAGAGTACATGGTCTCAGCTCTCCTGCAAAGAGCACGCCCGGTGACCGAGAAGAGACCTACGCCCGCAGTCCTCTGGCCGTCCGCAGATCCCCCCAGAAGACTGATGTTCGACCGCACACGAGGGATGGCGGTCCTTCTCTCAGCGGAAGCTCGATTCGCTCCAGACTGACTCGATTCACGTCCAGTGTTCCCAACACTGGCACCAGAGCGACATCTTGGGAAACAGACGAGACTGAGGGACAGAACCAATCTGGACAAGAGAGTTCCGAGAGCCAGCACCCGGAGTCTGTGTCTTCAAAGATATCTCGATCTCCAGGAAAACAAGCACGCGTTGCAACCGTCAACCTATCCTCGGCTGCTGCACACGCCGCTTCCGAAGGGGGAAGCAATGACACAGAGCGCGATCCAGCCTCTCAGGATCACATCTACCAGGGAATACCTCCACTCGAAGAGCCAGCTCAACCCGATCATGAAACTGGCTCGGTCCGGTCTTCTGTCCCTCCAACGGGACGCCAAACTTCCGTTGCCGGGCAGCCTTTCATTCGTCGTCCCATTTCGAGAATCGAGGAGAGGAACGAGGACACCGTCGACGACCAGAGCCTTGTCCGCAGGAACGACTCACTTTCTGTCAATGAAACACCGGCTCGCAATGGGGCAGAGCAGTCTTTGATGCCAATTCAGAGCGCTGGGCCCGACACAAGTTACAGCTTCCACCTCAGTCCTCTCGCAGACTTCTCGGTCAACCAAGGGGACCGAGCTCTAAACCTTGAGATGAGCTATGTGGCCCAACGCACAAATCCATCTTCCCTGCGCCAAGTGCACGGGACGTTTGCATTGGCAACTGGAGATTTGATCAAGCATATCACTGACGTTGAGCCATATGAGCCTTACTGGGAGCACGTTCGTCGCCTGGTTCTGCGCCAGAAGGGGTTGATTACGTTGCACAAGCTCAACGAATTCTGCCCACGGTTGGAGGAATTGGATGTTTCCGACAACGACATTGGTCAATTGAGTGGTATCCCTTCCTCATTGCGAACCCTCAAGATCCCACGGAACTGCCTGTCCAACCTCACCCCTTGGAGCCATTTGGTCAATCTGCAATACCTTGATGTTTCAGGAAACGACATTGAGACATTAGATGGCTTCTCGAGCTTGATCCACCTCCGAGAGCTGAAGGCGAATGATAACCAAATTCGTAATATTGATGGCATTCTTGACCTCAATGGCTTGCTGAGTTTGAAACTGAGCAACAACTCTGTGACAGTGGTGGATTTCGAAGGTTCTGAGCTGTGAGTCGTCTTCAAGGCTCGGAGAATTACGGTACTAATTGAATCTGTAGGACACGCCTTCGGGATCTTGACCTGAGTCACAACTGTTTAACGTCCGTTCGCAATGTTGACTGGCTCCCGTCACTTGCCACTCTTGACCTCAGTGCCAACCAAATCAGTAGTTTGGAATCGCCAGCTTCCCTCATCAGCTTGCGTGCTCTTAAGCTGTCGGGAAACAGTCTCGAGTCTTTTGATGCACGAGCATTCCCTTCCGTGAGCCTTATTTACCTCGACCAGAACCATCTTTCCACTGTTACCGGCCTGGAAAATTGCCACAATCTCGAGGTTCTGTCTCTACGGGAGCAGACACCCAGAGAAAAGGATCCCAGTTTCACCCTCGGCCTTGATCTGGGGCTGATCAAGGATATCCGCAAAGTGTTTTTGTCGTCCAACAAACTTTCACCTGAAACCCTCTCTCCATCTGCTCCACTACTACGCCTCCAGCTTCTTGACTTAGCTGCGTGTACATTGAAGAGCATTCCAAGTGACTTTGCGTTGAGCTTCCCGAACCTGAAAGTTCTCAATATGAACTTCAACTCTGTCGATGACGTGGAACCCCTGGTGGGAATGAACTGTCTCGCCAGATTGATGATCGTTGGCAATCGCCTATCAAGGATGAGGAGGGTCTCTCAAATTCTCAGTCGGCTAGGAAGAACTGGGAAAGGAACCACGTGCTCCTTGCGCAAGCTTGATATCCGTGGGAACCCATTAACTGTTGGCTTTTACCCCCCAGCAGTAACCGGAAACGGCACGACCGCGGATTGGAAGAAGTTGAAGTCCAACGAACATGCAATTGTTCGGCACCAACAAAACCACCGAGATCTTTCTGATGCTCTAGCAGAGCTCGGAAACGATGACCAGATATCCCACCGGGCGACAATGGGAGAAGAGGTAAAGCCTGACACGGACGTCGAAATCAACGACCCCTTCACAGTTCCACTCGCAGACCCCCATGCCGACGGGAAATATCTGACCCATCTCGACCAAGCCACACGACTCCGTCGGAGAGTTCTCGAACTCCTCCTTTACGCCGGCACAAGCGGCTCTCTCCATACCCTGGATGGTCTGGAGCTCCGGCCATCGCTGGGCGATGAGGCCTCCGATATGAACCAAGCATGGGATAGACTGGAGCATCTTGGCGTGCTTAAGAGGAAGGCGATTAAAAATTAAAGCTATATTCTTTGTTATTGTTCTAAGTTGATATTTCGTTCACGGAGGGAGCGACGTTGGATTTCGAGCATTGTCGGTAGCGTGCATGGAGTTTCGGCCCTTTGTCCGAGTACTTTGGAGTGGACTTGGTCACGCTTGGAGTTTGGTGTTTGCTATCAGCATAATTGCATTATTGGAGTTTGTTATTCAATCAATTGTGTTCCTTTCGAAAAATATTCAGATACTCACCTTGGTCTCGCTTTGTTAAAACCTGACCGAACCGTCCACGAATGTCCTTCGAACTCACCACCGGCGATAGAAACCACTCACAGCTGATTCTCCGGCATTGGCTGAGGTCCATGCAATCAATCGGGATTTTGTGACTAAGACTACAATTACACAGCCGCAAGTGGAGAGCATCCCAGTTACCGAGGTGGATACGGATTCGGCAGGCCCGCTTTTCTCAGCGAGAAAGACCTGAAAGCCAGCGGCAACACCGCGTCTGGCCCTCGAGCGTATGCGGCCTCGCCACCTTCTCTCCTCGCCTGCTATACAGTGCTCTTGATCCTTACGGTCCAAAATTCCTGCAGTTGTCTGATAGCGGTCCGAAACAGACCAGCCGAAAGATTTCTGATGAAGTTCGTCGAGATGCGTATAATGTCCAAGCTTTCCTCTTTGCTGTTTAGGCCCCCAAATTGCGTGGTTGGCGCTTGCTACACCCTGTCAACCTCGATCTGGTAACGCCCCAAACAGGGGCTAACTCAGTAGCTTTTGCCCAATCGTGGCCCTAAGTGGAGCGGTTGCGGGTCGGCCCACTGTCCTTAACCTTATTATGGTGACACAAAAAGTCATCAAGGTGGTATCTGGTCATGACTAAAGACATTGGTTCTGAGATTGAGCCCAAAAATTGTAGCCAAACTTAGCCAGCTACTTCGATTCCGCAACGGTCTTAGAAAAGAGAGAACCACCAACCTAAGGTCAGATAGTATGCCAGAGTACAAAGTGCAACACTGATTACTGTTTCAATGAGTCACGCTCTTCCTCGTGACTCACCTTCTCTTTCTCCACTTCCAAAACTGCATAGTGGGCTATCGCGACGTCCCGACGTGCCTCATCTAGCATAATCATGTCCGTCTCCCCCGAGCGACTCTTGAAAACACGATCCATGTCTTCCAATGTCGCGCCTTTGGTCTCTGGGAGGAAGAAATAAATCCATACAATGCTAGCCGCAAGGAAAACTGCAAAGAAAATGTATGTGCCCCATTTCCAAGTCTGAAACATAGGTGGAACGAAAAAGGCGACGGCGAAGTTGTTGACCTAGAATCGTATTAGTGCTGCTATAAACTCCACCGTATGCACTCACCCAATTGCTTGATGCACCGAAAGACGAGCCTTTGGAACGAATAGACAGGGGGAATATTTCTGCTACAAGTGTCCATGATACCGGTCCCCAGGTAGCACCAAATGCGCCGACGTAGATCCAGATGAAAGCCACTGCCGCCCAGCCAGCATCTGAATGGTGAGCAAAGTCATTTCCAAACTTTGCGACAATTATGCCAACCAGGACCATTGAAATCCACATGACGGCCGAGCCGGCATAAAGCATGGGCTTTCGACCAACTCTATCGATGAGAGGCATGGCTGGGAGAGTGCATACGAAGAACACTACTCCAGTGACACCCGTGGCTAGTAGTGCCTGAGTACCCCCAGTCAAACCCAGACTTTGGAACACGGTGCTGGCGTAGTAAATGATCGCATCAATGCCGCTCCATTGCTGGAAGAACATGATAAGCCATGCGATTGCGACCCGCTTAAAGTTGTCCCATGTTCGGAAGATTTGATAATACTGAGCAAACTCGCGAACCAATACACTTCCTTGCTCCTTGGCTGCCAGGTTCGGGAATGTTTTGGCAAAGGATCGCTTCTCGAAGAGACACTCTGCCTCGATCTCCTTGAGTTCTGCCTGAATCAACTCATGATCTTCGGGCAGGTTGCGCAGGTAAGACAATGTAGTAAGCGCCTCCTGAACTCTACCCTTCTTGACAAGCCAGCGCGGGGAAAAAGGAAGCCACCAGATTCCACCTGCAAGCAGTACGGCTGGAATGCCTTGGATAATCGAGGGGAGTCGCCATGCAAGGTTCGACTGCGTTTCTCCAATGCCGCCAATATTGTTGCTTCCATACCCTATCCAGAAAGACAGCATAATTCCGAAAATAGTAGCAAATTGGTAAAACGATACCAGAAACCCGCGAAGCTCTGGAGCTGATAGCTCGGCGTTATAAACGGGGCTTGCGCACCGGACAGTTAGTTGACGGGCCAGACCATGGGTAAGTATTGAACTCACCCAACACCACTGAAAGTACCAACACCAAGACCGGTGAAAAACCTTCCTGCATACAGCAAGCCTGGCTTGTGGTAAGTGGCTCCACAATAAAGGTAGCTCCCTAGGACAACCCAACAACAGGCTGAAAACATGGTATACTTCCGAGAGAATATCTCGCCCAGAATTCCTGCAGATAGAGAGCCGAGTATACCACCCAGTTGCAAGATTGAAGTGAGCCATCCAGTCGCGCTAGAGGACGCAACGACTGAAGGGAAATTGTCCGTAAATCGCGTCATGACAAGGGACTGGCCTAGGACTCCCTGCTGATACCCATACTCAAATCCGCCAACTCTATATGAAGTGTTAAAAAGTGTTTGTTAGATAGAAGTATCTGGCACTTACGACGCGAAGAGAGCAATAGCCATTAGTTTGGGGTTGTGCAATAACGATGTCCAGCGGTTTTCCATTGCCACCTTGGTGCGGGCGTCTCTATTCGGTTCATCGGCCATTTCTGTCATATTGGCAGCTGACGGTGAAATAAACCACAAATCCTACGTGTAAACCACGGAAATGAATTTACCCCGAGATAAAAAGGAGATGTCACAATATAATGACATGCTCCCGGGTGAGCATTTTGGGTGCAGCTCAACGTATTTATTTGATCAAATATAGAATGAGACCATCAAGGAATAATAAGCTGTGGCTACAATATCCTGCCTGGGAACTTCCAAGGTTGTTTTGGGAAGTTGGTGCCACTCGGAAAAACTGCGGGGTCTGTGGGGAACTCCGGGGAAACCCCAGATGGGCCTATGCATTCACAGGCCAAGTGAAGGCGGGCTGATTTGGGTAGTTGTAGGCACTTCGCATCCCAGGGTCTAAGGCTAAATGGATTTGTCAATGCTAACCACTCCCGACCCTATTTCGTAGGCAGCCCCAAGCGCTTTCATCTCCAAGTATCTACCAAGCTATAGGAACTCCTCAGATTTATAGCAAGTTATTGTTGTATTAATATCCCAATTAAATGCAACTACATCAGATACAAGCAATGACCGAATGATTAAAGTGTTATTAAGAACCAAAGAAGAAAAAGACCTCTGAGTCTTTTTTACAAAAAGTTGATACTCCCTTCGGCCCTTGGTTGGGCCCCCAACCAAGAGCCGTTGGCTTTCCAAAGCCGTTGGTGCCCGTCCACCTCTCCCCTCCGGCCGAAGGGGAGAGGGACGGCTAGACACCAACTGGTCCAGCGCGGATCCAGGATCGAGGGGGGGTACTCTCACCTGGGACCGACAGCTAGGCCATAGGGACCTTCGGTGAGGTTCTAACCTAATTATAGATTGATACCATAGGAAATATCATTCAGTCTTATTTTGTGCAAGCCAGGGATCGAATCGTCCCTCTCTCTTATTATTTAAATAAATCTGCCAAAACACTCACTACAATTATTGTACCCCATACCTCAATCATCGTACACTCTCGCCAACACACGATTTTATATGCAGTCTCGCTCAAGCCCTCTTTCCAAGCAGAGCCATGATACCAGCACCAAGCAACAAGGGGTAGTGATATAACAATCGGACTTAGTTATGTTTGATTACATGACTTGGATAAGAACGCGGTCATAGCGAGTCAACGGAAAATACCCATCGTCGGTCCCCTGCAGAATGATCGAGATTGTTTGACCGGGCTCCGCATTGGCCGGAATTACCACACTCGCCTGATTTCGGCCGTGTTCAGTCACAGTCACGGCACCGGGGTATGTACCTTCCTCCACATACTGCCACCAGGAACTGTTGACCTTGTCGTCATCTGGATCGTGAACTGCACCGGCCAGTGTCACCGTCATGCCAGGGCGTCCTTTTACTGTACTACCATTCAAGATATGAACAGAGGGCGCGTGGTTTCCGTTGCGGTACTGCGGTGTCACTGTCCACTGAATGCGCGCGGCAAAGTCGTTCTGAACAGCCGCAATCCAGCGGTTTGTCGTATATCCGTCGGTTTTCGTACCGTTCCGGTTTGTTTCGCTGTCGACCATCACCCACAAATCCGGAGAAGTGGTATTTTGTTTGGCCCGGCCGCCCCAGCCACCGAGGTTCGGGTTGGTTGGGTCCTGGATACCGGTTGTCAACAGCGGATTAAACGCCACGTTATCGCCCTCGGAAAGGAAGTCATATGAGCCAAGTGGCTTGCACCAGCCAGAGGCCGCTTTTGTTGCATTGCCGAAAATATCTAATGGATCACCTGGCATGGATTGGCCGTCGAGCCAGGCGCGGTAGAGCTTTCCATACGGTCCCATTTCAATATTTGGCTTAATCCAGTCACCAGTAAAATACAAGTGATCATCTGGCAAGCCACGGACGTTGCCCTGGCCTTTATTGCAGTTGAACCCCCAGGTGTCGTAGCCGGCCGACATCTCCTCGACGCGGATATGGGGCCAGTGCGGAGCAATATAATCGACGTACGTCGTGTCCTGAAATCCACTGGCCATGATGACAGCTTTGCGGGAGATAGTCTCCTTGGTTCGTGCCCACTTGCGCGAGCCGGAATACCGCTCCTCGATTGACTTGAGTGCACGGGCTATGGTGTTGGTGCCACCCCAAGCCTGCAAGTATAGCGTTCGTGGATCATCGTCCAACAATAGCGCCTGAATGAGGTCGGAGCCATCTGTGTCATGATCCATTTCACCTTCAAAGTCGATGTTACCAATCTTAACGGTGGACAACAACTCCTTCGGCGTCGGATAAGATGGATCATGGCGACGTAGATTCGGGTAAACCTCTGCGTAGGCCTTGAGGACATTGTCCTCAATGGTCCGCGTGCCGGTCCAACGCAACGATGTGCCATTGCCATTGCCGGCCCAGTGATATACGCTGGAGGTATAGATGATGCCTTGCGTATCGAGTTCATTTGTATAAAGCAGATATCGGATCAGCGAGGCCAAGTCGTCCTGCTCCATGTCGGTTGTAATGACGGTGCGCAATTTCGTTGATTTGTTGGTAACATTTCCGGACGCAGCAGGAAGCGTGCTGGCTATCAGGCCAAGCATTAAAAGACGACGGACAGTAGACCACATGTCGGCCGAAAAGTTAATCTAATGAAGTGAGAAAAGAAGGAGTGTGAATCCTCGAGATACCAAGTTTGAGCGTTTTTATATAGTTCACGTAAGCCATTATCCCTGCGGAGGCATTGTGGGGACCCCACACTTTTGGCAAGAGCCCCAGGTCGCGGGGTAACTCGAACTTTGTTCCGCATAGAGGTAGTTTAACCACTGATGTGTTTAAAGGGTGCAATTCCAAATTATGTAAACGAATACGGCGAACCTGCAATGTATCTCAACTCATCCCGAGAGGTTCGTCATAAGCGCTTACACTTACCTCGATTGGTTTGTCTTCTGAAAAGTGCTGTAAGTGACACGCCTGCTTCATAATTTTATCTTCGCTAGCTCAAGACCAGGTTCTGCTTTGCAATATGCCACGGCAAACAATCGCGGGTTAATAATGTCATACTAGGTCAAATCAATTATACTTCGTGTTGATAGATTTTCAAATAACCCGGCTAGAATCTCTCATCGTTGTAAGGGATGAATTATATTGCTAAACACTAGAAAGGGGATAGAAAGGAATTAAAATATTTAGCGTCGTGCAGTGTTGCTCGAAAGAACAATCCATGACCACCGAGTCAGGTCAGATATGATGTTTCAATATACAGAAACAATTATTTCTTGCCCTGGACAAGAATCTGCTTCTCCTTCTTGATCTGCTTGACAACCTCGATGTCAATCTTCAAGACGTTGGCAACAGTATCAGCAGGGGTCAAGGCAAGCCACTGAGCCAACGAGATGTCAGCGACACGATCGCTCTTGTATAGCTCAATCCAAACAAGCTTCTCGGTATCGGAAGTATTTTCGATGTAATGACCTAGAAGGAAAACGTGAGCGCAGGCGAATAAAGTCCTTGAACATGTGAACATACCACTGTTGTCCGGGAATGCAGCGGTGTCTCCCGCCTGGAAATCAAAAGTGCGGGCTTTGGAATCACCAATGAAAACGGTCGCACGAGCATGACCCTGGTGGAAGTAGAGCCATTCCTCAGCCTGAATGACTGTCAGTAATCGGTCTTGCAGACATTGACTGGGAAACTAACGTTGGGATGCCAGTGAAGTTCACGAAGACCCTTAGGCTCTAGCTCGACAATAGCAGCAGCAAGGGTTTTGGAGATAGGAAAGTTGGTCGAATCTATCTTGCGGAATGTTCCACCATGACCAGGTACAGGCTCCGAGGGGTGTTTGTAAGTGTGATACACGTACGAGTTGTCACCTCTCAAAGTACCCTTTGGAGCTTCATCAAGGTCTTTGCTGACAGTACCATTCAGGATATAGGGGAACTTAGAGGGAACAGTGTCGAAAACCTTGGGATCGACGCCGAAGTTCTTGGCGAGAACATCTCGGGGAGTGTGGGCAATCCAGTCGTCGACCATGAAGGTTGTTCTGTTCGATCAGCATGGCAAGGTGGGGGTGGAGTATAGGGAGACATACCCAATCTTCTCAAAGTTACCGTCATCGAAGGCAAGTAGATACTCGTTCTCATCATCTAAACCTTGCACGTTATGGGCAACACCTTTGGGGAAGTACCAGATGTCTCCAGTCTCGAGCTTCTCGGTGGTGAAACCACCATGCTCGTCAACCCCTGAGAGTAGGAGAGATCCATTGTAAACGAATCCCCACTCAGCCTGGATACTGCCGTCAGTATGTAAGACTATTTATGGGACCGAAACCATGTACCGTTCTATGCCAGTGCAGCTCACGAATAGCCCCCTTCTTCAGATGCTGCTGAGCACCAGCAATGTCATGGCTTTGAGGCAAGTCCTGGATGACTTGCTCTCGAGACCAACCGCCTGGGAACAGTCTAGTCTGGGACTCAGAGAAACTCCATTTGACATTGGGCACAAAGCCATTGTCGGTACTGGCAGTACGGAACTGGTCCGGGTTTTGAAGATCGAGTTGTCGATTGGTTCCACCTAGTAATAGAACATTGTAAGCACTCATCATAGAGGTTAACTTATGATTCAGTTGACCTACCTAAGATCGGTGCGCCCTTGCCACCGCTGATCGGCTGGTCGCGGCCATCATCCTGTCTTTTGGCCTTGGGGACCGCAAAGGCAGTGGAAACAAATAGGCCAAGGAGAGCGAGACTTTGAGACTTCATCGTGACTCAAAATAGAAGTCTTCAATCAGAATGAAATTTCAGGTTGCAAGCCTCGAGCCAAGAAGCTGGGAGGGAGCTCATTTATATAAGATTTTATACATGCATTTAGACCCCTCTCCCCTCAAGATCACGTCTCCATCAAATCCCGGAATGGAATTATCCCCAGAATGCCACAATTGATCCCAAAATTTCCTCATGTTGATTAAAATGAAGACAACACCTGAGCGCACAGATTTAGCCCAAAGTATAAACTGGACTATCGAAAGACAAGAAATGATGCAATTCAGAGCATTCTTTTAATTTCGCATCCCGCGGAACACCTCGTAAGGATAGACTTGAATTAACAGGGGTAAAAAGTGCCCTGGCAGAAACCACGAGAAAGTAGGTTTTCCTCTGTATAGCAACATTCTTGGCATCATGTCGAAATCGACGCAGGGGTCGCCCGTATTCTGGACCCCATGGAGAAAATACATTGTCGATCATGGACCCTGTCAGGTACATTGAACATACGACCGTTGATATTCCGGCAATTGATGAGGCGGGATTGGTCAAGCTCGGGATGTGCTTTGCCCTGGATCACCTCATCCGCACCTTGAATTACAAGATCCCAAATGACTTGGCTTGGCACCGCAGATCATTCCTCTTAATTATCAGCCAGTAGCCCTGTCGGACAGAGAGAAAGCTTCGCTTTGATAGATGGACCTCAATTCCGGGTCACTTAGCGTTCTTGGCTATAGTTGTGAAATGACAAACCCCGAGCGCTTTTGGCCGATTTTCCTATTCGGGTAAGCACATGGCTTTTTTTGCCCTAGTTTTTCGACTCGTTCGCCCAAAAGTCATGGTGGCGTTTGAGTCCAGAGCAAGACTCAGCCAAGGAATTCAATCGATCCTCTTTTTGATTCCAGATATGCATTTTGGGTTCGAACTATGTCTCCCACAAACCTGTAATTCCTGCCAGATCCCTGCTGTCCCTCTATCAGCAGCGTAAATTGAGTTCGGTCACGACATTTCATCATCATCAGTCAACTTGACTTCGCAGAACATCAGTATACGGGGACTTGTCGGGCAATCGAGTCCCCGAGTCTGGAGCCGCCTGACTTCTCGTGGCGGCGTCCAGGAACGATTTCGCCATTTCATAGATCAACATCGCCTTCAAGAATTTGGAATATCAGTGACAGTTCACATGTTGTCTTGTCTTGCGTGCTTTTCATTGCCGTTGGCGAGAAGCTTCAGGGGGAAAACACAAGGTGACAATTCATCTGGGGAAGATACGGAGACGTCCTCGGATATATAAGCCATGAGATATTCCCGCATATGTGCTCAATCCAACGCAATCTTTCTCAAATCTTCTCACCAAGATGAAGTATTCCTTCGCTTCTATTGCATCTTTGGTCGCTGCCGTGGAGTGCCTTTCCTTGCCTCCTCTTATTCCAACTATCCCAGGAGTGACCGAACCTTTGACTACCAACGCTCCTCCTTTGCCTATTTTGCAAGTTCCGACACCTCCACTGGAGAGTCCTCCTTTCACCCCGAGTGATATTCAGCCCAAGAAGATTGGTTACTTTTGGACTGGATCTGCCGACAAGTTCCATAAGGGTGAGGGTCTATCAAACAAGCTTGGAACGAGATGATACTTACATTTATTCTCAGATTTCCTTGCCACCTACAGTCTGGATGATGTAAGCTATACCATGCAACACAATACCTGAATGTGCTGACTGACTCGATATCAGGATACCTTCGGTACTCTCTTGTGGGTCACCGATGTCCCATCAAGCGGCAACGACCCCCACCATCTCGGACCCTCTCTTGATGGAAAGACCCTCTGGGGTGGTGGATTGCTGTCTCTGTTAAAGACCCAGGTATGTACCACATCTGAAATAAACACCTTCTAAGTCCTAACATTCACTCAGGACACTGGATTCTACTTTGACACCTCTAACCCCTACCGCCCCAAGTTCCTGAAGAGCAACCGGGGTATCCTGGCCTCGATTGCAGACGAGGTCAGAGCCAAGCCTGATGGAGGTTTCTTCATCACCTACATGGGTTCCGCAGTCGGTACCTCTCCCGGTCGTCTAATTGAGACCGATGCCGACTTCAACATCATCCATGAATGGCCCGAGGATGTTGAGGGTACACTCAACATTCTGGAACAGCAGTTCTCTCCTCATGGTCTCAGTATTGACTGGGATAAGAAGCTCATCTTGACTTCGGACTTCGTCGAGCCTGTCACTATTTTGAAACCCACTCTTGGAGTGCGTCGTGCTGATACACTGCGCTTGTGGGACCTGGATAGCCGGAAGATTCTCAGTACCCTTACTATTCCTAACGTAAGTTTAACGGAGAGGAAAACTTTTCTTTGTTCTGTCTAACCTCACTAGGGCGGCGGTATCCAAGATGTCAAGTTTATCCCCGGACACCCCGAATCTGCTGCTATCGCTACTGCTGTCCACCTGGGCCAAATTTGGGTTATCTACCCTCTGCGCAAAGATGCGAACGGCAACCAAGGTGTGATCGAGGAGCTCTATGACCTTGGACCCAAGGCTCGTGATACTGTTGCTATCTAGTAAGTACTTCCTTATCATACAGCAAAAGAACAGAACACTAACCACTACGCATCCACAGCTCCGACATCAGCCAAGACGGCCGCTTCTTCTACGCCACCCTTACCACAGCAAACCACATTGTCGCGCTGGACATCAGCGACCTGAACAACATCAAACGTCTCGATAATCCAGATGAGGACCAACCCACAGTCGGACCTCACTATGTCAAGGTCACGCCTGACCAGAAGCACTTGGTTGTCACTGATTACTTTGTCCAAACTGGCGAGATCGGTATTATCAACACTCCGGCTGACTTCAAGGCGCTCTATATCGATCTGAACGAGGATGGCAGTCTCTCTTTCAACCGAACTATTGACTTCAGCAAGGAGTTTGAGAATCGTGGGGGTGCGAAGCCTCACTCTAGCGTTATCTTTGATCTTACTGATCCCGAGAACCCTCTTTACTACTAAGCTGTCTCAGTTTCTCAGTTCACTTGAGGGAATGTGGGTATAAAGTGAGGGAGCAGCAGAGGAGAGTTGTGCGGAGAAAGATACATAGTTGTTTAATATTCTAACCTCTGACATGTGCCTTTGGGCCTTTTATTTTAGTGTGGATATACTCCCAATATTAATTATATACCGCCGGAAATTTATAACTGAAATTGATTGGCAATAAGATCCAAAAAGCCCCAAGGCTGTGCATTGGGTATCGAAATAAGACTACAATATAAGGACAGGAGACGATCAGGACGACTACAACTGTGTCACTGGCCGGGACAAACGGAATCTAGACCTCATCCACAGTTGTTGTGTGACCAGTCTTTGACGTCCCATCTCTCCGCTGACTTGGGCTATCCTGATCAACGACTGCTGATGAAGTTGCTTTACCAGCTGCAATGTCATCCTCCAAGACGGCGCGGAACTCCTCACGTTGAGGCAACAGATATCGCACATCAACAAAGCGCAAAATACAAGTCATGATAATAACAAGCACGAGCAGGGCCAGGGCAGACTGCCATCCATATTTATAGAAAGGAGCTTGGGAGGCAGGCCATACAAGAACCTGCGACCATGCAGAGATAGAGTAGTACCCAGCAACTGCAACTCCAACAGCAAGCGACCGGGCTTCTGGATCTTGCGGGATAAGATCAGAAAGCCATGCAAAGATGAGCGGCGCTGTACCGAGACAGACGTAGGAGATGAAGTATGATGCGTAGGCGGCTGATAGGGCAACGGTGTCTGGGTGTGTTGTCCAAATACTCATAATAATGCATGGTATGATCCCGATGACAGCTTGGAGAACGATCAGAGTCCAACGAGTTTTCAGGTAATCAGACAATAAGGCCCAAATCCAAACGAAGACGACGTTGATTGCTGAGCCTCCAATAGGGATGGCGTTGACCTGCGACACAGTCCATCTAGGTGTGCCGTCTGGGTTCTTAAGTGAGTTTAAGAATAGCGAGAAATAGACATATCCGTATGTTCCAAGGACAGTCGCGATATAAAGAATCGAAATGAAGTAGACAACCCATCCGGAGAATGTGCGCTTAATACCGGCCCAGGTCATGCGCTTAGGCTCGGCGCGTCCGTTACGAGCAAGTCGCTCCAGCGATAGTTCGCCGTGGATCTTCTTGAACCAGAATGCGCGCGGGTTGGGCCTATTCGGTAAATCGGGGAGCATGAAGAATCCGGCGAATCCCCATACAACGGTGATGATCGCGTTGATCACGAAGAGCCAGCGCCATCCTGCTAGTCCGCCGTGTCCGTCCATGGTATCGGAGATGGCAGCTTGCATAGCACCGGACAGCATTTGCCCTACCGCTTGGCAGGAATGGTAGAAGCCCATTCGCTTGGCGAGTTCTGTGGGTGTGTACCAGTACACTAGTGAGAGTTAGTGAATCCAGGCCGCTTGGGGAATATTGAGGGGAAAATTAAGAGTAAACGTACTAAATAGTGTCATCATCCCAGGCCAAGCGCTACTTTCGCATAAGCCGAGGAATACACGAAGAACGTATACTTGTTTTGCATTGCTGCTCATAGCAATCAGCCCGGTCAACACACCCCAAATTATTTCCAAGCCCGGAAGCCAATAACTTGGTCGTACGTAGGTGAGGATAATCTGGGACGGAATGAGCATGATGCAGTAGGCGACATTGAAGTAGGTTGTGAATCTCGCGGGCATTAGTTGAAATCCGGGGAATGTGGGTACTTCCGACTCACAGGTTGAGCTCGTTGCCGTGTAAATTCAAATCCTCCTTCATGCCAGAGACATACGCATTGTTGATATTTTGTTGATCGAGATATTTGATAACTGCGTCAAGTCAGATTTGATTTTTTTTCAGTTGAGGGGTCTTGCGCCCAACGCACCCTGTGAGAGACAACCGAAAGTCATTAGAAAGATATCCAGACGGCGCACCAGGGCTTTCTCGTCCAAGGAACGGGAATCATCGCTTCGCGTACTGCGAGGCCATAGCTTGAAAGACACCATGGCGGAAAGTGGTCGAAAAGAAAGAAAGAAAGAGCTATGTGGCGACCATGGCCCTTATAGAAGGCCGGAGCGAGATAAGGCGTGCATGACCCCTCGCAGATAAAAGATAGCCACGTCCGGGGTAGAATCGGGTGCAGATCCGAGGGAAAGCATGTTACATGTTAGACTAAATGGTGATAACGTTGAAGCATAGCACCAATAGTTGCATTCCTTAGAGGGTGGAGTAACCTCGGAGGGAGGCCGGAGCTGTTAGATAGCGAGATAGACACCCCCAACACCTTCCTGGCGTCCGCGACTCTCCACTTTTCTTTAAGGATGAGCTTAGTCTCCAAATCATCACCTATGATTGGCGCGGAAAAGAGCAAAGCTCCTCCCAGTCGGGCTTGGGACCGGGCGATGTCCGCGATAGGGGATTATTCCCCGCACCGGCGACTCAAGGTGAACTCTCTCTCAACGCCGACAACGGCCAACGCGGAATAACTGACATTTAACGTTGAGTCACTTATATATACCGGGAAACAGGGATCCGACGGTTGTAGTCTGTCATTAGCAGCAATGTCACCTTTAAGTCAAAAGGAGGGCAGCAGCCGTAGCCTGCCGAATCAAACCCCTTGTTTGAGTTATTGGCAACGAACGACTCGGGCATTTCCACATTTGCATGCGAACAAGGATGCGAAGGTTCCATCGAATTCCAAGTATGTTGTCGTCGGCTCCGGAATATCAGGCAGCTTGACTGCTTTCGAGCTGATTGAAGGAGGAGTCAAGGGAGAGGACATCGTCATTCTCGAGGCACGGGAAGCAGCAAGCGGAGCAAGTTCGCGTAATGCTGGACATGTCCGACCAGGTTTGTGGCATTCGTCCTTGGTTGAGAACATTTCTGATTTCGAATCATGCTAGATGCATTCCGAGGCTTTAGTGCATACTCCAAAGTTCACGGAGAGGAACAAGCCTTAAAGATAATACAAGATGAGCGACTGGTCCTTCAGAGAGTGGACGAGTTTGTCACCAAGCACAATGTGCCCTGCGACTTCAATTTAACAACAACGTTCGATGTTTGCATGACTCCTGAGTTTGCGGCTTATGAGAAAGAGAGTCTAGAATCTTTCAAAAAAGCAGGAGGTGATACTTCGTATATCAAGTTCTACGAAGGCAGAGATGCTCAACAAAAGACCAAAGTTCCTGGAGCAATTGCCGCATATGAATGGCCAGCAGGTTCGAGTCACCCAGCAAAGCTCGCACAATTCCTCCTTCAAACTGTGATATCCAAGGGAGCAAAACTGTTCACCTTCTGTCCTGCCACTGAAGTCAAAGTCAGCTCGTCTTCCGGACTGTGGGATGTGCACACCCCGCGTGGAGTAATAACAGCGGAGAAAGTCATTCACTGCACGAATGCCCACGCAGCCCTTTTACTTCCGCACTTGGATCCATATATGCGCCCAAACCGTGCGCAGGCCCATTCTATCATCCCGACCCCAGCATTTTGTGGAGATCAAGCGTTGCGGAGCACTTTCTCGCTCCGCTACAGTCTTCACCATTTCTATTCGCTCATCCAGCGACAAGCAGATGGCACATTGGTGCTTGGCGTATCACGATCAAATCCGACATTAAGCCCAGAGACAATTGCTGGTCGTTTAAGCACCGACGATACCCGATATAACGAGGAAATTGTCCAGGATGCTTTACGCAGTTTTGGTGAAATGTTTCCTGATTATGTGCCTGACACTACTATGCACGGCGAAGGCTTGGATCATGCTTGGACGGGAATAATCGCAATGACCACGGACTCTGTTCCGTTTGTTGGTGCGATTGAATCTTTGCCAGGACAATATATCTGCGCCGGCTTCAACGGCCATGGTGGGTCTAATCTCCATCCAATCTTTTTTAACATTAACAAGGCTAACCAGAACTAGGTATGGCGAGGATATTCACGTGTGCCCCGGGAATCGCTAAGCTTGTTCTTGGAAAGACCTGGGATGAGACTGGATTGCCTGAGTGTTTCCAATTTAGCGAAAAGCGACTCTCCCGGCTCTCGGGTGGAGATCTGCCGTCTATTTGGTAGTCGAGGCTCAAACAATTTCGGCTTATGGATGTCTCACGCCTGTGACCACTTCGGCCCATGCAAGGCTCTTTACCTAGCACCCAGCTCCCATCGTCCAATAATCGCGGGGAAGCTTTTGTGACAGAACTAGATACCAATTATAGATAGGGAATCTAGAGCGTGGTCGTTTATCTGGGGCCTCTAGAAACTTCTTGTGATCTATTAAAGGCATGTCATTGCGTATAAATGTCTTCGTCCGGTATAAAAATCATTCGTAGGTGCCATAATGTCTTCTAATGCCCAAAGCCAATCCGCAGACCACCGTTAAAATCTCTAAAGTCACCCCTCAGGATTCCAATGCCGTCCCGCCTGACTTCCTCCACTAGCTCCTTGACTTTAGGGGCGATACTCTCCGGAGCAAATCCAAAATGCTCATATGTCTCCTTCGAGGGAAGACTCTTTCCAAAGCTATTCATCGACACCGAAGCATCAGCATAGCGCTCCCACCCGTTAGATGGGTACGCCTCGATAACGACAGTGGGCTTTCCAGCGCGTGGCTTCAAGACTGAATGCTTGTACTCCCGTGACTGCTGCTCAAAAAGCCTAGTGCAAGGGAAAGAAACCACTCGTGACCTGATGCCATGGTTCTTAAGAAGTAGTTCCCTAGTCTGCATCGCGAAGCCCATCTCGGAGCCGACTCCGATTAAGGTTACATCGAAATCACCGCCCTCGGCCTCGGTGAAGACGTACGCGCCCTTAATTGTACCCTCACGTGAGGAGTATTGAGGGTACTGGGTCAGGCTCTGTCGGGAAAGGGAGATAATGGTGGGCGTCTCCGTGGCCTGGATGGCGGCGATGTAGGCACCGGCTACTTCTTCTGCGTCGCAGGGTCGGATATAAAGAACATTAGGCATAGCGCGGTAGAGGGCAGCGACGGCTATGGGCTGGTGCGTAGGTCCGTTCTCGCCAACGCCAATGCTGTCGTGGGTGGCGATGTGGATTTGCTGGAGGCCTTGAAGAGCGGCCATGCGTACAGCGGCAGCCGCGTACAAATGGAAGACGAAGTACGTGCTTGTCATGGGGATAAAAGTGCCTTTGTTGAAGGCGGCCAGCCCGTTGGAAATGGCACACATGGCATGCTCGCGGATACCGTAGTGGATATATCGACCGCTATAGTTTCCATTCAGTCCGCAAGCTGTTCGGAGTTCGGGCTAGTACTACATTAACACCCTGGTTTGGGGGCGACAAGGGAAGACTGAACACAATATACTCACAGACTGGAAGTCAACTTTGTTTTCGTAGGCGACATTGCACGAGGGAGTGAGATCTGCTGTGCCGATCAAGAATGAATTGATATTGCCTCCAAGGGCGTTGGTTACTACGCCGGCTGACTTTCGGGAGGCCGTTGGTGCAGTAGGCTGGTCTTCCTTGCGAGGAATGCATTTGGTCCAGTCTTCGGGCATCTTTCCCGCCACACGGAGCGCAAATTCAGCCGCAAGTACGGGGTTCACTTCCTGATACTTTGCTAGGGCCTTTTGCCAGCCCGCTTCGTGTGCCTCACCACGACCGGGTATGTCACTGAAGAACTCGTAGACGTCCTGGGGGATGTGGAAATGCTTGTCAGGATCGAGACCGAATAACCTCTTGACGTTGGCCACTTCGTCCACTCCAAGTGCAGCTCCGTGTACGTCGGCGGTGCCGGCCTTGGCAGATCCGAAGCCAATCGTGGTGCGAATGTTAATGAAGGTGGGCTTCTCGCTCGATCGAGCGGCCACAAGAGCGCTTGTGACAGCTGATGAACATTAGCCGAGCTATCACCACTAAGCTAAGAGAAGCTCTGAGACATACCGGCAACATCTGAGTCCCCGTTGTACACGTCTACGACGTTGAAACCTGTAGCGCGCATCTTGGCGTTGATATCCTCAGTGTTGGCAACGTCTGCAGTTCCGTCACACGTAACCGCGTTATTGTCGAACATGACACAGAGATTGTTTAGCTTCCAATGACCGGCGAGGGAGAGAGCCTCGAGACCGACACCTTCCTGAAGGCAGGCGTCGCCCACCATGCACCATGTCATGTTATTCACTAGCTCATGACCAGGCTTGTTATAAGTCGCGGCAAGGTTCTTAGTGGCCATAGCAAGGCCAACAGCATTAGCAAGGCCCTGGCCGAGGGGCCCAGTAGTGACCTCCACGCCCTCGTTCTCAATCTCGGGGTGGCCGGGGCAGAGTGAGTCGAGCTTTGAGGAGTGGTAAGACTTCAGCTGCTCGAGTGTCATACTCTCGACGCCAACAAGGTGCATAAAGAGGTACTGCCACAGGCAGGCATGACCTATGATACTAGATAAATCACATGTCCCTTTGCTCCTGTGGACAGCTGAAGGGATACAGAGTACATACCATTTGAAAGAACAAAGCGGTCCCGGTTGAAGTAGTTGCAGTTACCTGGAGAGTACTTCATGACATACTTGTATAGGGCAATACCAATGGCAGCCATACCCATGGGGGATCTGTAGCGAGGTTCCGTCAGCGATACACTGTGAAAAAGGAAATCCATGAAGAGGTTGTCGATTTACCCAGCGTGACCTTCACCGTATTGCTGGCAGAGATCAGCGATGAAGGCCCGAAAGACATTCATGACCCGCTGATGCTTCTCTGTGTTTTCCAATTTAATATCATTAGCCAAAACAGTAGCAGAAGCCCTGGTACTGATGGCCGAGACTGCCTTCACCGGCAAATACTCGACGGGCTTCTCGAGGAGTTCCAGCGCAGGTGCCATGGTGTAAGGGTCAACTCTAAGACCGGAAAGATTTGCTCGAGAATAACACTTGATGATGAATAGCTGCTAAAGGCTGGCGGCAGAAGTCGGAGTGGATAGCCAGTTCTTATACTCAAGACATCAATCCACAGCCATCGCGTGTCCGACATGCAATGCCTTGGAACGATACTTAATTACTTGGTCGTGGGTGTTTGGGATCGAAACGAAGTTGCGGATCACCCAATCCCTGATAATGTCAATTAATCGATGCCAGAAAGTTTAATCTGTAAAGCTGCCAGTTTGCCTAACGCGCTATTGCCGAAGGGTGGCTATGGTGGTCGGGCGAGGCCAGTGGCCCTCGCCTCGAGAACCAACCGGCAACCTTTTCTGCAATACCATTCACGGCGAAGAATGGACTCCTCATAATTAGTCTGTTTGCTGCCGCGGCAGTTGTTGAACGTGCACTCCCATTATGCATAACTGGTGATCCGATGAGTACGGCTATAGTGCGTCGGGCTTATCAATGGCCGTTGTCAAACTGGCATCGCTTAGATGAGTATATTTTGCCACTGACAGCTCATGGGTCTGAGTGCACTCTTGGTCGAGAAACAAAATAGTCCAATTTCAAACTTCCAAGTAACCTCAAAATCCCCCCGGGGCACCAAGTGGGTCAAGCGGGGTAATGAATTCCGGGGAATATTTAATGGCCTTCGAGACGAAGTCCACCCATAGATGTCTCCCTGATGGAAGTTACTAGCACCACACGAGAAAAAGCTGAAGGAACCGCTACAGGGACCCGACGTCGCCGCATCAGACTATCTCGGGCCCGGGGACTGAGAACCAGGACAGGATGGTCAGTCAGTTTCGAATGCCCCCTAAGCGAGCGTCAACCTCGCTTACATGCTCAGAAGCCTCACTTGCAGGGAACGACGCGTGAAGTGCGACGATGGCAAGCCCACATGCGTACGGTGCTCCAAGTCAGATCGTATCTGTCGATATGCCCAGGTAAATGACCAGCGACATGCAACCGAACCCGGTGCCGACTATGAGTCCCCACGGGCACAATCAGATTCAAGAGGGGAGAGGACTGAGGAGGTATGTGTTGGACGAAACGGTATCAGCGATTTAGGCGTCGCTCCAGAGGAGCAGCCGAGCTCCGGCCCAGCGCCCTACTTTCAGGCTACCTGCTCAGCCCCAGCTGGAGTCTCCGTGCCACACCACCACAGCGCCTCAAATGAAACATTGCAGAATGACAGTTTGGATAAAGCCAACGACCAGAGTCTGTCCGGCCTTGACTCCGGCTTCTTGGGTTCTCCACTTCCACCTAGCCAGATAGCCTTGCTCAACATATCTCCGGGGGAGTGGTTCGACCTGCTGGCACGGGATGCTATCAGCAACATCCAACGACTCAATGACGCGTCGACGGGCGACCCACGATGGAAATTCCCCGAAATTGCCCTCTCGCGCAGACAGTCCCCAGCCCCTGGATACCCTGGGGCTCACCCCGAGCAAGCAAAGAGGCAATCTGCGCAACAGCAACCTGCTCTGGAACATCGAGAGAATGGGATCGAAACCGCCATACCAGATTGCCGCCAATTACTCCAGCCTTGGAACACAGCGAGTAGGATAGAATTATCGGCACTCGACCTCACTTTCTTTCGTTACTATATCGAAGTTGTTGGGCCAATCCTAGACTTGTTTGATCCCGCTCAGCATTTTACTAATGTCGTTCCCCATCTTTCACTGCGAAACACAGGGCTCCTGAAGTCGATACTCGCAGTTGGGGCTAAGCACATGTCTCTCGGTCTGATGCATGTATCAGATGAAAATGCACATACCCCAACCTCGCTAGCAGCAGCGACCAACTTGCCGTCAAAACAAGATCCAGCACACTTGGCTACACAGTATTATTATGAAACGCTTCAATATCTCTCGCAGACATTGCTCTATCCTTCCTATGCGGAATCCAGAGAGATTCTGGCAACAGCCACCATGATCAGTACGTATGAGATGTTTGATGCCGACAACGCCTCGACTAGCGGTGACTGGGAGCAACACCTGCGAGGCTCCTTCTGGATACAACGGTCTCAGGACAATGATGGCGAATCCGCGGACGGCTTGAGGCGAGCCGTGTGGTGGGCTTGGCTCCGGCAGGACATTTGGGCGGCTTTTCAGACGGGGCGGCCAACGCTTACCTTCTGGCGTGCTCGCAAAAGCCTCGAGGAGCTCGACTCAGATGAGCTTGCAGCAAGGATAGTCTACATCTGCGGCAAGTGTGTAAAATATGCCGCTTCGGATGAGATGTCGCCAAATAAGGATCCAAGACACAGAATCCAGGAGGGTGACAGGCTTCTCTGCGCACTCGATGACTGGTATCGTGTGCTCCCCGCTTCTTACCAGCCGGTCACTGTCGTCACGGATCCCGGCTCAGATGCTGTGTTTCCGCCTGTCTGGATTCACCCGCCTAGCCATGCAGGCGCTATGCAGATGTACCATTTTGCAAGGGCCACTGTGCTTCTGAATCAACCCACGATGGGTGGTCTCAACGCCTACTGCCTCCGCGACAAGCAGCTAAGTGAAAGCGTTAAGGTGGTCTGCGGCATCGCCAATGCGTGCCAGGAACATGAATCAGCAATAGCCTTTGTTAACGTACAGGCTCTGTTTGGAGGTAAATGTCTCTCTCTGATTTTGTTGCGGTCCATACTAACAAAATGAAGTTGGCCAGTTTGTTCGGTCGCTTGAGATGCAACGCGAGCTGCTCCGTACTTTAGAGAGAATGCTGAGGATTAGCAAATTTCCTGGTAGAGGGCTCCTTGCTAAACTCGAAAAGGTCTGGCTGGAATGACTTGTAACAAGAAATATTTCAAACAGAGACGAGGAAGAATTCTCCCGACTAGATTATTTCATACGGCGCAATGTATAATAAGATCAGTGTAACTGAGCTCAGTCCAGCACGGGTTTTCCATGGACTGAGTTTGAGTACAAACAAGGATATCATTGTTGCTCTAATTGCCCCTAAGTAGCCTTCTAAACATCATCTGGGGGATCATCTCTTTCACCGTTATCACGACATCAAGACTCTCACCACGCCCCAACAATACCAGCAACCGGAATATCAATTCCACTAGTGTAAGACGCACCATCAGAAAGCAGGTACACGTAGGCTCCACCAAGCTCCTTCGGGTCCGCTAATCTAGGCATGCCGCCATAGTATTGCATCTTGAGGTTCCAGTCCGGAGCTTGATCCACAAAGTATGTCATAGCCGTCTTAATAAAGCCAGGCGAAATTGAGTTGACACGGATCCCATGCTTGGCCCACTCCATAGCCAGGGTATGTGTCATATTCCGCACGGCACCTTTAGTAGCTCCGTAGGGAGCCGAGGGCGCCGCGCGGTTGGGCCGATAGGATGTCATGGAAGCAGTGAAGACAATGGATCCCTTGATTCCAAGATCAATGAACCGGCGCGCAACAGCAGTAGCGCAGAAGTAGGCGCCAAACACGTTGAGATTGAACAGTTGGTCCAGCTGGGCGCGGCTAAAGTCCAGCGCCGGCTGATGCTTTGTCATGCCGGCGTTTGCGATGAAGCCGTGCACCGCCCCTCGTGTGGAGATGACAGCGTCGATCGCGGAGTTGACACTCTCCTCGGAGGTGACGTCGCAGTGGACGTAGTATAGCCGCTTTGCATTGGCCTTTTGCAGGGCGGCAAACTCTTCGCTGGGTTCGAACACATCCAAGCTGAAGACGGCTGCTGCCTCATTGGCTAGACAGACCTCTGCTATTGCTAGTCCAATGCCTCTGTTGGCACCAGTGATGGCGATAACCTTGTCTTTCAAGGTGATTCTCCAGTCGTGATCTGGACCTGGCTGCGTGTCTAGGAAGGCAGGTGATGCATCGGATGTCACTTGGGGTGGTGTTGCTGCATCGGTGCCATTGCCATCGTTCTTGGCAACAGGGACGCCTGTGACTATGTCGTGTATACTTGGAGGCATATTTCAAAATGCGTTTGTTTGTTGTAAGAACTAGGGAGTATCAAAGGATTGATAAGCCATTGTGCTGGGAGGGTGCCGTTTTAAGTCTGCCATGAGATTTCGTTCAGCCAAACGACACCAATATCGCCTAAAAGCGTACAGACGAGCTCAATATACTGGAGTCGCGCAGCTCTATTGACGAATGGGGCAGTTCAAAGATCCCTGCACACGCATTGCCGAGAGCTGCTACCCGAGACTGACCAATGGTTCTTTTCCTTGAGAATAAAGTAACCAATCAACAGTCTTTAGACAGTCCGGGGCCTTCGAAGCGAGCCTTATCCACTGATTTCTCTCGCATCGAGGCGCGTCGGCCCAGTGCGACGACCGTGATCGAGTTAAACTACGCAAGAAAGATAGCGAGTTCCAGACATTGGAGCCTCTCCTTACCACTCCAACCGCCTTTGCACCTCTCTAACTTTTTGTACTCTCCAACTTCTTCTGCATACCCACTCGTACAGTTTTGCTCCCGAACTACATCTTGCACACTAGTTACAACAGAGAAAGAAAAAGTTTATTCTCCTTATGAGCTATACCACCTTAAATTAGTATCTAGCACCCTGCGATGGAAATTATTTTGTCTTTCTTAAATGTAACCTGCTTTTCTTGCCATCTGCTGGTCTTTCTGCACTCCTGTCCTCCTTATTGAATGTTTCTGTGAGTATGCCGTTCAATGACGCGGTTTCAGTGTTGACTCACCATGGGGTGATCAGACCGCGGAATATATAGGCTTCCGCGAATCCCGAAATATTAGTGCGATAAATTCAGGGGGCATGATTGGCGCTGATGAGAGGCTCCATGTTGGCCTCGATACGACCCCCACGCGCCAATCGCATACTGTTCCCCAGTATGCGGAGAGCGGGAAGTGGCGCTCACGAAGTTGTGGAGGTGGATATGGTAAATCCGGAGCATGATTGATGAGCCAAAAGCCGGGGTTTCCTCGAGTCCAACAGCCGTAGCTTGTATATCCTGGGCAGGGTGTGGAACATAAACATCCTGTAAGGAGCTTAATGTTCAAAGTGGAATTTTTTCCTTTACCATCTTCACCTTCAGCTTTTCCAACAAGCCATCATGGACTCTGCCGACTTTGAGAGTCAACTGAAGGACGTCTCCTCTCATGAGATTGAGAATGTGAATACCACCGAGGGTGTCTCGTTTACCACCGAAGAGGAAAGGGCTTTGGTGAGAAAGATCGACCTTACCCTCCTGCCCACTATCTGGGTCATGTACCTCCTTTCCTACCTGGACAGAACAAAGTAAGTGAGAACACGTTAAAGATAAAGGCTGTATACTCTGTTAGGGTGGTAACGGGCGTTCATTTACAGTATCGGCAATGCAAAGATTTCTGGCATGGAACTGGATCTCAACTTGACATCCAACCAATACTCGATTGCCCTGGTTGTTTTCTTCGTCGGATATGTGGTTTTCGAGGTGCCTAGCAAGTAAGACAATCCGATCTCAGTCCTCATCCTCAGATTTCGACCACTAACTGCCCTTTTCTTGCAGTCTTGCTCTGGGCAAATCCCGACCATCCATTTTTCTCCCATCAATCATGATTCTCTGGGGTACATTGACTTGCGTGATGGCTGTTGTCAAAAGCTTCACCCATCTGGTAGTTCTTCGAGTTATACTTGGATGTGTCGAGGCCGGCTTTGCCCCTGGTGTGATACTTCTCCTGTCATCATGGTACAAGCAAACCGAGCAGTCGAAGAGGTTCGGTGTTTTTATATCGGCGGCCGTTCTATCGGGCGCCTTTGGTGGCCTGATTGCTGCCGGTATTGTCGATGGCCTTGAGGGTGTTCATGGTATTCGTGGTTGGCGATGGCTGTTTATTATTGAAGGCGCTGCCACTATCGGTTTCGCTATCATTTCCCTCTTTATTCTTCCTGATTTCCCCGCGACCTCACGACGTCTCTCCGAGCGCGAAAAGAAGATCGCTGTCGCACGCCTTGCTCTTGATAATGTCACCGCTACCACCCATGATAGCGAGCATCTAAGTAGCTTGGGTGCTTGTAGGGTGGCTTGCCAAGACCGTCGAACCTGGGCGTTCGTGATTGGATATATGGTTCGTTGGCCCCCTTTTTGGCCTCTGTCCTTCACTTCACTAAACAGCCCATTCTCTACAGGTCATCGTCGGTTCGAGCACCCTCACTTACTTCTACCCTACCCTTGTAGAAGGACTCTTCGGAAGCGCATCCACTAAAAAGATTAACTTATTGACTGTGCCAATTTATGGCGTGGCATTCATCGCCACCGGTGTCACATCCTACTATAGTGACCAAGTGCCAAATTGGCGTGGCCTCATTATTGCCAGCTGGCTGACGTTTGCCCTGATATGTTCGATTGTTGTCTGTACTGTGTATAACTTCACGGCTCGGTACGTTCTCCTGATTCTCATGGCATCCGGCCTTTGGGCCACTAATGGAGGTACACTGGCCTATGCCTCTTCTGCCTTTGCTGGGATGCACCCCCAGGCCCGAGGTGTTGCTTTGGCTATGGTGAATGCGCTGGGTAATTTAGCACAGATCTACGGATCAGTACGTCTCTCACTAAGTCGTCTTCTCTTTTTGGACACAAGGCTAACCCAGAATACACAGTACCTGTTTCCAAAAGATGATAGCCCTAAGTATATTATGGGATTTTCTGTCATTTCTGCGATGCTAGCGGTGGGCGTTGTCGTCTTTTTGTTCTTGCATATCTGGTTCCGTCGCCGTCAACGATCGGGGATCATCCAATGATGATAGTCTAGTGTTGAATATTGAAAGGAGATCTGGCCTCGGGGATCACGAGAAGATAAATTGTTCCTGCAGCAATAGCGAAAGCTGCTGGACTCAAGCCTGAAATATATTCTACGTTGCACATGAAACTGTATGACTCTAGTGATATAGGCACCGAACTTATCGGACACTGAGAAGAGACGAGGGCATCGTGGAAGGGATATATTGGATAATTTCCCACTCCCAAATTGGTGGCAATCGCTCAATCCACTAATTTGAGGAATTCCAGATCGTCTGTCATTTCTTGTGCTCTCGTCACCTTGAGACCCATGATGTTTATTAGTGTGACACTTAAATCCAATACAATGTGTACCTTTGTGATAGACGCGAGCTCGTGATAGCGTAGGGCATTAAACCATTGGGGTGGTCACCTGTAAGCCCCACGGAACATTGAAGCGGCTGAATAGTGAGGACACTAGCGCATATGCGGAGTCAACCATGAAGATGACAGCGAAGACAGAGATTGCTTGGTGGATGATTTTCGAAGTCCTCACCTAAATAGCGTCTTGCCACAAACGAGGAACAAGTATTGGCATTAAACAAACTCCAACATGAGAAATCCCCTCGCCATCTTACCGTGGCCCGTGATCGACCTGCACATATGGACATTAAGCGAGCCCTGGGTCATTAAGCGAGCTGCGAATCCGAGAACAAATACTTGGATCCGATGAATTACAACTTCGTCCCTCAAGAACAAGGAGCTAGTTTGAGTAGATTCGAGGATAAATAACCAATTTGCATACCTCTTGATAATTCAATTTGTACATGGAGCGTAAAAATTATTATATTACACGATCTTCTATATGATTTGGTCGATCAGATGTGTTTTTCATCAGGGATAAATGAAAACCATCAAAACAGACTGGATATACTACGAATGGAACTATCCGTAAGCACATTGCACAATAAAATGGTGACTGAGATATCAAGTCATGAATGGCCGCAGTTAGTTTTATGTTTTCGAATCCGAAGGTCGCTTAATGGCCACAAATGCAGCTCGCCTACAGATCAATTGGTTCATTCGACTCGATGAAAAAGTAACATGGCACACTAGAGATAATAGAATAAATCTAGCACGGATTATCTACTAGCGAGAGAGCTTTGTAACCTCACCACCCCAAATTTCGCCGCATCCCAGTTCTTCGTGGCTTAAAAGGCCTCATGTACCTTTCTACACTTTTGGAACCCATCTCTTAACGCAATGGAACCGAAACGAAAGACTGCCATTCTAATCATTTCTGATACGGCATCCGAGGATCCCACTTTAGACCGCACAGCTGGGGCTCTTGCGCCCATTTTGGCCAGGGAGGGTAAATGGGAACCCCCTGCAATTCGCATCGTTCCGAACAATATATCCCAAATCCAGCAAGCAGTTTGCGACTGGTCTGATGGCTCCTATTGGTATGATCTGGTTTTGCTTAGTTCTACGACAGGCTTCGGAGTCAAAGACAATACACCCGAGGTGAGGAGATTCGTTGGGATTTAGTTGGCCACCTGGTTCTCGTGTGCTAAGGATATCACCCTAGGCCGTCACTACCTTGATTCATCGCCACGTCCCGAACCTATTGTGAGTGTACATACTGGCATCTATGGCTTGGAACCCCGCTAAGTATAACACCTGTCTAGCCATGACATGGTCGCCGAGACTTTGAAAGTTACTCCATGTGAGATGATAGCAGCCATATCGCCCACTCTACTCTGTACACCGCAGCTGATCCCCGTCTAGCCACAAAGATAGCCAGACCGATTGGTGGTATTCGTGAGAAGTCTTTGATTATCACTTTACCAGGATACCCCAAAGGAGCCATGGAGAACCTTGAAGCAGTTCTGAAACTCCTCCCTCATGCCTTCCTGCAGAACTCGCGCCTCTTACATACTAGTGGCATCAAGAGAGTACAGAATGAAACCGGTGTCACTATTAGCCCTCAACTTCAACACCATCACCAACATGCCCATGACCATGGCATCCAGAAAGAACACATATCTCCCTCAGACAAGTCTCAATCCAAACCCAAAGGCGTCGCCGAGGGCACCGATCGGCGCTGCCCCAATTATGCCCGTCCCATGGCCTCCGTAGAGGAAGCACTCCGCATAATTAGCGAGCGAACCCCTGCATCCACTGAGGTGGATACCCCTGTGACCACTTCCATTATCGGCTCAGTTATTGCCGAAGACATCTACGCCGCCGAGTTGGTACCAGCATACCGTTCCAGCATCATCGACGGCTACGCTATCACTGTCGAAGAAGGCAAATCCACTAAAGGCGTTTTCCTTATAGCGTCATTCGCTCATGGCAAGGTGAGCGGAGCCTTAGACCCCCTAAAACCAAGAACCGTTGCTAGAGTTACCGTCGGCGCGCCCCTCCCTCCTAATGCCAACGCTGTAGTTATGGTCGAGGACACCGCATCTTCAACCATAGATGGCCAAGAAGAAGCAGTGGTCGAAATCCTGGCCGATGATATCGTCCCAGGTGAAAACGTCCGCGAGCCCGGTAGCGACATCGGCCTTAACTCAAAGATCCTTGCTCGTGGAGATCTCATCTCCCCGGCTGAAATAGGTCTGCTTGCTGCCACGGGCACCCGAACCGTTAAGATATTTAAAAAGCCCCGGGTGGGCGTCCTCAGTATCGGCGACGAGCTCGTGGAGCATTCCGACCCCTGCACCCTCGTCGGTGGCCAGATCCGCGATTCTAACCGTCCATCCCTCTTATCCTGCCTAGCCTCGTGGGGTTTTGAGACCGTGGATCTTGGTATCGCCCGCGACCCATCGTCTAGCCTCGAACACAGTCTACATGTATCCTTACGCGGCATAGGCCGTGTATCCTCCAGCGTTGACGTGCTCGTGACCACTGGCGGCTTATCAGTGGGCAATATAGACTACAATACTATCATTGAGCGCTCGCTCGGTGGCACCATTCACTTCGACCGCGTCTTTATGAAGCCCGGCATGAGCACTACCTTCGCGACGGTAACCCTCAAGGCTACTGAGACCGATGCAGCTGCCAAAGACGCCCAGCAGGAACACCACACCTCAAAGCTGCTATTTTCACTCCCCGGAACCCCGTCCTCGGCGCTGCTCACTCTAAACCTCTTCGTCCTATCTTCCCTGCACAAACTTGCCGGCCTAGGCGAGAGCTCCCAGGCTATTGTCACTAAGCCGTGGATTGCGCCGCAGCTAGGACTACCTCGCGTCGCTGTCGTTCTGACCCACCACTTCCATCTCGACCCCAAACGCACCGAGTACCACCGTGCTGTCGTGACGGGCTCTCGCTCGGACGGCCGACTATATGCTACGAGCACTGGTGTTGATGCTATAGGCCAGCCCAGCCCGCGCATAGGCAGCCTTGCCAAGGCCAATGCTCTAGTTGTGCTGCGTCCAGGACGGGGGGTCGGGATCAAGGGTGAGATCGTGGAGGCGCTGATGATGGGCCCTATTCATGGCTCGGATACCCGGATTATTTGCTAAGCTGCGGCAATATCGCGATGAAACGATCTGTGTGGGTGGAAGTTTGATCTCTTGATTTCTACTTCTCTTCCAAAAAACATCTAGGCAGTGAGAATTTAGTTCAATTGTATCTAGAGTCCGGATTTGTTACTTTCTCCAAATTACAACATGTGGCAATCTATGTACCTCTTTAAGACCGTAGGAACCGTTGCCGTGTCTCAATGCTCTCTTTATCTGTTTTCTTCTGGTCCTGAAAGCTGCCTAACCTAAGTATGAAACTCTAGTCTTCCGATCTATGAAAGAGCAGTGGCTGACTCGTCATGTCTATTGTCATCGTTATGGTGGTCAATATTACTTGGTCTTATTCACAAAGCTGCCATTCAGCGTTCTTCCCACCATCACCATTCGCATTGCTCCCTCTGCACTCTCCATCAATAGTCGTTCTGCTCCCTCGATAGCCTCGTGCAAGGTTGATGGTCGCTGCAAGATAGATACATATGCATTGATGCCAACATCATAGTTTGCATCTGCATTGTCTCCTATAGACCCAGCCAACACAATCACTGGCTTCCCGTATTTCCTGGCCCTCATTGCGACCTCGGCTGGGATCTTTCCTCTCGGAGTCTGGTAATCGATTGCCCCTTCTGCGGTGATAATCAAATCACAGTCATCGAATAAGCTGTCGATGTTGAAATACTGCATGATGGCTTCATATCGTGGGCGTAGCTCTGCTCCAATGAGAAGGAGCCCTGTCCCTAGGCCTCCCGATGCACCGCTACCAGGGGCATTAGAAACGCTTTGTCCAATCATTCGCTCAGCAACAGAGGCATACACATCCAAAGCTGTTGCCAAAATCTCTGTTTCCTGAGGATTTGCACCTTTCTGGGGTCCATAGACGTGGGCCACACCGTATAACCCGCAGAGGATATTTTGCCAGTTGCAAACGACCTCAATGCGGACCTTCTTCAGGCGTGAGTCGATGCCCGAGAGATCGATATCCGCAAGTGAGACTAAGGGCTCACCTCCACCTGCCTGCGGGAGCTCATTTCCATTGATATCAATCAGTCGTGCTCCGAGGGCTTGAAGCATACCTGCGCCGCCATCGCTCGTCCCAGAATCACCACATCCAACAATAATGCGTCGCACATCTTCCTCCAATGCAGCAGCAATGAGTTGACCGACGCCAAAACTAGTTGTGATGCAAGGGTTTCGACAGCTCGGGGGTACCAGACTGAGTCCAGCGGCTGCGGCAATCTCAACAACTGCTGTTTTCGGCTCGTCTCCAAGGATTCCGTAGTACGAGGAAATGAGATATCCAGTGGGACCCGTGACATGGACTCTGCGAATTTGGCCTCCGGTAGCATCCACTAACGCGCGGGCAAAGCCTTCGCCACCATCAGCCAGTGGAACCTTTCGGACAGCTGCGGTTGGTATAGCACGCAGGATGCCTTCCTCGATACAGTCTGCTGCAGTATGTGAATTGATGCTGCCCTTGAAGCCAGAAGGACAGACGAGGACTCTCATGTTGATTGATATGGAAGGAGGTACGATAAAAGATGAAAAGCAAGAGAAGAGATCTGGAGTAAAAGAAGTTGAATGTCTGTCGATGATGCCTGCCACAGGAAAAATACCTATGTATCGGCGATGCTGCATCCTTCTTATATGGCACTCCAGTCTGAGATCCACTCGGTCCTTGCTGCTTCGTCTGTCTTTACACCCCTTCTCCCATTATCCCATTGTTCTTTCTGTTACTAATTTTACTTAACCTTCATCTCTACTACTGCTGGTCGTCAACTGGGGTGTCTGGGGCCATATCTCGATAGTTCCGGCCACAGCCTCCACCGAACGTACGAAGAAAATGGAAGGCTATAACAAGAGCCGTGGGTTTCTAAAATTGAATATGGGGTTGCCTGGAACAAGCTAAGCTACATCGAAACGCTTAACTTTTCTTCTTTTATGGACCCGGCACGTCTAGTTAGTACAGAGTCGTTATCGTAGGGATCGACACTATGCTGGCTTCTAGACGACCCACCGCAAGTCAATCAAGAAGCATGAATCGATGGCGGGGCTTGCAATGTACCTGAGCCGGAATCATTCCGCGATCTGGAATTCTGCCTCGAATATGAAACATAATGGATTGCTGCGCAGAGTCCTCTCCAACGAGGAGCACAAAGGACCACAGAAGGTCACGGTGCGGATTCGGACTAATATGATTCTGGCCAATTTTGGCATCAATTGGCTATCTTATCACCAATCGCCAGGGACACGTGCACAATTTCCCATTGAGGTTTAGCTATCGAGACGGAGCGCGCGTGTCAAAAGGCCCCACATGAGCAAAAGGCTAAGCATCATTCAGAGAAATTGATATCCTAATCATCAGCGTGTACAAAGATCGTTCGGCTTCAGTCCGAGCACTGCCTCCTTGATCCGAGTAACATTGAGCTCCCCGAACTAAGTATTAAAATGTTGCCTAAACTTTATGCGTTGATCCAGTAATGATATGCATTCCATTTACGTAACCCTCCAGTAACCCTCCTTCTGCGCTTTAAGTGAATGAGATCCATCGCTACTGATGAATCCCAGGCTAGACTGGCCTCGTCCCGAAATTCTTGGCAAAAGAATCTTTTTTTGGCATCTCATAAAAAGACGACTATCAATGGAGTATCCTGACGATCTCCATTTTCAGGAGTTGTGATGGATAGACAGCACAAGATAAGAAAGGCTGGCAGCCATTTATTGTGAGCATCGATATTGCATTAACTCCAGCGCACTCTATTTTGCCGTTCGGAATTTTCCTCGACCTAACAGTAGCAGTCGACATGGCGCATTCCGCCAGCGAACATGACGATAAAGACAATAAAATCTTATTATCGTCACAGAAGCTTTCCTCATCAGACAGAGACCCCGAGCCGGGCCTACTGACCCCTGACAATGTTTGTCTAGTAAGGCTATTAGGGATGATGTCCTTGACCAAATCGCTGATGGAAGCAGGTCACCTGGTCAGGCCCCAACGATCTATCCAACCCTCTCAACTGGAGTCGTGCAAAAAAATGGACGGCAACTTTTCTTGTGTCATGCTTTACATTCATATCCCCAGTGTCCTCTACGATGGTCGCGCCTGCGCTAGATTCCATGGCCTCCGATCTCAAGGTGAAGTCGGAAACGGAGCAGTACCTGATGATGTCGATATTCCTTCTCGCCTACGCCCTTGGCCCTTTTATCATTGCTCCTCTCTCTGAAATGTATGGGCGCGTGGTGATATTGCAGTCCGCGAACATGTTCTATCTTATCTTCAATATTGTTTGTGGATTTGCCACGTCCCCGGGACAGATGTTTGCTTTTCGATTCCTCAGTGGCTTCGGAGGCAGTGCGCCACAGGCGGTCAGTTGATATCTCGGTTTCCATTAATGTCCTCAATAGGCTGATGACCGCAAATAGATTGGAGGTGGCGTTTTAAGTGACTGCTGGCGAAAGGAAGAACGAGGAGCAGCAACCGCACTCTATAGTTTGATGCCGTTTTTAGGGCCGGCAGTAGGTCCAATAGGTGAGAGGAATATGTAATATATTGTCAAGAAAGGCAATCATGCTAACTGGAGCCTTACTTGTTAGCTGGCGGGTATCTGACCCAGTATATGTCGTGGCGATGGATCTTTTGGATTGTCTCTATTGCAGATGCCGTGGTCCAGGTTCTGGCTTTTTGCTTTTTGAGTGAGACCTACGCACCGACGATCTTGGCGACGAAGAGAAGAAAGTTACAGAAAGAAACCGGAAATGATAAGCTTCACACCGAATACGACAGCCCCGATCGCACATTTGGCCAGGAGCTGCGGAAGAATCTGGTTCGGCCACTCAGGATGCTTTTCACACAGCCGGCAATCCAGGCCCTTGCATTATATCGAGGCTACCAGTATGGACTCATGTATCTTGTGTAAGTGCAAGTGTCAAATATGGACGTTACAAATGGCTCAATAAATCCAGGTTGGCATCTTTTCCCATGGTGTGGGAGGTGGTTTACCGAGAAGACACCGGCACCGCCAGTTTAAACTACCTCTCTCTTGGGATTGGGTTTGTGCTAGGGTTACAATTCTGCGGTCGTGTCCTTGACATGGTGCGTTCCTCAACTATACACCTGAATCAAGTACTGACTCCCCTTCAAGATATATATGCGTCTAAAAAGGCACTATAAACACGATGGTCGACCCGAATTTCGCGTTCCCCTGATGGTGCCAGGTGGTTTCTTGGTCCCATTAGGCCTCTTCATCTACGGTTGGACGGCGCAGAATAAGACCCATTGGATTGTGCCCAATGTTGGTGCCGCAATATTTGCTTTTGGGTTAATCATATCTTTCCAGTGTGCGCAGACATATGTCGTAGATGCCTACTCACGATACGCAGCTAGCGCGACGGGTGCAGCGGCATTTGTGCGGACAATAGCTGGGTTTGCTTTCCCCCTCTTTGCAGACAGTCTATATAAGAGTTTGGGGCTGGGATGGGGTAATAGCTTGTTAGGATTTGTGAGCCTAGGCCTAGGAACCATGGCTCCGGTGCTCTTGTGGTTTTATGGCGAGTGGCTAAGAGCCAAGAGCACATATTGTGCGGGCTAGAAGCGGATGAGATAGATGATAATAGATAGATTTACGAGGCATACAGCAGGTATAGCATGGATGCATGGATAGATGGATGAATTCATCTACTCTGGCCCATCGCTGAGTGATATAGCACATATAGCAATATTCGAAAACAGATTCCCCAAGGCCCCTCACTAGTTGGTAAACAAAGAAATGAATCCGGGCACAGTATTTAAGATTCATAAAATCCGACGGTTTCACGTTCTCTCAATTTACAAATGGTCTTCTTATTATCTATTCCTATCATGGATTTGACTATACTTCCTGTTTACAAAAGATGCTAGGAGACGTGTCCCTTCGCCCTCTACTTCCAGCTCGTGCTCGACTAAACGAAGCTTCCTCCTCTTGACACCGAACAAAAGTCTAACTTGCCTGTACAGACTGTCGGAAGGAAGCGAGTCAAGGTCAGTTATCAGCTTAAATTTGCGTTTGACCTAGGACTAAGTGCTCTGGTGTGACACCATGCGCATGTTGTACTGGCCAGAGCATTTTCGTACTGAGATCACAGCGCATACTTGGCATAATCTTCTGGTTGGTCGAGTCGACCTGCCCACTAGAACACATTTATATTACGTCATGCGACAATGTCGATCATTTTCTATAGATAGTATTGCTAGGCGACTTGAAATCTATTACGTTAGCGTTATGTGGCAATGACGATCATTTTTATAGAGAAAGTATTGCTAGGCAACTGAAAACTCGTAATTTGCATAGACACCTATAGGCACGCGGCACATTTCCTCTATGATCGAACGGGACAGCTGCTTAAAGTTTGAAGTTATTTTTAACAACTTTAATGTCTAAAAAGCCGGTGCCTTGGATGATCAACAGCGATGGTCCAGAAATGAGGGAGCTCTAACGGCAGTTACTTATAAATACTTTTCTTCGCCGAAAAAAATTCACTGTCCGAACAAACCACACTTAAACGTGCTTAGTTGATTGATCACAATGCGTTCGTTCTTTATCTTCTCCGTGCTAGCCCTTGCTGCGTCTGTCGTGGCTCAAGATGTGGATTCAAGTGATATCCCGTCCCAGTGCAAGGACGTCTGCGCCCCTGTTGTCAGCCTAACTTCCACTTGCGACAAGAAGGCCAGTAACGACGATGCGGCTGAGATGAAATGTGTCTGTAACGATCCCCGCGCATCGAAGAGTGTTCCAGACTGCGCTGCTTGCCTTGATACGTATAGCAAAGACGGCAAGAACAACGGTATGTTGTCCTAGTGAGAAGGAATTACAGATGTGCTAAATCATGTAGATGCCAATGATCTTGTCCGCCAGTGCTCTTTTACCTCGACCACGTATGATGCTATTGCCTCCTCTCCCTCCGCAACATCCAACTCTACCAGCTCGACTTCTCCTAGTACTGCTTCAGGCAGCGGAAATATGTCATTCACCTCTATGAGTGGAACTGCGTCTGCCACAGGCAGTTCTACTAGCTCGAATGCTGCGTCGTCGACTCCGAACTCAGCCGGCAAGTCAACTGAGCTAACAACTGGACTTTTTGGAACAGCTCTTAGCCTCATGGCTTTTGTTGGACTCTGAGGTCTCCCATCAAGCTAAGGTTAAGATGTTGCATCTTCAACCTCGAAAAGAAAAATGGTGACTTTAATGATTGCTTCGTCTGAGAACACATGTACCTCGATTTACGAACAGACTCGCGTTTCAATTATGAGAAGTAGGTACCATTAGGGATACTGGTATCTGCTGGATGCAGAGTTTCCTTATATCAAATCCTTCGATGGAAAGCATGCCGAGGCATCACGCGAATCTAGAAAACAATGTCGTTCAAAGTGGAGAAGGGGTAGATTAATACATCAATTCTGGGTAACTTATTGATCTATTTTGCTTGATACGTACTCACTCCTATGGGACCTCCGAGGGCCATGCATGTATGGCATGATATAATATGAGAACCCCACTATAATGTCTTGAATGGAGAGCTGTACTGAACTTGGACAAATACAACTTCGGGGCGATCCGCTTTCTGGCCCCCATGTAAAACAATGTGTCTAAGCCATACTGCACTGAGCTATGAGACGCTAGTTCTGCACCCTTCACATAGGCCGCGAAGTAGTCCTTGTCATGCCAATCTTTTCTAGTAATATACTAGTAAGAAAGTTGTAAGGTATACATGTATACGCTTAAATTTTGTCATTAGCTGTCCATAAACGGAGATTTTCCAGGAATTTAACTAAGATATCAAATGCATATTTTCAACATGACCAAAGATCCTCTCTAGGCCGTGCAGTGGGACGCTTTGGCCCCAGTGGCCCTGTCGTGGGGCGGAGAAGTCATGCAGCATATGGAAAGGTACACAACAGGTAGTAAATATGTAAACTATATACATTTACGGAGTAGGTTGCTGTTGTGGCTAGAATCCGAAATTGGGCTCACGCAGCGTATTTACACAAACAATTGGAACAGAGATGTTTAGGAACATATCGTCAGACTGCTTTACTCCTGTCATGTATATGGTAATAAATCTCATACACACCATTGGCAGTCAATTTTGAAATACGGCATATAACAGCGTCGGAAATAGCTTTGAGATGGCCAGTAGGGAGGCATCCCATTTTCAAGCATTCCACAAAAGCCAAGAAAGGCGCGCTCATTCCCGTTCAACAGGATACATGAGGTCTTTTTTTCAGAGGATGGTAAGGTGGTAAGCAGCTTCACATGATCGAATGTCTCCGGGTGACTTCTGGAACGAACTCCGCCATATTGACTTCCCTTCTTCTTCGGGGAGTCCTCATCACGACCATATAGTTGAGTGTGGAAAAAGAAAGTTCATTCTGTCTATCTCATCAGTTGGGGTGATCTGGTGTCTCTCACGAGTGATATTTTACCAAAGCCCCCACGGCAAGGGAACTATACTCAAGTCAGTCAGGTAGTCGGATTGAAGAAGAGAAGGGCCTTTAGTATTCTGTTCAAACTTGTTGGATATTAACACGTAACTTAATAAACATACGTTTTGGCGTGTTTGAAATTCCGAGAGGCTAATGTTATACAAACTGTGATGTAAGTTAGTCAGACTTATGTTTGAGAGCCTCAGAAACAAGGCTCCTGCCAGATCCGGCTCTCACAACAACAAAGCTTAGTAAGGGTCTCCTTTTCCACTGGGCAATTTGAAGCCCGACCTGGACTGCGAGCCTAGATTATCTGTACTGATTCCCAGTGTACACATTTCACCGCATCTACCATAATAATCTTTCACTCTGTACTTTGTTTAAGCCTCAAGTGGGGCCGCAGTTCCACCCGAACCGTCCATCCCAAGATGATCGGACTACGGTCATCGACGCGTGTCACGAAGCGCGCTTTTGCTTCAATTGCTGCGCATCCAATTCAGCTTCCGCAAGCTGGTCCCTTGTTTTCCCTACCCCAACATCAAATCGTCGACGAAGAGAAGTGGCCCGGGTACAAAGAAAACGCTCAACACTTCTACCCTGCGCGTCCCGGGGAGATTCTCGGCAACCAATTCCAGCTGTTGACAAAGTTGGGTTGGGGAGTAGGATCAACAGTATGGCTGGCACGGAATATGAGAGCGTATGTGCGGACTCTCCTGAAAATCCGACCAAAGGCTAATATCCAATCCCACCTAGAGAGGGAGATCAAGAGGAAACTGTGACATTGAAGATTCTGAACAACGGCAGTCGGAGCAGGAATGAAAGTCAGCGGGCTCTCGAGGAGCAAATTACGCAGCAAAATTTGTCGCATCGAGGCTGGTACTTCATACGACCTTGCCATGGGCACTTTGAAATTCCAAGCTCGGAACAGAATCCGCATTTATGTCTGATCTATGAGCCTCAACGAGAAACCATGCTTCGCTTCCAGGAGCACTTTACAGGCAGGAAGATTCCTCTTCCCATTGCGAAGGCATATATCACTTGCCTTCTTTTAGGTCTGGAGTATTTGCATGCCGAATGCAGGGTTATTCATACCGGTATGGAATCTCTGGCGTTTCCAAGTGTGCTTGCACAGCTAAAAGGATTGACAATTTCAGATTTGAAGCTCGAAAATATCATGATGACTTTCGAGAATGAGAAAGTTCTTCCTAGATTCATCAAGAGAGCCGTCATCGATACGCCTATGTCATACAAGAATGATCCAACAACTGGCCGCATCCTTTACCGCTGTCACAACAATTTTGGAAGCTTATACCCTGAAGATGCCCAGAATATCATGCCCAAGATCACTGATTTTGGAGCTGCCAAAACGCTCCCCGAATGTCACCCAGACGACAAATCAAAGATCGGAGAGGTATTGCTCGATCCTATCCAGCCAAACTACTACCGCTCGCCCGAAGTCATCTTAGGGTACGGCTGGAATTACAGTACGGATATTTGGAACTTTGGTGTTCTGGTGAGTGGTGCACACTCCTATGGCTGCTTTTTACCTACCTCCTCATCTGTCGTACACTCAGCTGTGGAATATCATTGAAGGCGCAGAGCTATTCACCCAAGTTGAACATCCCAACAGCGACTACAATTCCGCGTCACATCTAGCTGAGATGATAGCCTTATTCGGTCCACCGCCGAAGGAAGTAATCGAAAGGTCGAACTATTTCTCGCAGCATGAATTTGACTATCCCATTACCCTCGAGCCAGGAAGACCTTGTAAAAATATCCGAGAGATTTTTTGCGGCCCTCACTTTGACGAAGAAGGTTTGTTAACTCCAGTCCCCGAGACAGTAGACGCTAGATAAGTGTGTACTAATCCATTTCTTCACCAGGCGAGTTTCTCCACAAGCAACTGATACCAACTCGGAAATTGGAAGACACGGTTCCATCACTCAAAGGCGAGGAAAAGGAGCTATTCTTGTCATTTGCTAGGGATATGCTCACTTGGGTTCCGGCAGAGAGGAAAAGCGCCCGTGAGCTCATAGAACACCCATTCCTCAGTTTTGGAGGACATGATCACCGAGACTATATTTGAGTAGGTGGCTGTCAAGGAATATGGTAGACCCACCTGCTGAATCAGGAAACAGGTCACCGACATGACCAGGTCTAATAGTATGTCTAGCAATCACCCCCTGGTTGGCTCAGTGGATAGAACATTAAAAGCATTGTATGAAGGATCCCGCAGTGTGACGGTCCTTCCATGTATGCAAGCTCTAGGGTGGGTCCGGCCATCATCCTTGACAAGTGCTGTAAAGGATATTACATATCTGAGGTGCCCCAGATATGTTGATTACCCCTTGTACTTCCCCGGGCCGGGTTACTTTTAGTTTGCTCTCATTTCTTTGTTTTATTTCCTCCACCCCTCCCCCTTTTCCCTGCTTCTTGTCTTCTGCTCGGCTTGACCTTTCACAATCTCCTCTCCTTGTATGATATTCCCCGTGTTGAAGTTACACCTCTAATCGTCAATCAACAAAGTCGCTCCTCTTCGACTAACACCATACGCGCTCTGTATCTGTAACCACAGAGCCAAGGACACTACCTGTTACATGATGCCAGTATGCAGAAGGCCGGAATAGATTTTGATAGTCCAGAACATCGGCCAAAGTTCGGACTTCACTCGTTGATCCAAAGAGTTCGATTCAAAGAGAGATCGTGCTTAGGCTAAAGAGAAAGCTAGACATTATGAGGCATATGAAACTTGATATTGTTTGAAGAAGCTAATGTACAACCGCAACTTCTGTTGGCAATGCAAGTGGCCGTCATGTTGGACGTATCGAGCAAGTTTGCCCTCCCAATGTTGATACGTCTCAAAAAGGCCAAGAAAAGAGGGATGTCCTGGAATGAGGTTCAATCTGTTGAGTACTGTCAAAAACGAGGAACGTGGAGACGTGGAAAGGGACACTCGGCTGATTTTGTTTCAAAGCCTCCTCATTCGTCCTTTGGATGGGGGAGGGGATCCCGCCTGTCATGACGCTTTAAATCAGGGTAGATCACCGAGTATTCAAAGCCCCAAAACAGTCAGGAGCCTCCATTTCCAGGAGACGGTAGGTGAATGCGAAAGTTCCCCATGCTCATTGGCAGTCATAAGCCTCGGTAGATCACCGAGTGCTCAAGGCCTCAAGATGAGCTGCTCCCTCTTCTTTCGAAGAACGGAATGGGAACCTACTTCTCTTGGGACTTTAAATCTGAGTAGATCACCGAGTATTCAAATTCTGAAGAGACGTAGGTCATTCTCAGAAGGCATTTGTGGGTCCCGAAAGCAACCGCTTGCTTGCGGCCTTAAGTCGCGGTTAGTCACCGAATAATCAAAATCTCAAGCAATTGAGGTTGTCTCTTTTCCAGGAACGATCGTTTACATCAGTGTGTGGGTGTGGGCAAGTGGGATGACTTCTCGGGGCCCGGGGGCGGTCGTGGATTTAGTATTCAGCGCACAGTGACGAAGCGGCAGGGAAAGTGGACAAGTCCAACATGTTGGTCATCGTAGGGCGATTGACCTGTCTCTCTAGCAAGATAGAGATGGGAGCCGCTGATGAGGTGTTAGTGAGAATCATGTGAATGGGTGGTGATGAAGGGTGGATGAAACAGTACTTGCTGGCATGTAGCTATGATGATGAAGGCCATGATGATAGAGCCAGTCTGGGCGGGGAGCGTGTTCAAAAGTTGGGACAGGCACAGATGCGAGGCATGGCAAAGATGAAGTTGAATCGATGGGCCGCGTGGCAACACCATCAGAACTCGCATAGGGGTTCTGGCTTATGATGACCGTGCATGGGTTTGATGTGATGGGCGCGCAAGAGTGGTGTCGATGTTATCGAATGCTGAAGGAAAGACTGTCAGTGTCTCTATAACCGACAGGAGGCGGATTAGTATCTCTTACCTAAATGGAAGTCCATTTGCTCTGGATGGGTTATATCAAGTTGAGGTGGGAAGGCATGAGCCGACCCGAATTCTCACTCAAGGAGGAGGATATGTTGATCTCAAGTCCCATCTCGCAGGGCTTCATGGAGGGGCTTGATGATGCCAAGTGCGAAGGTGGAGGATGAAATGGATGAAGTGTGGGGTGGAAGCTGATGTTAGGTGGGGGCAAAGGGGATGAGACAGTGGAGAGGTGAAGGAGGAAAGAGAAAGAGAAAGATGAAAGATGAAAAGAAGAAAGGTCGGTATTTAAACCCTTAGATTGAAAGCAAACATCGAAAGCAAACATCGAAAGCCTGATGTCACAGGGTCCTCTCCAATAACAATCCACATGCTTAATTTGATACTGACCGATATGATCTCTACCCAGTTCAGCTAATTTGAGGATGGTAGCCAGTCAAGGTGGCTCAGTGCAGCCAGAACCACATGACTCCTCAGTTAACGTTAGCTGTATGCCTCGCAAATCAGGTGGTAAGTCGAGCGTAGGGCCCCGATTCGCGCTTTTCAGACGGCGTGGCACTCGTGGTCCGTCAGTAAAATTGGAACCCAGAACCCAGGTACGGCAAGTGAAGGTACCACCGCATATCTACGAGGCCGAAAACACTTGAGCTGCATGATTCGAAAATATTGAGGCTCCTGCCCTACATTATCTAGGACCTGTAGCCCCGAGGCTGACTCGAAGATATAACGCTGGAGTTGAATGTGAGCTCTTGGTCATATTTCTTGGGTTCAGCTCGCCAGGCCAGGAAGTTCTACCACGTGTGTTTAGGAAAGAAGAGAAAGGAGTGACACCCTATGAAGCGAGCAATTGTTGCAGTTCACTTTCTGTTGCTTCAGTCAGCATCAACAAGCTGTCCGTGGTCAACGTCAAAAGAAGTAACCTGCAGTTAGTACATATGGGTCCGAGTCTGAGGCTGAATATTCTTGTGCAGATTATCCCGCTCTAGGATCCCTGTTGACGATCCACGGTGCCACATCCCCACCGCGGCTTGGGCCTTTTATGTCGAGGAAATTGCAATTGAATATGTCGCCGAATGAGGGCTCAGTGCAGGTGACAAGCAAGGAACATTGTAGGACCGAGATCAACCACGTGTTCCCAAGGCACTAAGTCCTGCCTGAGGCCAAATAGGGTGTATAACCCACCGACGTGCATTTCTTCACACTTTAATCCCCACCACAAGTTCGCCAATTATACATATTCATAATTCAATGTACGTCCAAGATTACAATGAACAATCCTATTCGCGGATGTCTCCGGGTACTTATGCAGAGAAAGAAACAATACCCTAGACCCAATAGGTACGGCTTCCGACCAACGTAGTTAGGGCGAGGTCGGGCGCACTGACTCGGGGCGGAAGTACTGGCTTTGTTCCTGTCCAATCCCGTTCGACCAGGCGCGCAAGGATTGGGGGGAGGGGGATTAAGGGCTGTCTTGCTTGTCAAACTGACACCCTCCTTCAGCTCTCCTTTTTCCCCCGGTCACCCTCGGGAACTAATACCAGGCATGGCAGAAGATATGCTGGCCGTGGTAAGTGTTTTTCGCATAATGAATTGTGTTATGCTCATATAACCCTAGGATCCTGACGTTTATGTCACCACCACTTATGGCGATGATTGGCAGTCGTAAGGTTTACCCATTTACCCAGCCCCATCTTGTTATGGGAATCATTTTTGACAGAACTCCAGAGAAACCACCTCCATCGGCTCTGCTATCTATCGGGGTTTGATGGACAATGGCCGGAGGTAAATTCCCCAGCAAAACGTCTGGTTTAGCTTATAGTAATTTTCGACAGATATCAAACGCTGAGCAACAAGGGATATCCGTGCGCAAGTCTAAATTCTCCAAAGTGACAGCCAAGCTTACCGCTTACTAGAATCCCCTCGGACGAGCAATCTTTTGAGTCTTATGAAGCTGGGTGCGAATCATCTCCTACATAATTGACCCCTTATTGACCCCCGTAGGCACTTGGTCGACCTGATATTGGAGTCAGACGAGGAGAACCCACTCTTCAAGGCACCCATTCGTTACAAGGAGGCGCAGATCCTCGATATCGGAACTGGTCAGGGTAATTGGGCAATGTAGGTGGGATATACTGTCACCAACCTCCATATCACCGGAGACCATATCAGCTCACATATCTCAGCGATGTGGCCGACTTCTTACCCCAATGTTAGTCCTTTAACCCCCGCGCAAGTCCCACGCAAGTAACTGTCAAGACATACTCACCATGCCCAGCAACCGTCCGCGGTGTCGACCTCTTCCCACCCCCAGTGACCTGGGTCCCCCCAAACTGCATCCTAGAGGTCGATAATATCCTCGAGCAATGGACCTGGAATGTACCCCTCGACCTAATTCACATGCGGGGTATGACCGGGTCCTTTGAACCACACGAGTGGGATCGTGTCTACAAACAATGTTACGAGTAAGCTTACTGCGTCTATTCCAATCTCAAACCCGAGAATTCAAGCAGCCTAACAAGAAAACAGCAACCTAAAACCAGGCGGCTGGATTGAACAACTAGAGGCAAGCCCATACGTATTATGCGACGACGACAGCCTCCCAGCAGACAGTATCCTACACACCTGGGGACCAAACTTTACCCACTGCTGTATACGCGCCGGTCGCCCCATTGACACAATTGATGTAATGGCCGGTACCATGCGCAAGGCCGGCTTCGTGGACTTCCACGAGAAAGAGTATAAGTGGCCGATTGGCCCCTGGCCGCGTGATCAGAAGTATAAGGAGGCTGGGACGGCCCACTACCAGCATTGGCTTTCTGGTATGGAGGGCTGGTGTATGTGGCTGCTCACCAAGTATGGTGCGCCGAATCCTTGGTCTAAGGATGAGGTTACTGTTTACGTCGCCAAGTTGAGGGCTGAGATTAAGAATCCGCGTTACCATATTTATCAGCGGGCGTGAGTATTTCTCTATATGATTTTCGCTGGGTGATTGTCAATCTTGGATGTGGTTTGCTGACATATTTTCTTAGACGTCGCGTTTGGGCCCGTAAGCCTTTCCCAGAAGAACTTGCGAGGGAAGCTAGTGTTAAGGAAGAGGAAGAGACTCTTGATATCGATCCTCTTTATATCAAGCAAGAGCCCCAAGAATAAGAATGAAAATTGATTCATGAGGGAAGCACTTGTTTTGGGAGGCTGATTGTGTCCTTTTGGCGGACTGTACCCTACTGCACATCAATATCTTGTATTTTGCGTGTACACGTTCTTTGTGGTCGCCTGCGCGTACGGTATACCTATTCTTCCTGTGTTTGCTACTCATGTATTTGTTTCAAGCATACAAGCATGACACGTCTGTTATTTTTAGCGTGAATTTAATCCCGAGAGGCTCCTATTACTTGTCTACTTGATAGCCAGAAACACAATAGAATTGATTCAAATTACCAAAGTACTACACATCAAGTAACCACATTGTTCCAAGCTTCACTGCCTCACGGATGTCACAGCCGTGGAGTAGACAGTCACACCTTGTCATCACCCTTCTTCCCTTTCCTATTCTTGCCACGGAGAAGCTGCCCTTGGCGAGAGAGCCTCTTTCGTTCAAACTCGACAAAATCACAGAGGAAACTATCCGTTACTTCCAAGATACAAGAAGGACCATCACGCAAGTAGCTAAGCCAATGGGCCGAAGAAGGATGAGCCGAGACAGCTACAATGAACTGCTCAAATTGCGCCTGACCGCCGATCGCGAGCTTCCCTTCCACCTCCTTTGAAAGGAGATTCCACGCGTACACGAAGTCCTGCGGTGGCTGCCCAATGCAGTATTCAAGTTTGACCCAAGCCTGGTAAAAGACCGAGGAGATGTGGCTATCCATGTCTTCAGTATGTGGTGTGGAATCGACGCAGAGTATCCGCAAATGTGCGAAGGCGTCAGCGGCATTGTTGGTTTGCTTGAGGTGGTACAGAAGGTCCCGATCTATCCTGGAACCCATTGTTTCCATCAAGTAGGTGTTCTTTCTTTTCCATTCTTTGTATGGCTCAGACTTTTTGTCGCTTGGTTTCTTGAGCTTGCTGCTGAGGATTTGCCAGTATTCTGGGCCTTTGACGCTAAGGTCTAACTTGAGTTCTGCAACCCACAGGGCCCAGTTCGTTGGGTTCTGTAATTGAAGGCGGAAGACGGGCATTGCGTTGTGGGATTCTGGTGTTGAATGATCAACTGGCTAGGGATACTCGTGGACTCTGCCCTGAACTCCATTAACATATGAGTTGTTGGGGGCTGATCAAGCGCTTACTGGCACTTCTGGTCTGGTTGAAGTGGATTTGATATCAGATAGGTGTTGATGAAGGCAGGCACTGGTTAAGTAGTCCGTGAGTAAAAGTTGGAGATTTTAGACAAAGGGATAACGTTACAGGTACAATCACAAACCAGAGTTCTTGAAAGTAGCCACTAAAGGTCAATCTTTTTCTTCGATTTCATTGTGGAAGAAAGTCGAAGGAGATCCTTTACTCAGGAATCCGTTATTCTTTGTGCATGTACGCACGCCGTGAAAATTGCGTCCTGCAGCTTGCCTTTTTGCAGGTTGTAGCCCTACTTACAAACCTCTACATCTTTGATTGTGAAATCTAATATCCCTAATTTACCAATACCCCTATCCTGCGTGAAGAGTCTATTTCGTGCAAGTAATGTATACGATATACTGCCCCTTCCGGCTGGAAGAGAAACGCAAACCCTATGAGAAAGGTGAGGATATGTCGGTTACAAACCGGGCTGGCATGTGAGAATGATCATTTTACATCAGGGCCATCTCTATTATCATTGCATTGGTTGCATAATGCACAAACAGGTGTGAAACAACTAGGGCCATCACGATTTGATATAGTTCCGTTTAAAAAGTGTGCAAACAAAAGTGCCCTCTGCCCGAAAACATTATTAACAATCGACGCTCGATGAAAACTATCATTGCAGGACGGGCCTCAGTATGAAGTGCAAAAGTACCCTGTAGGATACCCTCGACGCATAAAGCAGCGTCTCAATGGATACCAGACTGGGCTGTATGACAAGGGCATTTTGCTTTTAAATGTCTACCATCATAAAATTTATATATATAACGTCATGTATCTACAGGGCTGGGATGCGGTATTGACAATGTCAGGATCATATATTTCATTCAATGAAATCGTAAGCTACACGTAGGTTGGGGTGAGAAAGCCCGCCAATGTACTTTTTTTGTTGTTCAGTAGTGTTAAGTTTCAACTGGCAAGCAGCAAACTGGAACCTAGAAGTCCACTTCCAAGGATTGAAGCTGGAGAGCAAATGTCCGCCGAACCCACTCCATATATCCCTTCCACTTGTGGAGATCACTCGAGGACTCCGCACCAGGGAAAGCCTTGCTCAGCTCTTTGGTGATCTTGAGAATGCCCAAAGATGCCTCCTGTGCCTTTTCGATTTCCTGCTTGACGGCATTTTCCTTCGGCTTGAACGAGAGAACGGAGGTGTAGCGCTCTGACAAAGCATCAAGCAACCGCTCAGTCGCCTCGGGCACGATCTTAATCAGCTTGGATGTCATGAGGTTGCTGATTGCACGGATGTCTTGCTCATCGTCAATACCGGCAAGGACGCGATCGAATAGTTCGTTCGTGTGGGTGTGGAAGAATGATGTGTCAAGCGATGCGTAGAGGGTTTCGTAGGCACTCTGGAGACGACGTGTTAGTTCATGTCTTCTGATAAGGGCAACGGATACTGACCTTTCGCAAATCAAGACCATCATCAACCTTGTGTTTGAATGGCCCCATTTGAACCTCGCGAATAAGCTCTGGCTTGACCTTGGTGTCTCCCAAAACAGCAGGCAGCAGTTCGTCAAGGTGAGGAAGAAGAAGATCCATCTTGTTGTGGATTGCGGAGTTAAGGGTAGTTAGCGCGAGTCGGTGGTTGCCCAAGTCGCCGTCAGCAAGCATATTTGTCAAGAGTGGCACCATCAACGGTCGGAGGACATCGTTGTAAGCATCGCTCGGATCAGCAAGCGTGTAGCGGAAGGCTGAGATCACCACGCCGCGGACAGCAGGAACTGGACTGGCGAGATACTCCTGTGGATAATATATAAGCATTGAAACCCCGAGAACAGTACGGACACAACTTACTTGGAAGTGGGGAATATAAGCAACAGGATCGAGGAGTGCCAGACGGCCCACGCATTCGGCACCCACTGCCCGGTTGTCCTCTTCTTCGGAAACGACGAGGAGTGACTGCCATAGCTTGTGAGCAGATGGTGCAAGGTCAGGCCGCACGACCTCGGGGTGCTGAAGCAACTCCCGCACAGAGTGAAGAAGCAGGTAGCTCTGCGAGTTGGACTTCTCAAGGCCATTTAAGATGATGGGAAGATAGGCCTTGACACTACCTGCAGCGGCATTACCAAGAGCCGTGGCAGCGGACAAGCGAACATGATCCGACTGAGACCCAAAGTGAGCAATGAAGTGGTCGGGAGTCAACGAGCACTCGGGGCCCATTCGCAAGCCGATCTCTCCCAAAATCGCGAGTGCGAGGCATTTGCGGCTATCGTCCCGCGCAGTCTTCAGTTCTGTAGAGAAATCCTCCATTGTGACCCCTAGGTTCGGTCCACCATGGACTAAGAGAGTTCCCACGGCTCTACCAACCACGGAAGAGTCTCCGGTAATGCCCACATCTTGTAGAAGGGTTTTCATCAACTCGGCTCCAGCGCCTTCGTCGCCAATGACCTTAACAATGAGTAAGAGGGCTTTGAGAACAGTACCAACTAGCGGCTGCTTGACGATCGAGCACATGGAAGAGATCAATGCGCTGTTTACGAGCAGCTTTGCATTGCCAGGAATAAGTTTGGCAATGATGATCAGAGCAGGAGTAAGGGTGTGGAAGTCGGGAGCCGCAAGGAGAGGCAGAAGGGCGGTCTCCAGTGCTGCCATAGTGTTAGGAGATAGATGAGACCTGACGTTGGAGTTCATGGATAGACTGCGGAGCGCTTCCAAGCATGACCCTCGCAAAGCGCGGTCTGACTTGCGCAAGTTGGATGCAAGCTCAAGGGCCACTTCGTTCACCCATTCACTGGCCACATCTTCCTTCCGGGATGACAGGACGACGACATCATCAACAGCACGAACAGCGGATAGACGGGTTGTCTCGTTCTTCACGCGGTCCAGTAGAACCGAAAGACCGGTCGATCGCTTATCAGCAGAAAGGAACTCTGATCCACGCTGTCCGGAGGTACGTGCCAGAATAACGCCAAACACATGAATGGCGCGCTGACGGACTTCGAGATCGGCACTTGTGTCGGTTATTCGTGAGTGGACAACATCATAGAGCTTCTGCAACTGCAGAGTAACGTCGGAAGCATTGGCAGATACACGGGGAGGGGTAAGTGCCTTCACCACCTGCTCAACAGCACCTAACGCTTCACTGCTGACCTTGTAATTGCGATCGTTGACAGCCGCAACCACTCCGGGCACCAGGGCGATAAGGAATGGGAGAAGCGCATCGGACAAATGTGTCTCGGCAATTGCTGCAATAAGGCCAAGGGTCTCAATTTGAAGAGTTCCCGCACTGACGGCGGCGCCAGTGTGAGCTGGGGCGCTTCCTGACAGAGGTGAAGTCTTGAGGGCATCTGCAATGAGATCTTCGATCTGTTGGAGATGGTCTGCGAGGCCGCCGTAACGAACAAGAGATAGGCTCTTGAGGAGGATGATAGCAGCTTGTTTGAGGGGGATTGATGCCTGCTTCCATACCTTGACGAGGTTCTGTACAATCAGAGGGACGGAGCGGGCCAGGTCAGCCTGCGAACCAGACTTCGGAGAAGAAGGAACAGCGGGGGAGTCGATTGCTGAAGAGGTCCCGATGCTCGGCTCAAAGTCAATCATGCTTGCATCACTGTCCTGACGTCTGCGCTTGCGCGAGTTCTTTGATCCACCGACGGCCTCAAGGAAGTCGTTGGATGTGACGATCATCGAGCCCTCTCCTGTCTTCCGAACGAGAGCGGTTAAAGTTGATACCACCTCGAGCTTTACGCTTTCCTCTCTTTCCTTGCTAATTCGGGATACCAGAGCAGGGGCAATCTGCTGGAACAAAGCGGAGTTGTCCCAAGCGCGACCACGGCCGTACGTGGAGATGACAGTGTAGAGAAGCTTGGCCGCACATCGGCGTACCTTCCAGCTCACGTCATCAATATCACTGTAGCCTCCATCTTCTTCAAAATCCTCGAAATCGTCGTCCTCGTCCATGTCGGGTTCTTCTGTGGCATCATCCTCACTCCCATCATCTTGTGTTCCACCCATCTCTTCGTCGTCCTCCATTTCGGCAACGTTAGGGTCATATTTGAGGAACCGTAGAGCTGATCGAGTGGTATTGGAAAGGTATGGCTGCATTTGTTGGTTGCACGAGCTGATCAATGCCTCTAGCGTCACGAGGGCCGTCTCGCGGAGCTCATCCACCTGAGGATCATGCTCGTCATCGTTGGAGTAGACCGACATTGCGGCGATTATGGGCCCACAACGAAAGGATAAATATTGAACTGCTGGACAGCAAACGACTGAAACGCATTCAACTGGGGTGCGCGCGCTCGAGTTAAGGTGAACGAGGTTCGGAGACAGCAAGCTGGACCCCGCGCTAATCCCAATCGGAATATTGGATCACGTGACCTCACTGCAGGAAGTCGAACAGATCAAGAGAAGGCTGCGCGCTTTTCTTCGAGGCCAAAAGTGCTTGAAGGCCACCTTGTTTGCGTGTCTTGGCTCTCTTCTTGCTGTTTTGGTTGTCGACTGACTTGGTGGGATCGGTTGCTGAGTGTGTCTCGCCCTTGGTATCAAGAGTTGGACCTCTAGTAGATGCCTTAGCAGCAGCGTGTCGTAGAGATTTGGGAGCAGTCTTCTTCTTGGACTCCAGCACGGTACGTTCGCGACAGCGTAAACACTTGTAGATGGTGGCCACAGACGCGGAAGGCGCAGACGCGCTTGACGCTTTGATTCTTTTGGGTTTGATATCAGTGACTCTAGTCCATTGAGGTTTTCTAAGGCTTCCACAGGCGCCACAGTATTCTTTCTTCTGTGTAGTATTCAATGCCTTGGAATTCTCGTGAAGAAGCTGGGTGTGCAGTGCCAGGAGATGAGACGACGTGGAGGGACTGGCGGCGAGCGCCTCAGCCGCCCGATTGAGGAACTCCTGCCTTGCATCAATAGCCATTGTCGATTGATAGCGAATAATCTTATTGAGTACCAACGGGTTCTACTGTCCCGAAGTGAGGCTATTGTTGTGGTCAATTGACAATGAAATACGTTGGTTTGAACATCAGAGATTTGCTCCCGAGCTTAAATAGTCCAAGCTCCACCTCTTCTCATCTACTTCCTTTCGACGCTCTCGCCTTTCAACCCTTTCCTCCTAAATCTCCCTCGTCTGTTCCGTTCTTTCTTGCTTTGTCGCGTTTCTTGTATCTTGGGCCTTTCTAAGACCCGAGCAGAAGACGACCTGTCGCTCTTACGAAGTTTTAACACCTTTGATATCATTCACAATGGCGACTCCGCGCATCGCATTTGAGGGTTGCGTAAGTTATCAGACAGGAACGAAAATCCCATATTTTGTTCCCATGATGCCACCCCGCTTCACAGCTTCCGTTGCTAATCTTCTGACATAGGGCCATGGTAGCCTTCATGAGATCTATGAACGGGTTCAGCAGAAGGCCCAGGACAAGAAATGGGAAACTGTTGACCTGGTCATTATCGGGGGAGACTTTCAGGTGAGTACCTGTGTATTGTGTTCAAATGACTTCATTTTTAACAATATCAGGCCCTGCGCAACTCGAACGATGCGACTTGCCTCTCTGTGCCAGCCAAGTACAAGCAGATTGGCGATTTCCACGAGTACTACAGTGGCCAGCGCATTGCTCCCTTCCTTACCATCTTCATCGGTGGCAATCATGAGGCAGGCAACTACCTGCTAGAGCTGTATTACGGTGGTTGGGTCGCTCCTAACATTTACTTTCTCGGCGCGGCCAACACCATCCGTTTTGGCCCCCTGCGCATCTCTGGGATGTCCGGTATCTGGAAGGGGTACGACTATCGCAAGCCTCACTTCGAACGCCTGCCCATGAACAGCTCGGATGTCCAGTCTATCTATCATGTACGCGAACTCGACGTCCGCAAGCTCCTCCAGATCCGCAGTCAAGTTGATATTGGCTTATCCCACGATTGGCCCCGTGCCATTGAAAAGCACGGTGACTTCCGTCGTCTTTTCCACCAAAAGCGTGGGTTTGAGGAAGATTCGGCAAAGGGAACACTTGGCAACCAAGCTGCACGTGAGGTCTTTGATTACCTCCGTCCGTCGTTTTGGTTCTCGGCGCACCTTCATGTGCGTTTCACCGCCGAGGTCCAGCACTCACAAACTGCTTTCGGCCCTGCTAAAACCGATTCCCACAACACCGTTGTTCCCGCTGATGGTGCTCAAGATGACCAGAAGAACACAAAGCATGAAGTTGACCCATCAAGGAGTCCCCGGGGTTTGTTTGACAATGGGGAGATTCGAATGGCTACCGGAACCGAGGCCGAGCGTCTTGCCGCCTGGAACAACTTTTACAATGTGGCTCAGAGGGACGAAGCACGCGATGCCAAGGAGTCCATGCGTCGATTCAAGGAACAACAGGACTCGGGCTATGTGCCTCCGAGGGTAATCACTGAGACTTCCGTCGTCAAGGGAGTAAAGCGAACCATTGTGCGCGGCCCCGACGGACAGGATACTACCCTCCCCAATGATGACCACAGCAAAGTCGAGAACACCGACAAGGTCAGTTTGGACAGCAGCCCTGAAAGTACCTCCGGTACGCAATCCCGCCCCGAGCCGGTGACCCCGTCCAAGGCAAAGACTGTTGTCACTGAGGAACGCGCAAACGTCGACAATGACGACAAGATCAGCTTGGGCAGCAGCCCAGTGAGCACGAGCAGCACCCGTCCTGTCTCGCACAACACCCAGCCCTCGAACGGGGTGGTACCCGCCCGATATGGTTTTGATGGTGCAGTGGATAACAACGGATCTGGCTCCGATGATGACCTCCTCGGGACTCTGGCTACAAAGCTCCCAGGTAGCCTGGATGCTCCACCCCCAAAGCCGCAGAAGGAACTTCCAGCTGAAATCAAAAACACTACAACCAAGTTCCTTGCTTTGGATAAGCCCCTGCCTCGAGATGAATTCATTGAACTCCTTGAAATAGAACCGATCTCCGAGGAACCTAGTCACCAGATCGAGCGCCCTTTCCGTCTGCAATACGACCCCGAATGGCTCGCCATCACTCGTGTATTCGCAAACGAACTTGAACTCGGCAACCCATCTGCCCACGTTCCCGCGCACAAAGGAGATGACCACTACAAGCACCGCATCGAGGAGGAGCGTGCTTGGATCGATGAGCATGTCGTCAAGGCTGACCGTCTCGATGTCCCTAACAACTTTGTTCAGACTGCTCCCCCTTATGACCCATTGGTACCTATCACCACCGACGAGCAGCCTCCTGAGTACACCAACCCCCAGACTACTTACTTCTGCGACTTGATCGGCATCGAGAACAGGTTCGATGTCTCGGATGAAGAACGTCAGGAACGTGCTCTTGCTGGTCCCCGTCCTGATACTTTCCGTGGCCGTGGAAACTCCCGTGGTGGTCGACGCGCTACTCACCGTGGTGGTCGTGGCCGCGGCTGGGGCCATCAGTATAGCGGAAACCGAGGACGTGGTGGCCGTGGTGGACATGCTGGCGACGGCGGTCGTGGATCCGGATGGTAGTACCCGAAGCTTTTCCTTCTTTTCTTTGCTCTTTTCGATTCCCTTTCGAATTTCATTCCCATTTCTTTCCTTGTGTCTTTATTGTCTCGGTGGATTTGAAACACAGTCCTGGCGATGGGTCCGTTTCTTGGGTTATCTGGGAATATCTGAACTACAAGTCGTGTGGCAGCAGATAGACATATGAATGACCAAATTTACCGTAAAGTCTCCAATAAGCCAACTTCAAGATATAGATATTCGTGCTTGATGCCCTATCCACCAATAACGACACCAGTCCTACTTATGTTGTAACGGACAGACTAGGTTCAGGAATTTATTGAAAAATCTGTTCTAAACCGACTAGTGTTGTCTAAAAACCCACCTAATGGTCATCTACATCCTAATGACCCCCTTCGTCACTCAATCTCCTCGATTCGGGGCCGTCCTGCGCCGTCCTGACCACCCAGGGGGTTCACTTTCAGACCCTCGATCCTATCAGACAGTCCAAATTGAGGATTGAATGTCTCCTGGTCATCATGGGCACCAATAGCCCACATTAACGATTTCTCCATCCAGACTTCCAAGCTCTCGATCAATGCGCGGAGATGTCCACGGGCAATTCCGTCCTCTTCCCGACTTTCGACGAACCCAAGGGTGCGCAGCATGGTGGGGATGTTACCGATGGTGGAATGTCCGCCTGAGTTGGAACCTTGAGGAATTGTCCCATCAGAGAGGGAAAATCCAAATCCGATGTCCTGCCCCCCGCGTGCCTCGCGTGCGGTTTCTAGTGCTTTCAAAGTATCTAGAATGAGGACGACACTTGCACGGCGGAGAATGGCACTCTCGACTCCAGGCTCAAGAGTGAGAGTTCCAAGGGCGAGGTCGACAGCCGAGGAAACAATAGCAGGGCCAAGACCGATGATGTTTGTCTGGATGGCGGAGGCAAGAATGGAGAGGGCCGACGCGCGGATACGGAGATCGTCTGGTTGTTCATCAGTAGAGGCACCGGCGGCCCATGCAGCAATGACATTTGCGGCGTGCGCAGCTTGCTCAGGGGATTCAGTGTCTGAGTCCTCGTCCACAAGGTTCAGTTCCGTGGCAGCCTTGTTGATAGCTGAAGACATGGACCAGCCGGGAGGGAGGGCATCTTCCTTTGCCTTGCGCTCTTCGCGTTCCTTCTTACGGCGTTCTTTCTCAAGCCGTCGCTCGCGAGACTTTTGCGCTTGAGGCTTGAGCTGACGGCGGCCTGCCACAGCGATGAGGCCCTCACTGAGGATTTTCGCCGTCTCGCCGGTTAGTGCCTCGCCTAAATCTTGCACCGTTCGCAACAAAGCCTCGCCTACTTTGAGTCGCTCATCAAGGTTCGTAATCTCAGCTCTATCGGCATAGGTATCGATCAAGGTCTTCACCACCGTGCGAGGGTGACGTGCTGCCAATGTACCAACGATCTTGATGGCGTTTAAGTAGATGTATTGTTCAGGCGCGGCGACCCCCGACGTATCGGTGATGACAGCGAGAAGTATTGACATGGATGAGGGGACATCCAGAACGGGTGACGAATTCATGATGAGTTTTGAGAGGAGCGACAATCCCTCCGCTTGTACTGGTGGTAGGTTTGAGTTGAGATTCGCCAAAGCTTGACGATGAGTATCAAGATCTGAGATGTGGGCAGGCGTCGGCTTGACTCCTGTATGCTCTGGTGATGCGATCTGGATTTCGAGAAGCATGGAAGATGTCATGCCAGGTTTGGAAAGAGAGGAAGGAAGAAGAGGGATGAGTTGATCAATGCCGCCTTTTAGAGATTTCAAGAGGGGCAGTATATCTTCTGACGGCGAGAAGTCTGGCGATGCAATAACAGTAGAAAGCAAACTGAATGCTGTTGTCAATGACTCAAAGGAGTCATTGCCGGGAGTATCCCCGTTGTCATTGTTTTCACTCTCTACGATATTGGCCAAACTGGACAAAGACACCTTGCCAGCTTCAGTTCCTTGTTTCGCCGCTGCTTGTGCATTGAGTTTATGAAGCTCTCCATCAATAACTTGTTTTATCAGCTCTAAGACGCGGAGCGGACGTCGAGAAAGCGTTTCTTTAAAGTTGTCGAGCAATTTCTCGGCGACCTTGGCACTGACAAGGCTTCGGATGAGATTATCATTCTCACCAATAGGTCCTTCGCCCGGGGTGTTCTGAGGCCGTGTTGAATGCTGCGGCTGCACAAGCCACCTTTCACTAACATAGAGAAAGATATCCCCAGTTATCTCTTCACTGCTCGGGTCTGAACCTAGCAGACTAACAAACAGCTCAGCGCGTGTTTGCAGGGAATCAATTAACTTGATGAAGTTGGAATGATCGTTATGCTCTTCTGTTCGCTTTTTCAAAGCCAGTTGGTCGTCTGAGTCCTTAACATATGTCCACGTCAGACCACCATCCCATAGAAGATTGTCGACAATCTTTTTGAGGGGTTGTACCCCTACGGAGATACCGAAATATGTTTGTAACAGCGGCAACACCCGTTCATAAATGATGGACAATTGTTCCTCCTGGGAAGCACAAGCAAGTCCCCATAAAGGAAGAAGAATTGGGTAAACAAGCCGTTTCACCAGGCCTGGGTTTGGATGTTGCAGTGTCAAGCATCTTATTCGGTTGATCGCCAGATTGACTGTTGCCCCATCGACCAACATATTAGATGCGGGGCTCCCTTCTGTGACGTCTGGCATGGAGCCCTCAATGTCGGAGAAACGGGTCATCCATCGCTTGGATTTAGCATCTAGTTCTCCTCCTAGTGCTTTGAAGATTGGCTCCACAAATATCAAATGGCCGATAGTACCAGGTGCTCCATAAGCACGTTTTCCCAGAATGCCATTGCCGACAACATAGGAAGCAGTCTTCCTCAGATCTAGATCTTCTCCGTCAATCAAGGCAAGTAGTTGCGGGGCAATCTTCTCAAAATACACAACCGAATCAACATCGTGGGGCACAGAAGACAGAAGCCGCGAAATTTGCATGATCGCTTGCACCGTCAAATGAGGCCCGCTGGATTGGTATTGGGCCTCTTGGCCCAACGATGGTGCAAATTGCGAAGCGATGAACATGATGGTTTGCACTACTCCACCTGGTCGTAATGGAACGTGCGAGATCTGACCAGAAACGGTTGTCTTGAACCATTGCGTGATGTCAGATTGTAGGAAATTAGACAGCGCGGGTAGCAAGACTGTAGTAGGAGTATCTTCGATGATCTTGGCCAATGCGTTTCGATAGATGCCCTTGTCATATGACGGTGTGGAATGCGGGTTGAAGGCAAGATCGGAGGCGCCGCTGATGATGTCGCTGAGGATACGACCGCGAATTACCGGCTGAATGCTTGGCCTCGAATCAAAAATAATATCCACCAAGACGTCTATGATCCGGCGTAAGAGAGTCACGTTGCGGGGTACACTGCTAGCAACGGTCTCGACTTGCTTTGCAATGACCCCCGCTGGTAGAACTGACATCACTCGCTGTTGAAGAGGGATCCCAACGCCAGATGAGAGCGAGGGATATATTCCTTCCAAAGAGATCAAGTCTAGCAGTGCATGGAGCATCCGGCGTCGCTTGGCGTCTTCCATGGCCATATCTTCGCCTTCTGTAGCGAGTTGTTGAGATGGATCTCCACCGTCAGAGGAAGCAAAGGATGCATGAATACCGGCCAAGATATCCAAGGCCTTTCCGATGATGGCCGGTCTCGACACATCGTCATTGGCAGCATCACCCACTGATGTCTGGCTCAGGATACCGAGCAATGAGGTTCCCTGAGTTTTTCGTATTTGCTCTTGTGAGATATTAGGCTCTGGATCACGCATGTGGTGATTATCATCAATAGCATACCTCGATCAAGTACCGGGGTTAGGAAGTCGTTGGCGAGGCCAAACGCATCCCGGATTTGTTGCAGATCCCCCATTACGAATGGCAGCAGGATAGAATCATTTTGAAATCCAAATATCCATAGACTTACTGGGTCTTGATATCTCACGAACTGAATGAATAATCAAGAGGCGATCAACGGAAAGTCTTGGCATTTTGTACCGATGATATAAGCAGACCCGCAAAATCAAAGTCACATGATGCACGTGTCAGTCACGTGACCGCTATTCACGCATGCCCAATCGCCGCGTCGATAGCGCGTCAACGAAGTCGGCCTTTGTTGACAACCACCCATTCAACACCTCTGCAACAGACCATCTGAACAGCGACTCGCAATATCTCAATTATGATGAATCCTACTCTGTCTTCGACATTCATTGGACCCACACTCGGTTTAGACGCGCCTGAACTACACCACTACTGTTTCCTGAATGTGAAGACCCTCAACTCTCTTGCCTTCCAAGGCATCCTTGTACAAGAATACCCTTCTCGATCTCCAATTCTCACCTACTGCCTTTAATGGCAACCTGGTGCATCAGTTTCGTCTTTGGCGACTCGGATAGCTTCAGGGCAGAAGATATTGGAGTCAAACCCTAAGCCCTCCTCGGTTCAATGTCCCCACGGACAAAGTTTCACGGAATGCGCATGCCGGATATTACGATTAGCTGAAACAGACTGTGATGGTCCGATTAAGCGAAAGAGATTCGATTTGTCCAGAGCCTCCGGGCACGAAAGACGGTTTACTATGCGTTCAAGCTCGCAGAGACCACGCGTCAGTTTACCAATGCTGGACGCTGCATGCCGGTCACAAATGGATGGTCACCTATGCCTCGGATTGCAGTTCAACCCGGAGAGAACGCGGGCGAAACATGTCGGGTACTTCGGTATCAGATGTCACCTTGAGGAACAACCACGACAGCTCAAACGGATAGCGAGTGAATGCGACATTCAAGGCTCGAATTCCTGGGGCATCAACTAGATTGGATCAGAGATTCAGCGCCTAGAACACAACTCGTCCTTACACACAGTCATAGTGTCAGGCATATCAAAATGATCCACTCGTCGGAATCAACTTTCATCTCCCTGGAACCCACCCAGGTGTCTTTCATAGTTAAAGTTGTAGCGAGGTCGTTCTTTTATGATGCCTATGACTCTTTGATGTTGATCTGAAAGGAGCACATCAAAGTCGGACTGTTGTCTGTTCCAGTTGGCAAAGTTTCTCCCCGAGAAAGTTTGGTGTTTTTCGGACTTGTTCGACGCATTTCTTTCTGCGATTCTGCTTGCATCAACTGTCTGTTCCTGCGCATGTTTCCCATCTCAAGATTCCTGGGAATCTTGCCCCGTGTCCCACCTCTCGGTACTGTTTTTTCCTTCGCCTCAAGGCGGCTAGGTACCACGAATCACAGCAACCGCAAGATTCGTCTTCGTCAGAAGATCTCGACCGACCGTGTCAACCATCTCTTTGTGAAGCAGTTTGCAAATAGATTGATGGGCGCCGACTCCAACAACCCACCGTTGTTCCTTCCCTCGGGAAGAAGGAAGCGATTTTTCAGGATGTTTTTTGTCCGCTTCCCAACATGCCCTCCTATCACACCTTCGGGTCACCTAGGAGAGGAAACAAAAACCTGTCCCAAAGGGTACTGTACCACGCACGAGAGAGTCAACTTCATGTTCTTGCGACGGTAATGGTGAAAGTGATAGCGAGTCGACTGAGATTATGGAAATGAATGGCGTTGAGTGGACTCTAGTTGAGTCTATTGTTCTGTTGCCCAGTTCTCTTTGTCTTTTGCGAGAGATGCGTGGGTATTCGTGGGTTTGTGGGCTCCGTTCGTTTGGCTTTTTCCTGTTATCAGTCATTCCTCAACACCCATTTAGCGCCTGCATTTGATGCTTTCCTTTTCACTCGATTGATTGCAGTTGTTCCAGTCGGAGAATGCTTGGTTTGTATGCTTCGAACGCTTGATCATGTCAGCCCATCTTTCAGTTGCCACAATGGTGGTGTCCTTGGTCGGTTCCGATGTGTATGCACCATGCAGTGAATGTCATGGGACCTCTCTTGAGTGAGGCTCAAAGCTTTGGCTTGTCCGTGATGTTCTTCTGCTGCTACATGTTCCCGGGTGAGGCTCGCTGTTGTTGTGTGATTGGAATGAACTGATAAGCGACGAATGGGAAGTCAGTAGCTCTCTTCACTATCACGGAACTTCTCTATGGTCTTCGAGGTTGGGTCTCGTGTCAATGTCGGCTCTATTGAACTATGGGAGCAGAATGTTTCTGGGCCGGTGATAGCTGGCGAACTGCCGTTTTCTCCGCCGCGGTGGTTGAAACGGCCCCTTTTTTTCTTATAAGTGATCCCACTATCCGTATGCTCTGTGACACTGCTAACTACTTAGCAAGTGAAGGATGACTAGAAACCCCCAATATATGCCAGATATAGCTAGATAGAGCTACGTCATGAAAATAAAACCCGAGATTACATAATAATGCCCATTTGTCAGCTGCATCTGCCCCTCCGCATAAGCCCCGCGCAGAACAAGAAGGAATGTTCCCGTGACTCCATAATTTTTTTGCGATAAGAATATTCTGTTTTACCACGTTTGTTGACCTCTCACTTTCCTTCAATTTTCACTATCCCAAATATCATCATGGTCGACAAGTCTGATAACGATGCTCTTGAGGCGCAATTTGAGTCGCAATTCCAAAAGCCTGGCGATCTCGTCGAGCGCGACGATGACACCGGCCTCATGCAGGTTGAGAGTCTCTGCATGAACTGCCACAAGAACGTGCGTTGCCTTCCGCGATCCCAGCCAGTTTCTCCTACTAACTTATGCAGGGAATTACCCGCCTTCTGTTGATCAGGATTCCCTACATTAACGACTGCATTGTGAGTCTAAACACCCTCGTCGACTGGATCCCGCATACTGATACGCCCATAGCTCGAGAGCTTCAGTTGCGAACATTGCAATTTCTCGGACAACAGCATCAAGTCGGCTGGTGAGATTCAGCAGCGCGGCTCCAAGTACACCCTAGTGGTTGAGAATGAGCAGGATCTCTCTCGTCAGGTTGTCCGCAGCGACTACTCCAGCTTCACTGTACACATCACCAACGACATCGAATTGCCTCGTGGCAAGGGCCAGTTGACCAACGTGGAGGGTGTCATTCAGGTTCGTATGTCCCGTGTTTCAGTCTTTGATATCTTCTAACTTGCTTTAGCAAATCCACGAAGGATTGTCAGGAGAGCAGGAGCTTCGCAAGGAACAAGCCCCGGAACTACATGATGCCCTTGTTCCCATCATTGCACGCCTCAAGAAGATCCTGGATCGCGACGATGCCTTCCCTTTCACCGTCTCGCTGGATGATCCCACCGGCAACTCGTGGATCGCGCCCAATACCTCCGATCGTGGCCTCAAGTACAAGCGCCAGGAATACTCCCGTACCCACGAACAGAACGAAGAGCTCGGTATCTCCAACGATGCGAACGCAGTGGCCGCTGAATCCTCCGAAATGGACGCCGGAAACCCGGATGATCTCGACATTGTCGACGGTCAGGTCTACACTTTGCCCGCTGAATGCCCCGGCTGCGCCAAGCCCTGTGAAGGTGAGCATCACATTACGTCCCTTGTCATCATCACATTTACTAATTATCTCCTCTCATTAGTTCGGGTCAAGAAGATCTTCATTCCCCATTTCAAGGACGTTATGATTTTCGCCACCCACTGTTCTCACTGCGGTTTCCGAAGCAGTGATGTCAAGACTGGCGGTGAAGTCCCCGAGAAGGGCAAGCGCATCACTCTCCAGGTCAACAGCATCGTTGATCTCTCCCGTGATATCCTCAAGTCCGACACTTGCGCACTCCGCAGTGAAGAGCTGGATCTTTCCGTTGAGCCTGGCACTCTGGGTGGTCGTTTCACCACTGTCGAGGGTATTCTGACCGAGGTGAAGGACCAACTGGAGGGTAACGTGATGGACACCGTCAACGACGGTGGAGACTCCATGCCTTCCGACGACAAGGTGAAGTGGGAGCGCTTCTTCGACCGTCTCGACCAGGCCATCAAGGGCGACCTGAAGTTCGTCATCACCCTTGAGGACCCCATGGCCAACAGCTATGTCCAGGATCTGTGCTCGCCAGCTGTCGACCCGCAGATCACCATCGAGGATTACACTCGTACTGCTGAGGAGGAAGACGACCTCGGTCTAACTGATATGAAGACTGAAGGCTATGAGCAGGACGAGGAGAAGAAGGGGGAATAAACGAAGATACCACACCTTGCATGGTTTCTTTCCTTTCGATGATGATTTATATCCACTTCATGATACATGAGATGCTTTTTTCCTATTTGGGATTCTTTGCATAACGGCGTCTGCGACATGTGCTTCTGCTTTGAATGTTTAGATATCAGGTGATAGTTCCTAGGTGCGCTACGTTACAAAAGTCTTTTACTTTTCTATTCTCTACCTCGGTCGTAATTAGTAAGTTCAGAGCTGCCTCGAATACTACATGTTGCGAAGAATTGCATGTAATGCGGTATAGTCAGGGATATCCCTCGCTGATCTCGGATGCAAGAAGCGGGATATTGACATTGTCGCTATCGACTACATCTATGCTGGCCATATATACATGTATCCGCAGGTAAGGCTGTAACTATATGTAATGTGAAGCAGAGTCTGTGCGTAGATCTTGGGCGTTTCAAGTACTCCCAGGGGCCAAATAATGATGTGCATGGCTGGGGGCCACTTGCACAATGTAGTTTAGGGCTAAGCGGGACGCCCGATGTGCAAGTGACTTAAGAGCCGCCCGCCTGAGAGCCACAGACTCGGCTAGCCAAGTCGCTGCCGGTTTGCCGGTTTGTATATAGTTGGCCTACCATCTTGAGTGGCGCCTGGAACCTGTTGTGATGTGATAATTTTGGTGGGGACCGGACCTATCTTCATGACATGCCAGGACTCAAGCGATTTAGTAGCCCGCGTTTTCTGCCGTATTCTACTCCGTGCTCTACTAGTGTACATGTACATGTGTATATTGGTGTCTCCACAATATTT